GCCTCCTTCTTCACCAGATTTGAACCCTATTGAGAAGGTCTGGAGGTGGATGAAGGAGGAATTGAAAAACTTGGACTATGTGCCCAAAAATAAGGTGGATTTGAAGAGGGAGTTGCAAAAGCTATGGGACCGAGTTGACCCACGTGACTTTCGCCACTACACTGAGCAATTGACTTGTAAGATTGAGGATGTAATTAAGTACAAGGGTATGGCTACTATTAATTAATCATAAGTTCCACTTTCACAGAGATTCATAAGAAGACTAAAAAATTATGATTTTTGGTAAATAAGGTCTCATTTGTTGAGTTTCGCTTAAGTGGGCCATTCCCGGTGGCCTCAGCTCTTACTATTGAATCATCTAATGATCGAAGTCGCAGTCACAACGATCAGGACTCAGTATTTAAGGTTGCCATATCTCCCTTTTTCATTTCTTCTAACAAGGAAACAACATCGAAGAAAATCACAGTCATGTCTGCTACAGCATTCCCTAGGTTCATGGAGCTTCCAGGCGAGATCCGAAACTAGATTTTCAAGGCTTTCTTGGAACTTGGTCAAATCGTCCCAGCAAAACTTCAAGATCCACATATTCCTTATGTATACGGTCCGAGTAAAAAGTCAGGAGCAATACTGGTACCCGACGGTGCGAGCGCCGTATTACGCCAAGTTCGTAAGAAGCCAGGAGCTGGTCACTAGCCCTACAAAGGCCCTACATATCCCCTTCGCCTTTCACCAACATTTGCCTTGACCGAAGCCGGGACATAATTTGGTTTCCGGCATACTATTTAACAACCTTCTGGTCAGATCCCAGCCTTCCTAGAAAAGATGTGGCATGTTATCCGGGGTGGAGAGGTCCAGAGATCGAAAGAATGGCTTTATCTACCCTTTGTCTGATGAAAGAACTCATGAGCTCGCACGAAACATCTCTCTTGAGCCAGCTGAAACAGTTGCATCGAAAGAGAGTTAGGCAATTATTTTTCGTCTATGGCTGCCCCGACTTCGCAGAGAGCTGGAAATGCAGATTCGTCGACCCGAGAACGTCAACACAGGCTGTCTTTCGCCGCTTCGGCTCAAACAAGGTATCTTCGTATGCAAGGCTGAAAGCTATTGCTAGACGGAGAGGATTTAAGAATGATACTAAGTTGATGACATGGGAAATCGCGGAGAAGACAACCATTGTACTCTTCGAGGAAGCATTTCAATCGTATTTGAACAAGTTCTTTCTTTCCACCAGTAAGTTTCTACTCGGACTGCTCCTTCAGAGTCACTGCTAATAAATGATTGAAGACGGGCAAACCCCAGCGGCACTGTTACCGGAGTATATCTCGATGAGTCTGGACTACCAAACAAAGTTCTGGAATCTGGAGAGTGTGAAATTTGTGGAAGTTGTCATTGATTGACAATTTCTGGGAGACTGTAGTGTAGGATACACATGGTCCTTTGTAATCAGTAGTATTGCGAGAAGAGAATAGTGCAACATTAATCACGTATTAAAAGTGAATGCATATCAGTAATTGTACGTGCACTCGAATGTCTGACACTTATTCCAGACGGCCATTCTTTTCGAGCTTCAAACACTTGGCCTGGGCCCCGCTGCGGGCAGTGGGGTAAAGCGATGAGATCTAGATTTGGAAAATTTCCTTATTCTCACATGCTTAGCTCAAGTAGCGAGAAATCCGTGTCTGAGACCACAATCAATTACAATCCCATTGCATTGCAGCAAGAATCAATCATGATGTTCTCATGTGCACCTCGCTTAAACCCCTTTTATGCACTCTGCTGAATAAGCGAGCACTATTTTTTGACTGTGACTGAGGAGCTGGGTTATATAGGATGCAGCGACAGAAATATTATGACCGGCTCCTCGGTGCAGTAACCGTAACTAGTCACCCATGCAGCAAACTCCTTTTAAAGCCAGATGTAACAAGCCGATTCGTTTCCTCGGCGGCCGGCTCGGCGGTCGGTGCCCTCTTACTGTTCATGTATGTTGGTCAGCGGTCATTCATATATCGGCGTTTGGACTGCCAATTCATCTAACCGATTTCAAAGCAACTTTCAACTTCAACTGTTGAGATATGATATCTGTTCTGATCTCACCTCTATGTCTACTAAATCAGGCTTCTTCCATAGAATAATATTAAGACTTTTGCTCACTTCTTACCTACATTCAACATCAGCTTGCACACATCTCTACTTTTCTTCAAATCAATCATGGACGAAGGACAAAAAGACGCCTCCACTACAAGCCTAGGACGTGGCAAAGGTACCTCTAGTTTAGGTAATTTGACGTTCGTTGGGCTGCGATCAGCAGATTTCTTCCTTCAGCTTTACCTTCTTCGCCAATATCCTCTCATCACTTCTGGCTCTAGCTTCCTTGGTCTGACGCCTTACTATGCTATCGTTGCATCATTGGCGCTCATTACCTCCGTCCGTCACGATTTCTGGAAGCTCTACACCAGCGACCAGAAGGCCTCTGTCAGCTTCGCCATTACTGTATCAGCATTTAACACCATCTTCAATAGCCTGAACATCGCGACGTCATTGTGGTCCATAACCTCCAATGCGCCTGCAATCGAACAAGGAATGTTTGCTTCCTCTTCCCGGTCTCTTGGGCTGGGACTCTTCATCCTTGGGAGCTTCTGCGAAACATTTACTGAATTACAAAGGAAAGCCTTCAAGGATAATCCAAACGATAAATGAAAGCTGTATACCGGTGGATTGTTTTCTTTGGCTCGACACATAAACTTTGGGAGTTATATGCTGTGGCGTGTAGGGTTCTCGACATTCTGCGGGGGTTGGGCTTGGGGCTTTGTGCAATTGGTGTGCTTTGCCTTGTACTTCAGTCAGGTTGCAGTACCAGATATTGACAAGTATCTTGCTGAAAGGGTAAGTTTGTTTGTTTGTTTGTTTGTTTGTTGAGATGAAGAAAGGGGTGCTGACAAAGATGACTCGCTAGTATGGTGCTGCTTGGACAGAATATGAACACCAAACTCCGTACAACATCCTGCCTTGGATTTACTAAAGGAGAAACGTGTTTAAGGAAGCATAATAGCAGAGTCACTATCTATTTCTGATCTCTTTGTACTTCTGTCAATATCTGGCCTAAGTGCAAGACATATCGGGGCTAGAGTAATGTAGTCAATCAGAGACAATCAAAATGTATACACTTATATCCTTTTATAGAAATATATATCTAAATGTCCCTCGCATAGCTAGACACTTCTGCTCACTGAAATCCAAGAACTTGTTCTGATCATTGCCATGTCTTTATTGTCCGTCAGTGGTCAGCACACTCAAAGCACTTCATGTTTGTATTTCAATGAAATAATTACACCTTCCACCTTGTCCTCCAACCTGCTTGTACATTCCTGCTCTTTGAAATCTGGGACCTGATTTCCCTACCCTTCCGCCCCATTCACCGCCTCCGCCGCCCAACATGCACCTGCCCGAAACAATTTGACCTTCCGCGAGCTTCCGCCTCTTTCAATAGCTCCATCAAAGGACATAGAACCACCCGGAACAGGCCAACTTTCCGCTGTGTTCCGCCCTAGTCACAACATGTATATAAAAACTCCATCCACTCCCCATATTTTTCCAAACTAAACATCGACAAAGTCAAAATGTCGGACGCAATCCCAGCGACTAGTGCTTCGCTTGAAGCAAGTATTGAGCTAATTATGCCCTACGCCGACTTCTACCACGAGGTCACCGTCAACCAGCCCCGCTTTCTCCATCGCTTAATGTCCGGCAGCATTGAAAACATTCTCCTCATTATCCCGGGTTCGTCCACCTCCGACGATTTCATTGCCCCAACCAAATCTCCGGCAGAAGCTTTGGACAATGAGCTCGACTTCATGGAGAATACAGAAGGGGGCGAATCCAGAATTAACTTGGCGACTGCGGACTGGGCGAAGATGGACGCTTGGGCAGACAAGATGTTGGAGGATTTGAAGTTAATGGCTAAGATGGACGTCCGGCGAGCGGAGGGAGGAGATGGAGATGTAGATGAGAGAACTAAGGAGATCGTTGAGTGGGTGGCCCCGGAAGTCAGATTTGTGGAGAGGGAGGCGATGAGCGGAAGCGAAAGTGAGGGAGCGGAACCAGGTGAGGGAATGGAGGTGGAGCAGGATCAAGCTCTTCCGCCAAAGTCCGGGCCAGAGTCGAGCATTGATCTTGCCTTTGGGCAATCCATTGCTCGGGGCCGCAGAAAGACGTGCAACCAGAAAGCCAGATAGCTTATTTCAGAGTTGGAGCTTGCCGCAGATGACGGACAATGCAATCGTTGACTTCATCAAAATGCTTTTACATTGAAATTCTGCCTAAGGATAGACATTAAGACAAGCACTTCTGACTGGGAATTAAGCTTTGATGCACACCCTATCTATGACCCACTTTGCATATCTAAGCTCCACAACCATATCTTTACGCTCCACTGTACATCCCAACTTTGGAACAGACATCCCACCTTCGTGACAAGCTTTCGTATCTCACAATCAGAGATAAGAGCTCTATTGTAGGCATGATACCAAAGTGGATAATTCCCGACAAAACATATAAATATGGACAGTCGTTATAAATCATATCCCTAGCTCTTTCCGCACTTACCAGTGGTACATCACTTCCACAACTCTTGGATATCCCTCAAGTGACACCATGCCATCGGCAGCTATTTCAATGTTCTCGGCATTCCCTTCATGGGTGCCTAGATCATCTACTTTCGTCAACATCTTGCTTCTAGTCACATCCTTTACTACAGCCACTGTACAACCGTAAACCCCCTTTCCCTCGGATATCATTAACGCAAACACAGACCCTAGGCTACGACTCCTCCATGATGAATGGCTTAAACATCTCACCATCATACACCGACTACTTCTCACTAACAGCCGCAACCATCGGCCTCAACTCAGGCACCGTCTGGGTCGGCAGCGTGATCGGAGGAATTGCATTTATAGAATTACCCGACTACGTTGGTCGAAAGCCAGCGCTGTTCCATTCTGCTATGATAGCGATCGTGGGGGTCGTTATTGAGGCCGCGGCGCAGAATATCGCTATGTTCTTGATCGGACGCTTTATTGTGGGTTTTGGATCTGGGGGCACGTATGTTGTGGCGCCCTTGTTTCTTGCGGAAACTTTGCCCAACAAATATCGAGCTTTGGGACTTGGAGGTTTGAATGATCTGTATTATGTTGGAGCACTTCTTTCTGCAGGTGAGAGATTGCTACTCCACCCTTTATCCGAAGTCATTGCCTGCGATAGTCTAATGTAGAGTAGGTATTACTTACGGTACTGCAAAGATGGATTCGACTTGGGCTTGGCGTCTACCTTCTGCACTCCAGGCTTTGTTCGCCATTATCTCCGTCCTAACTCTCCCTTTTGTGCCCGAGTCGCCTAGATGGCTAGCATATCAAGGCCATCAGGAAGAAGCCCTCAACGTACTCGCCCAAACTCACTCGAATGGCGATACCACAGATCCAGCTGTCCAACTGCAATATATCCAGATAATCGACGCTATCAAATTCGAAAGGGAGCTTGAGTCGCCTTCGATCAAAAGTATCGTTGCCAGACCATCTCTCCGCAAACGAATGCTTCTGATCCTTTCCATCGCGGCGTTCAGCATGCTGACAGGCTCAAATATCTTCTCCTATTACCTCGGAACAGTCCTCGACAACGCGGGCATCACTGACTCAACAACTCAGTTAGAAATCAACATTATCTTAAACGCTTTCTGCCTCGTGTTAGCTATCGCCGGAAACTTCCTAGCAGACCGCATGGGCCGGAAAGTCCTCGCTGCGATCTCCACCTTCCTCTGTGTAGTCTTCCTCTTCATAATCGGAGCTCTTACGAAATTCTACGGTACATCCGCCAATCAATCAGCAATCTATGCCAATATTGCCATGATGTTTCTTGCACAAGGATCATACAGTTTTGCCTGGACTCCACTCTTCGCGATCTATCCTCCGGAAATCCTGAACTACCGCATTCGCAGCATCGGATTATCGTTGTTCACGGCGTGGGAAAGCATGTTTGGTTTGATTCCTGTTTTTGCGTTTCCGATCGCTATTGAGAAGCTGGGGTGGAAATTTTACATGTTGAATGGAGCTTGGGATGTGTTTGAATTGATTGTTATAGTAAGTTTCCTGGCCGACAGTGTTGCTTGACCCCTCTTCCGTGGATGCTGATCTGACCTCTCTGCTTAGATGCTGTACTGGGTTGAGACAAAGTCTATGACCCTCGAAGAAGTTGATGAGCTTTTCGACGGAGAGGTTCATTCTAAGGTCTTGGGCATAAGTGGTCTTCTGGGCTCTGGTAGTCCTGAAGATGCAAAAGAGGTTCTTGCTGGTATTGATATCGATGAGATGGTAGAGCCGAACACCACAGAGCAGAGTAAAGAACTTGAAAAGAGGAATAGGAAAGTGGAAATCAATGCTGCGTAGTTTTGCAGTTGTGGTTGAGAGAGATGTATGTGGCAGAGATTAGCGCGTATAGCGCGTATAGCGCGAATTGTGCGAATCGCGCAAATAACGCTTCACCAGCAAGGCATAATTCCGCCTTAGTTTTTGATAATCAGAACAGCACCCCAATGATTTCCTGTAGAATGGCCTCTTTAAGATTGGAATCTCTTGGAAGCAGACTTGGTGAAGTATTTCTGTCACGTACGGTCTAATTGCATACCTTGCCTACTAATACCTAGGTAAGTTCAGGAACAGGATCGTGGCCACCTTGATACTGAAATTAAATAGGATAGCATCGCAGAAATCGTTCTGCATACTAACTGGGGCCATGGCTCTTTCTCCAAAAAGAATACCCTATCACAAACGAATAGTATTCTCGGATGGTCATCACAAGTTCTCACGTCATCACTTGACGTTCCTCCTCTTAACCCCGATTTTGTACAGCAGGCGGCGAACCTTCTTTTGCAACGCACATGAGCTCATTTACCCAAACTCTAGTACCTCATTCCGGAACAGAACTCAAGACAAACACAGCTGGTGGCTTCACTTCTTCGCCAGAACGAGGAATGCAGGACCTACAATAAAGGAATCTTTGTCAGTGGTCTATAGAGGAAAGCATAAGAAAGACTTGTTTCTTGTATCCGAACAGCCGAGAACAATGCCATTGTGTACACTGTACAAAGGGTGCGGATGCTTGGCTTTCAAAGCTACCACTACTTTCATGGTCGATGGGTTCGTATAGTAACAAAACTCCGGATACTCACAGCCATGAATCATGGACTGTTCCAAAATAATAGTCTCGCAGCACTAAACAGCAGAACAGCCTCTGCCAGACGACTATTTCATTCTTCAATCAAGCTGAAATGTAACAATCATCAACTTCATACATACTCGCAAACACTCTCAACTCAACACTCAAACTTACCAACCAACTCTTCTCAAACAAGAAACCAAAAATGGTTCGCGTAGGACCCCCAACCGGCTCCGTCGACTCGACCTCCTCGACATCCCCAACATGTCAAATACTAATCCGTCACGAGCTAATCCGTCTCGAGAAAAGGCTAGTCTGGGCCAAGCGCATGGTTCAGCGACGTCACGACCTTGGGTACGAGCGGCGGGACAAGGAGATGCAGCTACTTGTGCAAAAAGTGTCGCATCTCGAAAGCTTCATCCGAGATCGGTTCAGCCTGATGCGAGCACTCCTCCCAGAACAGCAACGACAAGACCAAATCGAAGTCCGACTCGAGGAGTTCGAAACCCTTCATGACGATCTTGCTTTCTGGGTGGACGTAGCAGATCGTGTGACTGACACCAGACCCAGGGCCGGGCGATGGACCCCACACCAGAACAGGATCACGCCACTCGAGCACAAAGTCGGGTTTCAGCGTCTTGCTCTTCTGGTCCTTATGGATGCAAAGGAGAAGGATGAGTGGAATGGCAAGGTCCCCATATAGCGCTAGCTCGTCTGGAGACTAAGTTCGCGCGACTCAAGGACAAGTTTCCGGACTTCCCTCTAGAACGTATAGCCGGACCAATCAATTATCACGTAATCCACGAGTTAATGATGGGCTGGGATATAAAGGAGTACAAGGGAATTGAGGGCCGCATTGTGCAGATGCGTACTCGTCTCTTGTGAAAGCTGGAATAGAGAATGAGGAGATAAAGAAGAAGCAATGAAAAATCGTAGCCGTACTGGCCGAAGAAACATAGATTTCCAACATGCATATGTGATAAATGTGATAAATAAGATAATACGTAACAACTCGTAAAAGATACCTATGAGATGAGAAAGTGGCTGAGTGTTGAATTCGCTTATGAAGTGCATTTCAGATGGTACAAGATAAGCAAGCTATGGACAACCGAGGGTCTCTCCATGCTTTTGGATTCATTGGAATTGTTATGACAAACTTTAATGTACATATATTGGGACTTCCAAATCGATCTTGGAAGCTACATTACAAGAAGTGAGAAGGTGATGCTCACGTGAACTTGTCGAAATTCCTGACGAAGGCGGCAAATGCTCAAAGCCAAGCAATCCTTTCAAAAATCTCTAGTTGCTCTTGCCGCATTATCAAAGAATGACTTGTCTTGTGTCTTGACAGTATTCCAGCAGATTACTAACCTCACCTCACCTCACCTCAGCACGAAAACATTTCATGAAGTATGGAATGGAATACAGACAGCACTTCCAACTCGGGAAAACAGACATAAAATCCCCCTGACGCTAACTAAATATAGCCGTAAGACGCGGCTGTGAGACCCAACGCGCATGCTCCCGCGAAAAATGGAGACACGAACACCGCTTCCCCTGTCGCGGCCAATAAGGTTACATCCAGCACGACCTTTCCCGATACGTAAGCAGAGCAGAAGGCTGAGCTTTGAGACACCATGACGCGGCGATGAGACGAGGGAAGGCCGAGAGAGGGATGCGATGCGATTATCGACCGACCCCTCCGAAGAACCCGCCTTCTTTCTCTTTCTCTTTCTCTCTCTCTCTCTCCAACAACAACAACAATGATGCATCGCGAACGATAAAACAAGACAACAAGAGTGAGAAGACGAGAGGAATGCACCATGGCGCAAGAAAGCACAGCAGAGCCTCCGCGCCCGAAATTGAAGGATTCGTGGTCGAGTCTCCAGGACGATTACGAGTTGAGGAATGTACAGAAGTTTCGAGATGCTGAGCAAGGGTCCGGATTATTTGGGACAAGTGAAGACAATCGGACAACGACTCTAAATGATTGTCCACCTCCATTACACGTACCGACAAGGACGAGGAATCTATTGTTCAACATCGGGTTGGGCATTGCCGTGCTGGATTTGTGTGTAATGCCAATTGTGTATTTCTACTCCTTGACATTTGGAGCAAAATTGAAGAGGCAGACTGGTGAGTTATTGCAGTTGTCCCCAGAAAGGACAGTACATTCATTAATGAGATATAGTGTTTATTGTCATTACATGTCTCTTCTGCATGATGACTTTTGCGCACTACACGCATCGCTGCTTCAGACTGATGTTGAAATGCTCCAGCCGATACGGCCCCATCGGATGGCAACGGAAATGGCGATTAGTACACCTCCCTTCCCATCCCTAGAATCCAAGTTAAGTCTCTAACAACCCACAGCTCGAATTCACAAACGTCAATTTCGCCCTCTGCGCTTCAATCTTCGAAATCGTGCTCGTCATCGGCACGTCCCCCGAATCCCCTCTCCTCCGAATCTGCACCCTCCCATCCGCCATCATATGCTACTACCTAGGCATTCTCTTCCTGCTCACCTCCACTCTCACCCATTACCAAGTCCCAATCCCGTTCGAAATGTCTTCTACTCCCAAAGGAGCACCGTTTCGTCCCGCACTTCTCGCTATACTGGAAGATTCGGGCGCTATCGAGTATCGAGGCGAGGTCCCTGCTCGTCTTGCTGTTCTTAGACGTTATGAAGCTAGTCCCTTGTTTCGGAGAATGATACAGAGGCTAAGTTGGTTTTGGGGCGTGGGATTTCTGGTGATTGCTATCATCACCACGATCTTGATATTCTCGCTTGAGGAAGAGGTTGCGTTTGGAGTTGGGTGGGGTGTACCGTATGTTTGGGCGACGATATACGCCATCGGTACCATCATATTCGTCAAAGCGAGTTTAAGAGAAGAAAGAAGGGTCTGGCGTTCAAATCTTGGCATCACCACTTAGGTCTCCTATGTTTGGGCGGACAATTTGTTTACTTGAGCGCTGATCATGAGCAATTAGATATCCATTAAATTATGCACAGACACAATAACAACATCACACAGAACCTTTCATCTCATCTCAACATGCAGCACCTCTCCCTCCCCCTCCCCCTCCCCCTCCCCCTTCAACCCATCATCAACCTCCCCAACCCCCTCCCTCGCAAACCCCTCGACACCCACACAAACATACGTCCTAAACTCCCTCGTCCTCACCCGATTCTCAAACATCTCATGCACCTCCTCCAACGTGCGATCCCTCGTCTCCGGCACAAACAGCACCGTAAACAGCACCAACAACGCATTCGTCCCAAACCAGATAAACCCGTACTTCGCGCTCCAGCCCAATTTCGCCGGGTTGATGAAATACGGCGCTGTGAACGTGCCCAGCCAATTTCCCACGAAGTTCAGCGCTGTCGCGAGCCCAAAGGTGAAGGGACGGAGGTGATTATTCGGTAATTCGCCGCCGATGAGCCATGCTGTGGGTGCTGTTCGCCTTTTATCAATCCATGAAGCTAGAGGACAGGACAGGACAGGACAGGGGAGGAGAGGGGACGGGGTAAAGGGGAGGGGGACGTACAATAAGCGACGTAAAAGAACGTAAAAAGCGCAATAAAAGCGACGACGCATTTCCCCGCGACTTCAGAGCCGGGTCGCACGGTCCAGACGACGGCCATGAGGAGCTGGCAGAGGGCGCAGGCGGAGCAGCCGACGATGAGGATGGTGCGGCGGTTGAGGGAGCGCGTGAAGGTGAGGCTGAGGAGGCAGCCGAGGAGGCCGAGGGTCGTTATTAGGATGGACATGGAGAAGGGGTTCGGGACGTTGGCGATGGTTAGGAAGTAGGTTGTGTAGATGTTTACCCATGAGGAGCCTGGGTGTTGTTTTTGTCAGTTTTCTTTGGATCTGGTTAGGGAGGATGGTATTTGATGGGTAACAGGATGTCTGTCTTCAAAAAGAAGAGGGTTGGCCTCGGAATGTTCGTCCTGGACACAGAAACTCTTCAGGGAAGGATGTTGGAAACGTAGAAGGACGGACTGACCGTTAGCAGCATGAAAACAAACAACACAAACACAAAGCACCGTCCTCCTCAAATTCGTCCCCCTCCACATCTCAACCCACCCCCTTCCTCTCCCTCCCTCAACCTGCTCCCTCGTCGACCCTCTAATCTCGCCCAACTCAGCCCTCAGCTCCCTCTCCTGAATCCCTCCTCCCCTTAACCTCCTCAACGCGCTCTCCGCTTCCTCTTCTCGCCCCATAACCATCAGCCATCGCGGGCTCTCGGGGAAGAAGATCATCATGATAGATTGAACGGTTGGTGCTACGAAGAAGATCGATAATGGGATCTGGTACGCGCGTTTACTAACCATGGTATGCGTCCCGAAATCCACGGACGCGCCCACGATGGATCCGATGGACAGCATGATCTGGTAGAAGCCGAAGACGACGCCGCGCAGGTGGGCGGGAGCTGCTTCGTGGATGTAGAGTTGCGAGAAAGTCAGGAACCAACCGACTGAGACACCTGTTGAGAAGCGCTGTGAGTTTTGGATTTGGGAGAGGAAAAAAGGGAAGGGGGTACCGAGAATCAGACGAGCCGTGTAGAGAGCGCCGATGCTGGTTGTGCTGAGCATGATGGTGGTGGCGACGGCGTTGAGGATCGCGGCGGCCCAGAGGCCGTGTTTGCGTCCGAATTTGGAGCTGAGGGGGCCGACGAGGAGGGAGGAGAGGAATGTTCCGATTGTCATTAGGGAGGAGATTAGTTGTTGGACGGTGGGCTGATCATCTTGTTAGCGTGATTGGAAAGACATGGGACGATAAAGACTTGCGTCAATGTTCCATTTCTTTAACTCGGGTGAGTAGTATCCGTATACTTCGAGGAAACCGGGCATGCTAAGTTTTCTTCAGAGAGGTTTTGTAGATTGATCGGGGAGTTCTTACGAGAGAAAGCCTCCTACGAGTGCGTAGTCAAGTCCGTATTGGAATGTTCCCATGGTGAGGAAGAAGCAGATGGTAAGGCATTTTCTATGGCTGCTCACGTCTAACTTGAGCGGATTTGCTGAGATGGGTACAGCGAGCATGGTTTGGACTTGTTGACAGATAGACTATGATGTTTTTGACACAATGTACAGAGAATGAGGTTCTTGTTTTAGGCAGATTTGTCTTTTCTCTACCTATACCCAGAATCACTTATCCATTTGTCGATCACTGATCCTTAAGGCCATCCCCAACTCGGCCGTCCTGGTGGTAAGATTGCCCTTGGCATCTTGGCAGCTTGATAATCGGTAACAGATTTAAGTTGCAGTCTCGATGAACTCCTGTTGTTGATGTGGGGCGCACCGATATTGTATCACTTAGGTATCTTCAAGGTCGAGTCGGAGTCTTAAGCGACCCCGCATTCAAGAATGGGGGACATATTTATTATGGGGAAAAGACATCCGACTTATAACCTTGAAAACGAATACCCAATGATGGACAATCAATTGCGCTGTTCATGTATGAAGGTGTTGACAAGGCCCCACCCCCGCAATTGGAGACTTGGGGTAAGCACGGAGATATAAGTCAATAATTAGCAAAGGTTCTTGAAGACGGATCTTGTCATCCGTTATAAGATCAAGACGACTCGCTGGGGAACTATGGATTGATGTTCCGCGAGCTGAGGAACATTGCTGCTGACAAGACTGCTGTGCAACCCCACACGAGGAAGACTCGGCAGTTTAAACCACCCCACCACTTCACGACGCAGTATTCAAACCATAAAACATAATCTATAAAATCAACAAATTCGGCACCAGAAGAACTCGCAGATTTCAGTAAACGGATAAATCGCAACTCGCCAGAATGATCGCCGCAGACCCAGACAACCAACTACGCTACAAGCCCATGAAATACGGCGGCTCACTCGACCACCTCGAATTCGTGGAAGTAACACCGATCATCGGACGCGAATACACGCACGCAAAAATCAAAGACATCCTCCATGCACCCAATGCCGAAGAACAGATCCGTGATCTAGCCGTGATCATCAGCGAGCGCGGCGTTGTCTTTTTCAGAGAGAATCAGCTGGATCTAAGCGTTGATGAGTTGAAGGAGTTTACTGATCTCGTAGCGAAATCGAGTGGGAGGCCGAAGGAGAATGGGTTGCATGTTCATCCGCTGTATAGAGATCCGGGGAATATTCCGATGGGGAATGGGGAGACGGATGAAAATATGTACGTTTGGACCTTTTGAATGAGAATAGAGACTAATCGTAAACAGATACGTGATCAATTCGGAAGCTGCCAAGAAACTGTATAAAACAATGGCGGGCAAAGATTCAAAAGAGCCAAAGAATCTGAGTAGAGAATGGCATAGTGACGGTTTGAGTACCCTTCCTCTCAAGGAAACTTGCTGATAATTGAGAATCTAGCAACATTCGAAGTTTGCCCATCCGACTTCAGCTGCCTGATGATGGAAGAAACTCCCCGTCACGGAGGAGATACGCTCTGGTGTTCCGGCTACGAAATCTACGACCGCATCTCGCCTCCCATGCGCGCTTTCCTCGACACCTTGACCGCGACTTGCGCTCAGCCCGTTTTCCGATCAGCCTGCACGGCTGGTGGCTACGAAGTGATGTCTCCTCGCGGATCGCCTCTGAATGTTGGTGATGAGTTCGCGCCTGTTCATCCTGTGGTTCGTACGAATCGGCAGACTGGCTGGAAATCCATTTTTGCGGGCGTCGGATTGCATGTTACTAAGATTAACGATGTTTATGAGTATGAGGATCGGATGATTAGGGAGTATATTATGAGGTTGATAACGGTGAACCATGATTGTGTTGCTAGGATGCATTGGACGAAGGGGGCTGCGGCGATTTGGAACAATAGTTGTGTTTGGCATGCGGCTACGGTGAGTGTATTTCTGGCCTCTTTTGGGAATTTGGTATTGACGTTCTTAGCCTGATACGCATTTGGTGGAAGGAGCTTTACGGACTGGTATCAGAGCAAGTTCAATTGGAGAAAAGCCGTATCTGGATCCAGCTTCGACTTCGAGACGTGAGGCCTTGGGGTTGCCGAGAGCTTGATATTTAAGCTGCTGGAAATAAATCAAGGGTACTATGTTCTATGGCAGCGTGCAATGGCGAATATTATCTTAGATATTCTCGTGGCTTGTAAGGCTTTAGCATGGACTAACAAGAAATATCTCCAACATATCATACCTAGGTACTTAAACTTATGCAATGGTCAGGGATGGAGGGAATCTTTATTCACGTGACCTCCACAGCTAGTAGCTGAGTTGAATTGCTTTAGCTATACTCCTTGATCTACTCGAGTCTAAAGTCATTCCTCTTTGATAACTTTCAAAGATAGATGGTCGCACCCGCAGAACCCCACACAGTGCTTTCGTGGATGAAGAATACAAATTCCGAGAGCCAAGGTAGAGCGTTGAGGTTCGAGCATTTGTGTTCCACGAAGAAGACTAGAACTTCTATATATTGGAAATTCAGACGCTCATGTCAGGAAAGAGATACAATCCAGAGACCTTACACCAAGCGAATGCTTTCCAACTTTGCCGTCGTTTCACCGTCCAAAAGATTGAATGCTTCACCGTTCATGAAGTCGTTCAGGTAACATTCTCCAACGACGTTGAATGTCGCCTCCTTGTCTGCTTTTCTCAACACCATTGGAATGCGACATCCATGTAGCACCCATATTTCATCACCCTTTTCAGTCCGACATGGGACCATTCCAGTGTTGCCATTCCTTGTTGTCATGAATCTTCTCGACATCCTCCGAGTTGAGTCTTGGAACCGGCTTAGAAACGTCTCTTGATCCGGAAAACTTTCATTCTCATCCGAGGGTACCTCCAGTGACTCTTTGCATATGTCCTCGAGTGAGTGTCCTTGAATATGGAGCTGTCGGTTGCGCTTGAACCAGTCAAGAAAAAACTGACGACTGACATTTTCAGGCGTATGAACAGCAGTTAGACACAGGTCTCTGAAGTGGCAAAATCCTGGAGATAGAGTTTGGTCAAGGTATCGATCTTTTCGATCCAACATGAGACATCGTGTCACCTCCCACATGATCCGATTAGCGGTTCGTGACTTCAATTCGGGTACGGTCATATGATTGTCGTTAGTGCCTTGCTGTGATAAGGGTATATTCTTGGAAGTGCTTGATTGAACACATTCATACTCTTCCCAGATGTCTGTTCCGTCGTCTTTCCTTTTTCGCGCAACTCTCAGCCCTCCTATCCCATCAACATAATCGATGAAGATGCCCTGACAGGACAGAATTTTGCGATCCTCGGACACCCCAACTTGGAAAGAGCGACGACTGATTCCAGCAGCATAAGTAGCCTCTTTCTCACGTTGCTTCGATGCCGACTTTGTGGGTCTGAAGTTGTCAATGTTCCCCGAACTTTGACAAGCCATCGCAGGAACAACCCAGGGTATGTCTTCTGCTCTCCAATCCGGACACCAACTCGGGAGTCGTGACATGGGATTCGCCTTCACCATACTCCAATTGAAACGATCGGCAAGGCAAACGATATCAAGACTCTTGTACTTCTCCGCAAACCTCATGACAAGATCTGTGTATACCTTGCTCACATCGTCTCCGTATCTTGGTTGCCCAACCAAGTCCCCATCATCAATCAGCCCAAGCACAGAATAGATCCTATCTCTTGGATTGGTAAATCTGCAGTCTCCAACGTACGCTATTAGGCCAAGGAGATGCATAGGAAGACATTCACGATACCACATTAGCAGCCTCCTGCGAATCCACGCCCTATCGTAAGCTTTCTTCGCCATCAAAGACGCATCGATGGCCAAAGAGAGGTAGATAGCGTAAATTGCAACCTTCAAGTCGCCCCTATCAATATTATCCTTGCCACAGTAAAACTTGAAATTTCTCGGCACAATGTACTCTTGCAAAGTCCAAACACGGTCCCACCACGGCCTAAGAAGTATATTCTCAACCGCCTTCCACTTTTCGCGATCTTCGAGCTCCACACCAAGAACTCTTTCCTTGCCATTCTTCTCTTTATTCAACCGATTCCTGTTCTTCTTCAAAACGTGCAGAAACATCATCCCTCGTTCCGTCTCTTCATCTCCCGGGCCGAGCCAACCAAGGACCATGCTCGCGTTCTGATAAATCTGCTTCATCATGGCAACTTGACTGTTTCTTTCTGTCTCGACCTCAAACCCATCCCCTTGATTGATGCAGATGTAGTCTATCCACCACCAACACTTGCTGAGCTTTTCATCCGAGCAAATAACTTCGAGGATCTGGTAGAGGTTCTCGAAAAAGAGTACTGGATGGTTGTTGATTTTTACGAGGCGGGAGTGTGTCTTGGGTCCCCAGACGTAGGAAATGGCGTTGTATTTTGCGGTCTCAAGGGGAAACTGTTCAAGAGATCCTGTGATCTCGCCTATTGATGTTCTTTTGAGATGTAAGAGGCGAATGGTTGGTGGGTTGGCACTAAGTTTGGTGTAGGGAAAAGGCTGGGTTTCGGGTTGAGTGAGCTGCATTGTGAGAATGAGGATCGCTTATTGTATCTACAATGCGTCCTTGGAGAGAGTCAAACTGTAGGTGGATTCAGATTGTCATTTTCTTGTTCTCTATCTAAGCAGCAAGGCTGCAATGCTGCGCCTCATCAGCTTGATTGTGGGGCCAATGAAAACTGATTTTGGACAGACATTTTATGGCGTCATCATGGACATTGAAAATATTGCCTTACCCTAAATCCTTGAACTTTAATTGAAGTTGCCTCTTGAAATATCAATGCTCACTCCTAAGGTGTGACAAATTACTTTATGGCAGAATTAATTTGTGGCACGTGACTTGTTACAAGTTCACATCCTTCTTCGGGTTTAATGTATCTCTTCTGACAATATATCCTGATTATCGATGATTTAATAGGACTGCTATGCTTCATTATGTATTACATAACTAGGGTAATGCAAGAGACCTGCAGCATACAATATGCCGTTCGTGTTTGGGAAAAGGGGCTTAAGCGACGGCGTGACTACTGTTTGTTCGTCGCTATTTCTAGAATAGCAAATTATCAATGGCTGTTCATGAACACTATACGTTCTGTCGTTGCGACTACTTCTGGATCAATATCTCCCCATGTAACATTCCCAAAGTTGCATCGTCTGTCTCCTGCCACTCCTGCCAAGCTTTGCCCATTCCCACCAATTCATCCTCAGTAGCCAACCCCATTTTGAGCGCAAGGTCATGTACTCTTCCAGCTCCAACCATTTTGATTATCCCTTGCGCTACAACGAATGAATGTTAGCAAGCCGCGAGTTCCCAACTTATAGACCTCGCCATGGTAAGATAGGTAGGTACGTACCCCAAGCATCTTTATCAGCTCGCTCACTGTAACACCAAGTCCCAAAAGTAGCCGTGGCTTGCTCCCTCTTCGCTCCAGCCTTGAGAGCCCACGACAATAATTGCCGGCCTGCATTCGTGCTTCCGCCACCTATCTTGATGATATCCACAGCCAGTCTATGGAATCTCAATAGTCCAGGGAGCTCGGGCCAGACGCATTCAGTCTCAAGATCACCTTCCCTAGCAGCCAAAATTCCGCCAGGCTTCGTCACGCGCAGCATCTCGCGCAATACACCCCACGGCGCCTTCAAATGGCAAAGAACTTGGTGGCAGTGCGTGATATCAAACGTCTCGTCGGCGAAGGGCAGCTTGTACGCATCTGCTTGCTGAAACTTGATGTTCGTAACTCCTTCTGAGTCGGCGACTGTGGCTGCTCTTGTAAGGATATCTGGATTCAGGTCTATGGCCGTAACTAGACCCTTTGGAATAGCTTTCGCGAATGTGATTGAGATGGTTCCTGAGCCGGCTCCTACGTCCAATAAAGTTAGGTTAGGTTTGAGTTCTTTCATAGACCGGAGTTTAGATTGTACATAGGTGGCACTGTTCTCGGCGGTGCGCCACTCGTGGTGAATTGCTTGAGGGCCGGGCTCTGGAGCACTCTGTTTTGGAGTTGCTTGGTACATCCTTTCTGCGTCTGGCAATTGAAGTTTGACTGAAGGTTTCCTGTTTCAGGATTTTTACATGTATCGTATCAGTAGTATATTTGTTGTACCTAAAGTGTACCGCCGTAGTAAGCACGGACGCGGAGATAAAGTTGCCCCGCACCGGCTTATTCCTGAGCACGACCTCTCCATTGTCTTCTTCAGCCAGTCACGAACATACATACAAAACATTCCTGCTTCAGAATAGTGAACAGCAAGAATGTTGGCAGAGAATCCACCTCATATGAAGAGAAAGGGGTGGCGAGAAAGCTTAAGCGAGAATGCAGACACTAGTTCCGTTGAGAAAGTTCGTTGCATTGGATTTGGCCAAACTTCTGTTAGGATCTTATTGCACTCATGTTCTCACCTTTGAGTGTCAACCCTGATGTCTAGAGTCCCATTGTGGAGGCCGCAAATTTCGTGAGTTCTTAAGGATTTACATTCAGTATCGAGTCTAGTACCGAGCATAGACAGGCCAGACCTTTTGCCCCTCATCAGCTCATCGACCATGAGTCTCTTTACTTCAAGTCCGCATCGAGTGCTATGGAGTATTCGGAGTAGCGTCTAAAGTTTATGAGTGTTCCTAGAGATGGTAACAAAGTTCACTCAATAAATCTAAGATGTGTGCTGTTCCGAAAACAGACACATAGCCTCTCGAACCGAGTGCGTCTGGATCCTATCCACGGCTAGATACACCTATGCACAAGTATTACCACTTCTCTTAATGTGGAGGACTATGCTATAAAGTTTGAAGAACATTTAAACAAGGGAGTCACGTGCGTTATCATGTGTGAGGAGTTGCTATGTATACTCTCAATTCATTGACGGTACTGACCTGTTGGAACCTTGAAGTAACTTATCATTTTTGTAGACGCATCTTGCACTCTTCGAGAAAATATCAATTTCGAGTTGAGGTGGGAACGCATTGGTAGCAATGCAGGCTTGATCGTCATGCAGGGAGGCGGGCATATGAACAGGCCCCGATAACCCGCGTCCTCCACGGATTTAAAACAACGAAAACTCTGAGAACTAATAACGTTTAACTGTCAGAGCCCTGTGAGGCTCAACGTTCCTCCATGTCGGACTTCAGAAATTAAACATCAATTGTTAGTCGCACTGTAAAACGAGCTGACCAATAAGAACCCCAGAAACCCAGAACCCGAGCTCGGGTTTCGCCCAAGCTGCCGAGCGCCAGGGCTAAACTAGCCCTACAGTAAGCTTGGTCTAACTGAATCGTGAACAATAAGTGCCATAATTTACGAACGCGATGAAAGCGTTCGAAATTAATATAAATAGATCCCTCGTTATGCTTGAATCGGTGTCGTTCTGCAGTGAACAAATTCAATCTTCTGCAGAGTGTGAACAAGAACAAACAGCACACAATTCTCGATACCAAAACCTCATAGTGCACAGTCTGGAACACTTTTCTGAAAAGAACGATTCTTTCTATTACTTGCAGCTACTTCCTTCTTCGTCAAGATGACGACCGCAATTCCATCGCCGAAGCCATGGGCGGATACACCTCTTGCCCCGATACGCACCCCAGTGTTCCTCACTAAGAAAGTAAGTCTTCGCACCCTACAATGCATTCAAATCTCATTTACAATCATAGCATGACCTCTGGACCGAAGGGGCAAGTCATATGTGCATGATGCACAACTCCCTTTTCCGAGGCTACAATACAATCTACCATCAAGCGTGTCACATCTCAGATGCGGATAAGTCCGATTTCATCGGCTATTGTCTGACTTGGCATAAATTCCTGAAGGCGCATGCCGACAATGAGGACAAGAGCCTTTTCCCAAGGATAGAGGAGCAATTGGAGGATAAGACGATTTTTGTGGAGAGTCATAAAGAACATGGTGCGTTCCAATTCCCTTCCTTCAAAAATGTTTGAGAAGAGGAGGAAGAGAAGACTTAAAGCAACATGCAAAAGACAAGACTAACGAAAGTACCAGATGCATTCATGCCACAAGTGGAGAACTTCCACACTTACTTGGCCTCCCTTCCCACACCATCCTCGTTCTCGGGTCCTGCCCTTCTGGAAATAATGTCCACCTTTCAGTCGCCATTCGAAGCACACATGCGCGCTGAGGTCCAATTGATCGCCTCTCTTGCCTCTCACCCAAAGACTCCCGCTCCCGGAAGCAAGTTGGAGAAAACAATCTTGGAAACAAACAACACCAAAGAAGGGAATGCATTCGTAGCATCTGGATTCACGGACGTGGTGCCGTTCTTCATGTTTAACTTCGAGGGCGACTACGAGGATGGCCTTTGGAAGGATTGGCCGCCAATTCCAGGTCCGGTGAGGTGGGGTATGATGGGGATTGCAAATATGCTACATTCGGGATGGTGGAAATTTGCTGCTTGTGATGCGAAGAAAAGGAGGAGGGAGCTGTACGCTCTTGCGGGGTAAAGGGATGTTTGACTGTAATGACAAAGTCAATGTTGAAGTGACATTGAAATGGTAAGGAATATTGGGGTGGAGAATAGCAAACAAATCTAGCTCTAGATTCCCACATGCTCATCCTAAACTTGTCAGTCTGTGAGATATTCGAGTTCCTAGAATATGACAAGGTCATAAATGCAGCAAAGAGAGTGGCAAAGTGCAGTTATGTTTGATCCTATATCTGCGCATAAACCTTCAAGGCTTCGGCATATTGCTTCTTCGATGCATCCTTCTTCTTGTCCATCTCTTCAAGTTCTAGTTCATGCTTCCATAGCTCAGTTCTCAAGTACGCCTCAGTAACCTCAGGTCCTGGCATCTCTGTCAAAAGTTCATGAATGCCCTCTGCAGATCAGTTGAGCTGGGCAAGTTGAACCCGCCAACAATTAGCCCATTCTTCATAACTTGATGACGTCCTTGAAGAAGCTTCTCAGCTTCTTCTCCGCAGATCTTTGTGATCAATTTTGGAAGTAGGCAGAGAATTGGTCGAGATGCGGAAGATGGACAGGAGCTCGTGAAGGTTTGACGGAGAGTCTCGGGGTAGTGGCTTCAGTCTTCTTCGGTGACTGAAGTTTGGGATTGGTCGAGGAATCGGTGCTTTCCGAGCGAAGCGTATGGTTCCAGACAACGACTCTTGAGGTGCCAGTACTATGAACATTTTATGACAAGATCTGGAGGTGGGATGAGGATTTACGTGCACTTTTTTTAGGAGAGACTTCATGATGGGATAATATTCATCTTTGAGCTTGCCATCAACAAAGAATTCCAGAGAAGGGCACTACTATTTGACTACTTGAAAGCCATTTGGTTATCCAATGTACACATAGCGTCTCTTTCTCGGCGAAGAATCTGTTCCATAGATCATACTTGTTTACGTCGGAGTGGCCCCGAGCCTTGGGCGAGTTCGTGAAGCAAAGCCTATCAGATTCACCGAGCTCACTGAGACTCGTGTCGCGGAATCCGAAGCAAATTTGCTACTTCACCTTGCGGCAGTAAGACCATAACTGCGCTTGCCACTATTCAATTGTATAAACGAACTTCATGGAGGGGCAACTCCGTCACTGACGGCCAATGAGACATGACTAACCACTCCCTGAATCAAGACATAAACAGCGGACCACAGAGATGTCGGATTTCCGAGGGCTTGCAATCAATACAACGCACTACAGAAATGATTGAGTGGCAAACCAACACTTGCTAGGTATCCAATAGCACCCTAAAGGGTACGTTCGTGTGAAAATATTCCACTAATCGAGAAGTTTTCTGATGGACGGATCTAAGGATACGCAACTACTGGATGCAACCTTTCCACGACTTGTGACTTTTTTCTCGTATCCAGTATCGATGTTCAGACCGTATTAGATGCTACAAAAATAGTACTTTATGAAGGATACTAGAGAACAATGGACTGGACTCCATGAAAACCCGTGAGTATGGTTTGGTAGTGTGACCGCTAAGGTTAAACTTCGCGCTAACCCCTTTCTGATGAACCCCTCCAATTCCACCTTGAGAAGCTTCCAGCTCTTCTTCCTTCGAATTGATGACCATCCCTTTCGCTGCGCATACTGAACCCATAATTTCTAATCCTGCATCACAACGACAAAGAACGTATCCATCACAGGCTTCTACACCACTTGTCTCATTCTGCGCATCCTCCCATTCACGCAATCCTACAGCCATCCACGTCTCGAATACCCCACCGACCTCGACCATTCTTCACACAGGGTCCTCCTCACGTCGAGGGCAGGAGCTCATTTCTCGAGCCTAGGACTTCCTAGTAGGACCTCGTCTTACCACATCGAATCAAGACCATCACTACAAGTACAACCGCCACCACGCACATTCCCCTTTGTCTTCACAAACCTATCACCATCATCATGACACAAAGCTCGACCGGCACAGCTGGTCTCCTTCAGCGACAACTGAAGGCGATGCAATCTGCGAAGGACTTGCCAGGAATATCGTGTGGACTCGTCAATGACAACGTCTTCGAGTGGGAGGTGATGCTTATGATCTCCGATGACTGCAAATACTATGGCGGTATGTCTTGCCATCCTCATGCCCCAAGTCGCTCTTGTGCAATCTTCTAGCAGGACTAACAAAGGATCTCCAGGAGGCAATTTTCGATGCCATCTCTCCTTCCCACAAGACTATCCTCATGCCCCACCCTCCCTTGTCTTCAAGACTCCAATTCCCTTCCACCCGAATATCTACATCGACGGTCGACTCTGCATCTCGATTCTACACCCTCCAGGAGACGATCAGTATGGATATGAGTCTGCGAGTGAGCGATGGAGTCCGGTACAGACACCTGAGACTATACTATTGAGTGTGATCAGTCTGCTGCATAGCCCCAACGACGAGAGTCCCGCCAATGTCGAGGCCGCGAGGTTATGGAGAGAAGAAAAGAAGAACTCTGACAAGGAATTCAGAAAACGATGCCGGAAGATCGTCAGAGAAAGCTTGGGCGAGGACTAAGGACAGAGCGTGAATGTGGGGTGTAGCGGATGGTGCTTTTACGGGCGTCAGGCAAATTCATGGGCAACATTGATAGCGATACGGAATCTTTTGGGCCGGTCATAGCGCATTCAATTCAGCGATCAATTTTGATGCTGCAGGTTTGGGCGTCTGATACGATAGCGTATGCATGGACATTCCTTCAATTCTTATCCGAACATGTTACTCCTCGAGCACAGGAAGCCGGCCCTTACTGCTTTGTTATGGGAGGTCCTCTCTGGGATTTTATAACAAAGTTGTTAATCAGAGTCACCTGAACAAGTGTTCAACTTTGTGATATCGGATCCCGGTTGTGGTCCACCGAAGATTGTACGCTTCATTGCCTTAGCCTCAAACATTACTCTCAATTCACGAATTTGAAACAAGAATCAATGTTCCAAGTCTTATCAGCACATTCTATTCGCACGGGCGCCAAGGCATTGCCAGATTGTGGACAGCACTGCGGTACAGAGCCGTAAGAGGGGGCGCGGCAGTCACACGTCTAGTAGTACCTAAAAGAAACCTCTGTTTAATGGTCTAAGACAGGGTTAGGATCCTTGATGTCTAGCTGGAACAAAGAATCAGTTCTACAGCTATGAGAATTAAATTCTTGTATCAGGGCTTGCATTGAACGATTTTAACGCACATCAAACATCCTTCTCAGAATTGCCGTAGAATTAGTACCTCATTGAAGATCTGAAGTTTTGGAAGAAATGAAGTTTTGCCCTCAGAATCTCAAGCACTTCCTCAGTACAGAATACCAGTCATCGACTTTTATTCCAAGCTAATACAGACTTTCCCAACATGCTTCCCACTCTTCAAATACTCATACGCAGCCTCGACCTCAGCTTGCTCAAACCCAAATGTCTTATCAACCGGTCTCTCCAAGCCCCTCGCTGCAACAAACCTCACCAAATCCTTCAACATATTCCTATTTCCCACCGTAATCCCCCTCACAACCACTCCCTTGGCAAGTGCCAGCCCCGCCACGTCAGGCATATCTTTCTGTTTCGCCGGAGACAGAAATCCAATCACAGAGATGATGCCACCTGCGGTGATGCATTCTAGACTCTGTTTGATGGTTCCCGAACCGCCGTTCTCGAGGATGAAAACTACGCCGTTGTTATTGGTTATTTTGTTGACTTTGGCGGCCCAGTTACGCGTGGTTTTGTAGTTGATTGTGTGGTCGACGCCGTATTTGGATTTTACCAGCGCTAGTTTAGCGGAAGAGGAAGAAGTGATTATGGTCGTTGCTTCAGCGGCTTTGGCGAGGATGAGGCCTGTTATGGAAAGACCTCCCGTACCTGTTGTGCTGTGTATTAGTCGAGTCCATGTGTGGGAATTTACAAAGGGAGCTTACCTTGGAAAAGTACAGTTTGTCCAGGTTTGAGTGGAATATTTCCATATAAAGCATTCCAAGCCGTAACGCCAGTACATACCAGTGTAGACAACTGCGGGAATCCTAACTTAGACTCGCTAGGAATTTTGACCAGAACAGAAGCGGGGAAGGCAGCGTATTCTCGCAGTACACCGTCGATTGGTCCACCGTGGCCATGGTTCCAATCTTTCAGCGGGCCGTAAAGAGTGGCTACATCGAAAGCTGCAACGACTTTGTCGCCGATGGCGAAGCCTTCGACGTCCGATCCTATAGCAACGACTTTACCGGCGCTGTCGGAACATGGTATCAGGTTGTCTTTAGCAGGGAAGGGCCAGGTACCATTTGCGATTACGATATCGCGGTAATTGAGAGATACAGCATGTATTTTGACGAGGACTTCATGTTTGTCGGGGGTGGGTCGGCGCTCTGAGACTTGCTTGATGGTGCATTTTGGTCCTCGGTTTGTGAGGCGGTATACGAGATGAGTTGCCATGGTGAGAGATAAACAGTAGGGAGCGCTCAGAAGTGTGATACTGCAGTCTGAATAGCTAACATAGAGGAGAGAGGCTCCTTTATATGCGGGCGGCCCCAAAAGAATGTAAAGCTGGAATGCATACCCAGGAAGCAAGAATCACGTGACGCTTATCTGACACCTGGTCTTGAATTCAGACAAAGAAAAGGTTGCATGAAAGTTATGAAGCATGTCTTGACTGAAGAATTGAATATTGAAGTGAAACGGAGACTATTTGTAGTCACAAAGCGAGATCCAGCAACTGATCGACTCCATACACATACATGTTGCTAAACGTCATCGGAAATCTTCTGAAGTTTTAGAGGGCCGGGTTGAATCTTAGTTTCATAGACAGCAAGAAGAGATTATTCCCTTTGCAGAAGGTCATTGCAATGTCACAAGACACATGCACAGAGATTTTAGATTCTGGCGAGCAAATCAGGCTATTGTAGACCTGTAAAGCTAGTGTGAAGTTGCCAAGATTTGGTAGAAGGTTGAAACCACTAGGCGAATGCTAGTCGCCTACACCCAATCTTGACTTCTAATCGAATTCACATAAAAGACTCAAACGTAAGGCTGCGTTTCGAGGTAGTCGAGTGTCTTTAAAGAGAAAGAAGGGAGTGGCTTTACAACTTTGGCGGGCGCGCACCATCTCCAGAATTTGCACCCCCAAATGCGCGTGGGTGACTGTGGATGTTAAAGTGGCCCTGACTAATCCTTCTTCAAAACAATATGAATACCAAAATCGGCAAGTTCTTACGTTGCACTCTGTGAATGGGATCACGAATCCGCTTTGTGATTCATTCGCTCCATATCGGCAGTATATAATCTCAGCTTCAGGCAAGCCACCACCCAATAATCTATTGCCAAAGACCAACGAATTCAATATGACACCGCCCCCAATCGAAGACAGACTCGCCGAATTGGGTCAGAGGGTCTCGGACTTTGAGACTTGGTACAGAACCACCACCAAAGAGCCCATGCCACAAGAATGGCAGGAATATTCCTACTCGGTGAAGCACTGGTAAGAGGAATTGCCAAAAGAGGACAAACGAACAGAGCGTAAGAAAGCAAATGCAATCAAGAAGTACAGAGAACATCTTGGCGGACTGGGGCATGGCATTGCTAGCTGGTTGGCGGTAAATGGTCCTACGTCTGCACAATGGGAAGAAAAGTCTTGTCTGAAGAGGGAAGAGACTTTGCACATGTATTCTGTAGACGAACAATCGCCGAGGTATGAGCGTTGAGTGTAATGAGCAGAAGTGAGGAGTTGCTTGCGTCTTTAATATTGGTTGTCGGTGTTTGGGGCAATCTTGTCGGGAAATCAGTTTACTGTTGCTTCAGTTTTGATGTACACCATGGCCAAAATGGATTTCTTCATCTCATGAACTTGTATTAATCCTAGTCAATAGAGCAATTAATCGAATACAGTGCAGCTTTCCATGATAAGAACTAAATTTAAACACACTAGAACTACTAATCACGATTCATTCACCAGACTAAGCAATCATAAGGATGCATTATCAAAGGGCCATGTCTGGATGCAGTGGAATCCACTTTATCTTTCCGTAGCTTGCTTGCGCTTTGCTCCTTTTGACTCTTTGAGAGCGCCTTCTGAGTTCAGCCAGGATATATCGAAGCGATACGTTAGAGCCCAAAACCTATTTGTCTATACGATTGTCTTAATCACTTTCAGAACAAATCATGATATGCCCAATCTTTGATGAATGAAACGTATAATATACTTCCGGATTCAGGACCACCTTAGGTGATGGATTATATAAATTGGTATAAGAATTAAAAAAAAAAAAAAAAAAAAACCTTGGTCCACTCAAAGTGGGATAACCCGGGTTGAGTTAATTATGGTTAATATAACTTCATATTAACTCTCTTTTAGTAATACACTCACTGAAAATCTTACTCCATGAGTTCACCTCGTGAATACTGCTTGCTGACTTGGCCGAGTTACATTGACTAATGCATATTCAATTCTTACTGGCACACTTGGACCAATCGGATCTTATCACGACAATGCAAGACATACCGAGTAAGTGACACATCAGACCACGTGAATAGCATTGGGGCGCTTTCAAGTCAGCCGCAGAAAAAATAATCCCCATAAGTATTCAATTTCTTCTAGGCTTCCTTCGTTCCTTATATTTTTCTATGTTGCGCATCGCCATCACGTACAATTCACGAATACCCATTAAAATTCCAGACTTAGAGCAAACTATAACATCCAGTTCTCTCGCACTGCACTGAAAATCTTTTCGCAAGTTTCCCCGAGGCTATACATCAGATAGCTGCTTTTGATCAATAGCACTAATTCGCAAAGCAGTCAGGCGACATGGGGGAAATAGAGAACGTGTGCGGTCGAGGGCCAAAAGAAACCATCCAACTTGACGTTAAATGGCAAAAGACTCTAGACAAGGCTGCTAAGGGTGTGGTCACTGTCAAGTTTTGCCATACTTGGTCGTTCGACGCCGAGGACGCATGTTCTTCCGAAGCCACGGGCTTTGTGGTCGATGCAGAACGAGGGTGGGTTTTCTGCTTCCAAACTACCTCCACAAAAGCTTATTTCTGTATAGATACATCCTCACAAATCGACATGTAGCTGGACCGAACCCGTTCTGGGGCAGGTGTATTTTCGAGAACCACGAAGAGGTCGACGTCCATGTGATTTACTACGACCCAGTCCACGACTTTGGTATTCTTCGCTATGAGCCCAAATCAATCAGGCATATGTTCGTTTCGGCCATAGCTCTACGGCCTGACCTGGCCAAGGTCTCCGAGGAAGTTCGATTAATCGGCAACGACGCGGGGGAGAAACTTAGCATCCAGTCCGCTGTGATCAGCAGAGTAGACAGAAATGCACCAGACTACGGCAAATCAACCTACAATGATTTCAATATCAACTACATCCAAGCCGCTGCTGGTGCGACTGGCGGGAGCTCAGGGAGTCCCGTGGTCAATATCGACGGACAAGCAGTGGCATTACAGGCTGGAGGAAGAAATGCCGCCGCAACGGATTATTTCCTTCCACTTGATCGTCCACTTCGTGCTCTTGAGTGCCTTCAGAAAGGAGAACCTATCACTCGCGGTACGATTCAATGTCAGTGGAAATTCAACCCTTTCAATGAATGTCAAGGCCTTGGCTTGTCTTCAGAATGGGAGACAGCTTTCAGAGAGGCTTTTCCAAATGAGGTCGGAATGCTGGTAGCAGAACGCATCATACCAGAGGGTCCGTCAGATTCGAAAATCAAAGTTGGAGATATTCTCATTAAGGTTAATGGGAAGCTTCTGGCACAATTCAAGAACCTAGACGACATTCTCGATTCCAGCGTTGGATGCATCATAGATGTCCTCTTACAGAGACGTGGCGAAGACGTCGAGGTTCAAGTTGAGGTAGCAGATCTCCACAAAATCACACCGAATCGTCTTGTTTCAGTTGCTGGAGCTACATTCCAGGACCTCTCATATCAACGAGCTCGAGCCCACGGAGTTGCCTGTAAAGGCGTCTTTCTCTGCAACGGACAGGGGTCTTTCTTTCCAATACCGGATAATCGTCTCATACAGAAAGTCGATTCTAAGGCTACGCCCGATTTAGATACGTTTATCGAGGTCATGAAGGCGATCCCAGATCAAGCAAGAGTCGTCGTGACATCCACGAATCTTAATGATCCACTTACTCCTCAATTTCACATATTGTGTATTGACCGTTATTGGTCAAAGAAGATGAGACAATTTGTCAGAAATGATAAGACTGGTTTATGGGACTCTACAGATCTTGCCGATGCGATTACTAGGCTCCCGCCAGTTCCGCGAACTGCAACTTTTGTCGAACTTCGCGGCGTTCCACCACTTATCGCAGATATAGCGAGGTCTGTTGTCAAGGTCAAGTGTTTTGCTCATCAGGAACTAGATAACACGTGGACTGAAGCACGACCAAGCGTTGGTGTCGTGATCGATGCAGAGAAAGGCGTCGTCCTCGTCTCCCGAGCAACATTACCTCATGGCCTGTGCAACATTTCCATCACAATTGCAGATTCAATTACCGTTGAAGGGGAAGTTTTGTTTTTGCACATTCTGCACAATTATGCTCTTATCAAGTACGACCCTAAACTTGTCATAGCTCCAGTTAAGAGCGTGAAGTTGAGTTCGAAACCAGTGGAGCAAGGAGCCAGCCTGTATTTTGTAGGCTTCAAAAACAACAACATCGGAGGTCCAATATGTACACGAACTACTGTCACAGAGGTTTGCAATCTTCAACTCGAGCCGAACTCTGATTACCCAAAAATCAGGGCGATGAATAGTGACACAGTAAAAGTAGACACGAGACTCGCTAATGACTGTGGAAGTGGCTTCCTCATCAATGATGAAGGAATCGTTCAAGCCTTGTGGTTAACGTCGCTCTATTACAATGGCGACAGTAATGCATTCCATTACTACGGCCTTCCCAGCTCAACAGTTGTACCTATCGTTTCGAGAGTACGTAAGGGTGAAATCCCCAAACTCTGCATTCTTAGTGTCGAATTCGAGGGCATCACAATGAGCCAAGCTTATGACATGAAAGTGTCTACGGAATGGGTTAACAAAGTGGAAGTCGCCAATACCTCTCACCACCAACTATTCAAAGTCAAGAAACGTACGATCCAGTGCGAGGACACTTCCAGATCACTGCTAGAAGGAGACATAATATTGACCATGAATGGTAATATTGTAACTCGCATCTCAGAACTTGACATTATGGATGACGCAGAAACTGTGGATGTACGGGTCGTTAGAGATGGTGAGGAAGTCAACTTGAAGCTTCAGACCGTCCTATCAGAGTACGTATTGTTCACAGACTGAAGTCCGGTATTGTGCTACAAGGGTGTTGGAATCTGGAGCCGTCTCAAGAATGGCCAGTTAATTTTCGGCTTTTTACAGTGCTAATTTGTTGTGCAGTGATCTGGAAACCAAAAGAGCCCTTCTCTTCTGCGGTGCACTACTACACGCGCCTCATCACGACGCTAGGCTCAGAGTTGGAAAGCCACCCAGTGAAGTGTTTGTGTCTTGCATTCTTGATGGATCACCTGCACGCCATTACGGGCTCCACACAACAATGTTCCTTACTCATATCAATGCCATAGAGGCTCGTGATCTTGATTCATTCCTTGAGGCAGCCATGGCAATCCCCGACAACACTAGTGAGCCGAGGTCCATAATTTATAGGAAGTGAATCAAGGCTAACGGAACTCAGACTTCACTTTGACAACGAGGAGTCTCAGTGGTATCGAGCAAGTGATGAAGATGAAGAGATGTGACCATTACTTTCCAACGATGGAGTATATCAGAGCATCGCCGAAATGGATAGCGCGATCGATCTAAGATTGATGACAAGAATGGGGCATGCCGAATTTTGAGACTGGTATCCTAGGATGTTTGGGTCATTCGTCCGTTGCTTGGGGCATGCTCAGTTCATTGGAGTCCGTGGGGCAACTCACTTACACAGCATACTGCATGGATTTGACAACGCATTTTAGAGTTTACTTTTCCTATCAAGTTCTGTTTTTGATATGCAAAGTCGTTTATGAATACCCCGTTGTCACTTCTGCTAATCGCTGCAGTCCTCTGATAGTGATAGCTGCCAAGTCTTAGGACAATCCACAAGCGCTCCCACTCAGGTACTGCACGTTAATTCGAGCAATTTTCATCCCGAAGCAGCTGCAGCCGATTATCCTATGTTAATGTCATATGCAGCCTAGAGTCATCGGCCCCGGAGAGTTTATGTTACGAGATATTCTAGATTATATATAATATACCATTGACATCATAAGAAATAGTCATACGCTGGATCACGATGCATGTGGACCGACTAGTGCAGACATTAAACAAATTCCATACCGTTATGATAAAGTAGATCGTGTGATAGGAAGAAGAATCTGAACCTTAATCTAACTTTAAGGTCGGTAAAAGCTGGTAACTTTAAGCTAACATACACTATCAATCGAAGGAAGCGCAACGCATTGAACAACACTTCTCGCCTCTCAAGCTATGTTTTTGATGCCATTCTACAACTTCCAAGCTTGTTCCAGAGAAAGAATCTACGGATGAACGATTGTCTTCCGTCAACAGGGCATTTCTTATCAAAGTATCACGGGCACAGCGCTCCTGAGAGACATCCACCATCTCGTTTCTCGTGCTCTCTTGGCAAGGGCAACTCATTACGACGAAGCTTGGTCGATGGCGAGCATATGTTGGACAGCGGTGCGCAGATGGCTCCTCCGCAGCAACTGTTAACCCAGCATGCACCTCCAGGGCAATCGGCATCGGTGGCACACGCTGTCGTAGAATCGCAATAAACGTCCTCCACGCCTGTTGAGATAAAATCAGTAACAGTCTAGATGATAACAAGAGATAGAGAGAGATTGATTGGGGATGTCTTCTGACGAAAGCAAGACTTACAGACGCCTTGGCCATTTGCATCCGTCACACAAACGCAATCTCCCACTTCTCCGCAGTTAGGACTATAGATCACATTAAAAGATCCACAGACTCCTGGTACACAAGGACACCCAGTTGATGCTGGGTCCGAAATTGACACTGTGCCGGCATCAAATGTAGGTGTTGGTGCCGAGTCGATCACTGCCAAGGTGACTTGTTGATATGAAGTATCGATTAACAGAGGTAGAGGTGGGTCGTCAAGATGTTGGATCGTACAAAGAGCGTATGCGATATTGTCCTGACCGACAGCCGCAATTGCTATCTCCACGAGAGCAAGAGCGGCTAATCCATCGATGATAAACTCGGCAGCAGCTAGGCCTGCAAAGCCTACAGCGAGCCTCGATATCAGTTGCCCAATGACACTTGCAGGGAAAAACTTTGCGATGAACCCTGCCGCGCCTCCTATATTAGTCAGTTGGCCACCGACGCCTTGTGTTACGTAATTGAGAGCGTTGTTGACACTGTTCTCACACATTGTTTCTGGGGCGTTGGCTCCGGGAAATTGGCAAGTCCATGCGAAGCTCCCCGATATTGCTTGTTGGATTTGACAAGGTGATGTGCCAACATCGCAATCTGGATTCATATCTGTGACAGGATTGCCGCATTGATCTGCATGTAGGGACGTGTGTTAGCAATGCCTTTGAGATGCTTTTGAGCACCGAATACATAATCTGAAAACAATTTCCTCGAAACATGAACTATTCCAATCAGCTAGCCAAGACTAGTCTTTCACATGACGAGAAGAGGGAATCAATGTGCGAAGAAATAAAGGTACCTTCTATGACCGCATCGACAGTGAAACTTGTCTCGCGTCGTTTATGTAGAGCGGCCGAACGTTTCGAAACACTTGTGGTGTTTGATAGCTGATTCAACTGTTGTGTGAAATTGGCGATGTTCACCGCAAGAGCGCCATTGCAATTTGCACCAAAAATATAGAACCCGGTCGAGTTGACGAGTAACGAATCTCCATTCGCAGATGTGATAGCGATTTGATTTGGATTGGTGACATCGTAAAGGTATGATGTTCCGTTTACTATGAGGCTGTAGTAGTAGACTGTGGTACTATTGAGATTAAAGTACATGCTGATAGGACTGTTGAGCTGTGTGTTGGTGGTGAGATTGTTTGATGCGACAACAAGAGAGGAGGTTGGCACAGGTAATGTGTAGCATGACGCAGGGCTGCTGAAAGCTTGTACAGTAGTGCCTGTGAATGTTGGAGCGAGAGATGTTGATTGAGTATACGTCGAGATTGCATTCACAGAGACGGACTTGCTGGAAGAGCTGATCGAATAGCTCTGTTTGCTTGAAGATAGTGAAACTGTATTAACTTTGGAGCTAATGGAGCTGTGTGTGGTCGAGGAAATCGAGGAGAGCACTCGGGAACTTGACGTGGGTGATTTGGAGGATGTGCTCGTCATTGGAGATGAGGTAGGAGCAACTTTTAAGCTTGATGAGCTTGTTCTGGACGAGCTCACGAGCTTGGAGCTACTGAAGCTGAGTAGCAAAGAAGAAGAGCTGGAAAGCACAGTCTTCGAACTTGTTGAGAGGCTACTGGTCTTCGATGAGCTGCTTAATGCAGAGGACTTTCCGGAAGACGATATTGGGGTCGAAGTCTTTGATGACTGTGATGTGGAAATAGTTTTCGGACTAGAAGGTAGACTGCTGGTACTTGCTGAGCTGCCGATGGTGGACACCTTCCCAGAAGACGACAAGGAACTCGAGCTCTTGGAAGCGGAGGAGCCTATAGAGATAACTAGGGAGTTTGTACTGGTAACTTTCTTCGAGGAAGATGTGCTCGTGAGGGTCGTAGTTGGAGGTATGACAACGGACAGACAGGAGCATCCACTAGACACCCGAGATGACGGGTATTGAGAAACATATGTCGGTAGAGGGAGTGATGCGTGACTGGTTGTAGTTGCTAGAAGCTGAGAACAGAAGGTTGCAGCAGCTATGTCATGAGAGCTCAGAGCTCGTAAGACGTTGTCGAGGTTACAAGATGCAGCTATAGCTACGTACGGCAACAGCAGGCCGACCAGCATGGAATTGATACCTTGGTGCAGCATCGCAAATGGAGTTGAAGAGGACGTAATTTGCAGCGAGTTGCTTCTAAAGTCGCATACAATACCGACAACAAGCACTTATAAGTGATGGATACCCTTGAAAGCACACATGATACCCTGAAAGTTTGTCAACCTTGGCGTCGGCTTGGTGGACCCTGGAGTCCAACATGGGCGTTGAAGCTATTGAAAAGTTTGAAATAAGTGCCCAAATGAGAATGGACGACTCAGCCTTGCTGGGCGGCGGAAAGGATCTATATTTCCAGCGCAGACCACCGTTCTGACAAACAAAATTATGAGCGGCAAAAATTCATTCGAGTAGAAATACCAATCAGATCTCTGAATAAGATAATAAACCACACTTGTAACCTGCGTTGCGTTTCACGGCAGATAAACTTCTTGGAAGATTGATAGCTTACAACGAACCATCCCCAGAGGAACAAAAGCGCCTCTCATCTCACAAAGATCGAGCTGTGCGTCCTTGGCATAAGAATGATGGGACTCGTCCACATCCAGAACAAAGCCACATGAGCCTCACATAGACGCATAACCCAATTTACATTATTAAAGGAATACTCCGTATATTGGGCGGTACTGCGAGCCTAAATCAGGCCATTCTGACGCCAAATGCGGGGAGACTTTACCCGATCTGAGTATTGACAAGCTCGATTGGGGAGGAGGTAAGAAGGTGCTACAAGTACCGCTATATGTAATATGCAGAGTGACGGCGCTGAGAAGACCTGGCGAAAAGGGTGCGACATTGTGTGAGCTTTCATATTGGAACTTTCCGCGTTGATTGAAACAGTGGTGGCTTTGACCTTGACTATCAGTACTCCTGATCAGATGTCACTTCCGGTCTGCCTTCGACGATTGACTTTCAGAGTGCTGTGACAGCAGTGAAAGTCGACCATTGTGATGTGCAGGTTGTTCCACTTGCGATATCGACAGATTGGTTCTGGTGGTTATTGGCGAAGAAATAAGGTTAGAGCCAAATCCCAAAGCAGTTTAGTGTCAGGAACCCATATTAAGTGATACAAACTGAACTTTACTCTCGTCACATTTTCCTTCTCGAACTCATTCTTACATACTCTTCCCTCTCTGAGTGACTCAGAAATGATACAATGATACTGTTCTTTGGTCTGATTGTTGTCTGACCGCATCGGTTCAAAAGCACTCCGGATTCTGCCATGGGAAAGTGGTCATTCGAGTCGAGGTCGATTGTCCTGCATCTAATTTAAGTTTATTGCTTGCCTGATCCTACGCCAGGACTATTTTCGTGTGGAGTGGGCATGAAGAGTGTCCCTGCACGTGATATAGGTCGAACTCAAATCAAGTGAGATTAGGGACTATCTCTCTAGAGTTGAAGGATCTCAAACAGAGTCTGGTAGATACCAGCAGACTTTCAGCTGAGTAATGAGGGTTTTCTATGTGATATCCATTTTATGTGCTTTGATATCACGTGCAAGTCACGACTACCTAGGTACCTGCCTGGACATTTAGCAGAGAGAACGTAAGCAGAGTTGCTCTCTCTCTACTTTCGCTTCATTACTTTCTGCAAGTTGATTTCTCCTGCCTGGCGGTCCTGGCAAATCTGGTTCATATCCACTACCTGGGGGGAAGGCTAGTGTTCTTGCTTCACTGCCACGTCTCCGCTGCTTTTGTGAGAGATGAGCAGAGCTGATGTTGCTTAAAATTGTATGTTTGCGAAATCTTTCGGCGTGATCTCCATTCAACAAGATTTAACGATGAAGCTCGAACAGACACGACTTTCTCATGAACAAGTGCGGCAAGCTCTAAAAATAGCATCGCGGCAAGCCAAGCTCAGCCTCATGAACAATGTTCTCACCTCTTTCTCTGATTCTTGCAATTGCATTGTCGAAAACTTCTCCTTGCTATTAGTGAAAGACATTTCAAGACTCAAAGACCAGGTTCTTGAGACAAATATTACTCAATTTTTCTTGACAAGTGAAGCATTTTTATCTACCCAAAATGCGTAGCCTTGCGGCAGCCTTGCTCTTGCCTGCCTTTGCCAATGGCTACAAGACATTCAAAACAGTCTGCTCCAAACCTACCGAGTCTGTCAACTATGTCTCATCTGCAGATACTCGATCTACATTAGATATACTGTGGAGTTGCGTTTTGACGATAATTGCTTGCACTTGGAGCGTTCAACACCTCAACGTTCCCGAGCAGCGGGAACGTCGCAATCCAGGATGGATTGGAAATATCAAGTGGGCTTTGAAGAGAACTTGGACAAGTACAAAGTGGATGCTGATCACAATAATGGCTCCGGAGGTCTTGCTAGTGAAAGACTGGAGTGGGCGACATCTCGCTAAGAATAACTCAGCATCACTTCAGGAGTTCGCTATGACTGATGGTGTTCCTTGGAGCTTGAGCCACACATTATTTGCAGACAGTAAGACTCTTTCTTTTTCTTCTACCCTTTAGCTAGAGGCTCCTATTGCGCATTCGTGTATTTGGCGCTCTTTTGGAAAGGAAGCTGTACGCTAATTCATTCTAGTGGGAGGTTTCGTCCTGAGAAGTTATTCCTCCGAACGCCTTCACAAGGAGACCAAAACCGGACATCCCTACAAGTCGACCAAGTCCAAGTACTCGCAGCCCTTCCACTTAACAGCTTTGGAGCTTTCCAAGCTTCGCGCAGCTGGTTTTCTCGATCGATTGCCTTACATGACCGAAGAAGAACTCCTCGACAAAAGCAAAGGGGACAGCTTCGTGCGAACTATATCCCTAATCCAGATCTTATGGATGGTGATCCAAATCATTGCTCGCGGCTTTCGCCACCTTGCAATCTCTCAACTGGAAATTGGCGTTTTGGCGTTTGCAGCGTGCGCTGTGATCCTATACATCATAAACTGGAGCAAACCAAAAGGTGTTCAAACGCCCATAACTATAATGAACTTCGAGGGCGAGATTCCGGACGAAGTCATTACCATTATAGAGAAACAGCGTGCGGGGAATGATATCATCTTGAATATCCTGGGAACAGCTCGAGATTCCACTGAGATCAGAGGCACACATATACCCAACGATTACGTCTACGATCCAGATCTACCAGGCTACGACGACAACCAAGAGGTGTGGGCGATGATAGCTGGGACCTTGATCTTTGGCGCCATACATCTTGCGGCGTGGAATTTCGTTTTCCCAAGCCGCATCGAGCTGGTCTTGTGGCGGTGCTCTAGCATGATCTGCACGTTCTTTACGGTTCTTATACTGGTATCTGCTGCTCCCGATGTCTTCCTCGATCGCTTGATTCCTGATAGGACGACTAAGTTCTCCTTCTTTCTTATGAAGACTGCGATGTTGATTTATGTTGTGGCAAGGCTGTTTTTGCTCGTCGAGCTGTTTCGGACTTTGTGTTTTCTGCCGCCTTCTGCGTATATTGCTACTTGGGCCTCGAATATTCCTCATCTTGCGTAGTGGAGTGTCTTGTTCATATTAAGGTGATCGTTGTATCTTCACTGTCTTTCTGCGAAATCCTCCCTTACCGGTATCATATTTCAGGGCATTTTACAGGAATAATCGTTACCAGGGTCGTTGTCCCAATCAGTCTCTCTCGATTCTTTGTTCGAGGACATCCATGTACTTACCAGAGTCTTATTGGCTATATATTGTACGACCGGGACGGGACATTGTTTCCATGAACTCGATCAAATCACAATTAACATCCTCACTTACATCTTACAACTTACATCTCACATCTACGCAAATCGGCACAAATCACCAAAATGATAAGCTCAAGCGATACTTTCAGTATTCATATTCCAACCGCGTTTCACATTATTAACCTCCCAGCACAAAAGAGAAAACCACTTTCCCAACTCCTCTCCTTGCCTCAACACATCACAAACAGCCTCCCGCACTCGCACATCTCTTCCCCAACCCCAACCCCAATCCACTCCCCCCAATCCCACCGACACCCAAGCCCGTCCCTCCTTGCCGTCTAGCCACCACCGTTCCATTAGAGCATCCCGTCCCAACCGGCGCACAAATACTAACCCCACAGCAATTCTGCACCCAGCACACATCACCCACCGGACAATCACTCTGCTTCGCACACGGCGTGGCACCCGCGCAGAGAACGTCCTGGACACAGATGCCGACGTTGGAGCTCGTGAGGGCGCAGGTGCAGCGGGCGAGAGGTCCGCAGAGGGAAGAGGGGTAGATGGTGAATGTGCCGCATGTTCCTGGATTGAGACAGGTTCCGTTTGTGGCGGTGGGAGAGGGAGAGGTTGTTGTTGAGGTGAGGGTTGAATGACTTGTGAGAGTCGGATTTGTGGTTTTGAGTGAAGATGAGGGTGATGATAGCAAAGTTGGCGTTGTGGTTTTGACGGTAGATGAGGAGGATGAAAGCAGGGTATGGAAAGTTGAAGTTGAAGAGGAGAGAGTGCTGGTAGGGTCTTGTACGGGTGTCTGCTTGATTGACGTGGATGCGATTGCGCAGACGAGAGCTGGCAGGAAGAGAAGGAGATGCAGGGGAGTTGAGAGGTGCATTTTGATGCTTAGAGTATGATATGGGAGATGATTTGGAGGAGAGTTAGGTGTTAGACTTCTTTGATCTTACAATGTTCTGCTGAAAGTACACAGCAGCTGACTTTATACACACCCATCACACTGCCAAACCATTGCCCTTCACGCCATGAAGCTTGGAAACTCCACCAAATATTTCCTGTTACCAAATCGTTCAGCCAAGATATGCATGGTCATGAGCTTCTGTTTCTTTTCTGCACGATCAATGCAAGGTCATGATGTCTTGCTTGGAGCTGAGCATCTCGTGTAACAATGTACCACCTCCTTTATGATATTGTTTTGCTCTCGAGTGATGTCAATTGTCAAACGTAACGATAGGTTTGTGTTCCAGACATAAGTTTAACGCTAAATGTGGGATGAAAGGCGTATTTAGGCACTTGCCATAACGCCATGCAGGATTATATTTGTACTCGTATCCCCTGACCCGAGCCCTTAGATCGGTACACTCGTCCGATGTCGTGCATATTGTAGAACCTGGGGACATCCCGCTTGGAATGTGGAGCTGCAAGACAAGCTAAGATATAGAGATCAGACGAAAACGTAAAATATCAGACGAAAACAGCATGAAATCATGGGTCTACGTGGTATCATTGAATCAACTCCTATCTAAAATGCTTGTTGCTCACATCCCCTTTCTTATGCCAACCTCTATGCATATCATCCTTCGATTTCTGCGCATGCTAGATATATCCTACAACAACCACCTCCAACACCCCAAACGGTAGTTCAGAAGAGCCTTCCCACCATATCTCCAAATGCGTGTTTCTCTCATACTCTCCATACAAAAGAAACTCCTAAACTCCATGTTATAAAACGACCGCGAATCAGTTTCCAATCAGTACAATGATGGACTGCGACTTCCAGCAGCACCACCACACCAGCAGCTCGTCTCGTGACTATGCTCAACCTGCACCACGACGTCAACACCGTGTAATCGTAGAAAGTCTGTGGCTCGCTCTTTCACATCATCAAGGTCTGAACCTCGGGTTGCGATGATGTGCATTACGCCTAGAACTTGCTCAGTTGCATTTTCACTGCCCGTGTTCTCTCCCATCCAGAATCTTGGGACGTTGTAAGATTGGACGCCACGAAGATCGCTAACACCAGCTAAGGTGTCACGGAGTGTGTATTCCGCCTCGTCAGGGACGGTAAGCAGAAGTTTCCTAGCGGAAGATTTAAGCAACGGGATAGAGGAAAAGAAAATTAAGATGGCGATTACGCATGATGCGATAGGATCCCAGCCGTTGAACTTGGTAAAGTAAATGAGCGCAGTGGAAACCATGACTGCTGCAGAGCCCATAGTATCGGCCAAGACGTGGAGAAATATACCATGCATGTTCTCATTTGCGTGAGAGTGAGAATGAGCAGTATGAACATGGACTTTCTCCTTGCTGGGAGAAGGGGGCATTAGGAGAGGCGAGTGAGAATGAGAAGAATGGTCGCCGTGACCGTGGTCATGATCATGCATATTATCATGATCGTGGTCGTGGCTGCAATCGAGATGTGAATGCGATTTCTCGTCGGAGTGAGAGTGGGAATGCGAATGGTCGTTGGAATGGCCATGGCTGTGTCCTCCATGGTCATGATGGTGTCCATGATGACCAAAGCATGCCATGCCGACTAGATTGACTGCCAATCCTAATCCACTGACGACGAACAGCTCTGCAAGTCGTTTTGTCTCCCTGCCATCGATCAATCGCTCGGCTGCCTCGGCCAGAATCTCAATACTAATAAGCCTGAATTTTGTTAGCAGAGATAATAGATGCCAGATCGGAGTCTGAGCTCACATCAGGAAGACCGCATTTGCAAAACCAGATAGACTCTCAATCTTGCCAAATCCATATGGAAATCTCTCACTCGGTGGCCACTTGCTAGCAATTGATGCAAACAACCCGACCCCCAAAGCAAGACAGTCGAAGAACATATGTATGCTGTCGCTCAGAAGTCCAAGGGAATCCGTCAGGTATCCATAGAAAGCTTGGACAAGCATGAAGGAAAAATTAAGACTGGTAATGTTAGCATATACACCACACCGCCAGTGAAGGTTGCATACCACATGAAGTAGAATATCCTTCGTGAGTCCATGTTTGCCATTATGATATGCAGTAAAGGCCATGGTAGCGTAAGGGGCAGTATAAAGCTGGTGAATCTTGACCGAGGCTCCTCTTGAAGAGCAAGAGGATGTAGATGTCCATGATCATGCGGTATGACATTCGCGGAGTTCAAAGGCTCGAAGGAGTCTATCTGCGAAGCCGCGGGCGATACTTCATAGTTGTGCTTCTCGAGAGTAGCCGTTGGTGGCAAGTCATTGCTACTGAGAATTGGAGGTGGGTATCCCGAGTACGATGGTTCCCGTTCATGGCTATGACTATGACTGTGACTATGGCTATGATTGTACGAATGGGCATGATTGAGATCGACATTTGTGTCCGAGCAGGAATGCGAATGCAAGTTGCCGTTCGAGCGTTCCGTCTTCAACGTCCTGGGCGTGCTCGCAGAATATTGACGACTCGGTGAGTGAGAGTGGGAGTGGGAGTGAAGATGTCCATTGTGTCCATGACTATGGGTCATTGCCGACGCTGGCAGAGCATAGGTTGAAGCCATGCTCTGACAAACAGCGTGTTTGATCGAGCTATGAAGCTCGTGCAGTTGTGGCTGCTCCCCGCATGTGTCTCGTTGCCGTGGTGTACTCGCAATCTCGTGTTGCGCCGAGACAAGGTTTTGCTCTGCTAGCTTCGAGGGGTCAAGGGGCAAGAGTGGTGTGGATCGCGAGGTCAATTCAGGGTGGAAGAGTATATCTTCGTCTTCGTTATCGCAAGAAGAGAGGGGATTGGCAAGGTGGTGTCAGTCGTGGAGGAAGAGGAGAAGAAGTTGGCCTCTGCAAGGTACTTCGGTACAACGTCCTCCTTCGTCTCTTGTTGATCTTTCTGCCCCTGACTTTTAGTACGCGCGGCTACGATAGGCTAAACGCACCGTCATTTGGGGAAGGTGGCCGGCGCTTGTAGGGTTCCCCGGCCTTACATTAGACCACGAACAAAGTGCTGACGAGCTTTCACCACTTGGAAACACCAAAAACTTATATACTTCTAACAGCTGTTCTTACATGATACCCAGAGAGTATACAGCCATTTCTTGACCGTTCGCTCATTTTTCAAACATGCGCTGTATCTGCGATCGCACCTTGGACAATATTGGCATGCTTAAAGCCACGTCGTCATAATGCTGGATTTACTTTTGACTCTGGCAGTCATAGCCTCGACAATTTTCACCATACTCCTCCTTATGCTACCAAGCAGATATGTTAAGCATTCGCCTCCAAAAGCAACATCAATTGCATCTGCAACTGAACCCAAAATCTCCGCCCAAGTGCTGGTTCTCGGAGACATTGGGCGCAGTCCACGCATGCAATACCATGCCGCGAGTATAGCAAAGCATGGTGGTAGAGTGGATGTGATTGGATACCAAGGTTAGTAATAACTAGATACTACACAACCAGTACTAAGAAGGAAACAGAATCCAGTCTTCATCCTGCTCTTGTTGGCAATCCTCTCGTCACGATCATTCCATTACCTCCCCCACCATCCCTCCTCCGATCGAATGCCCTTCCATTTATCCTCGGAGGTCCATTGAAAGTCTTATGGCAGATCTGGAGTTTATTTTACACTTTGGCATACGTTACGAAACCTTCGAGATGGCTGCTCATACAGAATCCACCTTCAATACCGACCTTGTTCATTGCAATGGTCATTTGTTTTCTACGGAACACCCATCTGATCATCGACTGGCATAATTACGGCTGGACGATTCTCGCAGGTACTCGGGGAGATAACCACCCTTTCGTAAGGATTTCGAAATATTATGAAGCCATTCTGGGCAGTTGGGCACCTACGGCATCGTTCACTGTAACACATGCTATGCAGAAGCAATTACGGAACGAGCCTTACAACATTCGATCACCAATATTTACATTGCACGATCGACCCGCTGCTATATTCCAGCCTGTCAGTGGCACGGAGGCGAGGCGAGCTTTTCTTGAAAGGCTGCCAGAGACCGCTGAGCATGCTGAGAAGATTCTGGCAGGGAAAACCAGGCTGCTGGTAAGCAGTACGTCCTGGACTCCGGACGAAGATTTCAGCCTGCTGCTGGAAGCTTTGTGCTCCTATGCATCTTCGAGCAAGCCTCTCCCACCGATTCTTGCAATTATCACCGGCAAAGGCCCGCAGAAGCAAATGTATCTTGACCGCATAGCTTCACTCACTAGAGACTCGAAGTTACAGAATGTTAAAATCCTGACAGCATGGTTGAGTGCCGAAGATTATGCAACATTACTTGCTTGTGCAGATCTTGGTGTCTGCCTGCATATGAGCAGCAGCGGGGTAGATCTGCCCATGAAAGTGGTCGACATGTTCGGTGCTGGACTCCCTGTTGTTGGCTATGGGAACTACGAAAGCTGGAGCGAACTTGTCAAAGAGGGTGTGAATGGTCGAAGCTTTGTCACAAGTGCGGAACTGGCCCAGGTGCTAGGAGAGCTGTTCAGTGACCCTGAGGCAAAGGAATTGTCAATGTTAAGGAAAGGTGCTGTGAGTGAAGGGAAGCGGAGGTGGGATGAAGAATGGGATGAAGTTGCTGGAAGACTCCTTGGTCTCTGTGATTGAGTATTTCGAAGAAATACCGATTTCTTGCAGCCACACTGTTTTCAGTTCCTCGTTTCATATCCTCACTTGGGCTTTAGGTGGGAACAGTGAACAAATCTCCTGCTGGTATCTCCATGAAAATGCGATTAGAATCTCGCTCACGTGGTGGAGAAGCTCACAGCTTGGTTCATTGACCGGCTTCGGAAGCACACAAACTCCACCCAATCCAACGTAGGCCTTTCCGTGAACAGCAGCCATGAAGGAATGCTATTTTGAGAGACACCGAGTCTTCGCGGATATCACAACCAAACTTCACGTTCAGCTGGTTACTCGATTCCACTGTATTTGCACTGTATACAAATCGAGATCTATCACAATTTCCCTCCAACAACGTGAAGATTGATTTACCAATCATAGCATGACTGCCATAGTCATTACCTCCTTATTCATACACATCCTCATGAATTCATCTCTCATATCCAGTCTACCAGAACTTTTTCAACCACCACTACCAACTGGTCTCGCAATCCCAGACAGGTTCACAACACCGCCCATCCCAATCTTCCTCTCCTTCTGAATCCACCCCGGAACCTCCTCATCTCTCTTCTCACTCTTAGCTCTCGCCGAAATAACCTCCCACGGACTCGGGAACCCCGCATTCAACGGTCCATTCTTCTGCTTCGATCCAATGATAGCGAACTTCCCTTGTGCGTGGCTCATGAATCCGTGCAAGAATCCTTGGGCTACAAGACCAGCGACGATGCTCTCGACGTCGAGCATCCGCGGCATTTTGTTGCAGAAAATAATTCCCTGTTTGGGAGACAATTTCTTCCGACCTTCCGGAGGCGGCGCTAGCGAGGGACGCTTCATGAACATGGCGTTGGGGTGAACGCGGCCGTTTTGCATCTCTGTCATGTTGTCAATCGGTCTTATCCAACCCTCGAGGAGCTTTTGGCAGAGTTGGGCGGCGGCGAGCATATCTGACAAGTTTAAGACTGCTGCTTTGTTGGAGGTTGGATCCCAGGGGAAGGTGTAGGTGAGGAGGAAAACTCGCCGGGCCAAAGACCGCCAGACTAAGGGTTCGCAGCGCGATAGTAAGGGGAGTAGGACACCGTGGTGAAAAAGCCACTTTTCGTTCCCTAACTGGGGGCCGAGGGAGTGCTTGAATGCGACCATATTGCCTTTCTTGATGGCGGCTACCACGGGCATGAATATTGGCAGTAAATCGGCGGCTTCCGGTCGATTGGCAAATTCTCCAGAAGGGAAGCGGCCAAGAATCATGTTGGCTGGAATGAGATAGATTAGGATAGCTCGTCGGTGGGATGTAGCCAGGCGAGGTAATTGGTCGTAAGCTGCTTGCAAGCAGAGCTGGGCGTAAAAGAAGAGATTATTGTTGAAATGATAGCGTCCCAAATAATACAGGAACTGGACACGGTGACTTGCTGGGTATAGACTGAGTGGTGGGGAGTTCGCAGAGATATTCGTGAACAATTGATTCGCAAGTCGTGTCTTTCTGCACTGGAGAGCTTATTAGAGATGTGCTTCTCGCATGCTTTAGGAAGGTCATACCTGGAAAAGAAGCTTGAGGACCATATTCGCGAACGAGTATATGCCCACCTTCTTCCCTTCCGGCTTGCCATCTCTGCTAACGCCGTTCCTGTTGGCTGTCCTTTCAGTCAAGCAAATTGTGAATGCCCGCTGGATCAACTCGGCCGTTGCTTCCACCAAAGTCTTCCTCTCGCCTTGCTCCGCGTCCGTGATTGTGTTCAAATTGCTCGTGAGGTCTGGTCTCTTGTCCAACATGGTCGCAAGTTTCGCCAGAACTGTACATAACTGAATCGTAGCTGGAAGCAACACAATACCCAATGTCGCATTGGACATTGCGGTAATGCAGGAGCTGAAGGTGTTATTATTCTGCGGTATGCTTGCGGAATAAGGGCACCTACTTTGCCAAACTGCTCAATTGGTCGTGTGTTCGTACCAAGTCATCAAAATTGACGTCCCTCCAGTATTCCAAGTATTCTTGTATGAATGCCAGAAACCCAGGCCATGATCCTCCCTCGTCAGCCTTGTCATCGTCGCTCATTGGAATAAGTCTTTCGACGTGCTTCTCGAGTCTGCTGCTGTCGCGCCATGATTTCTTCAATTCGAGGCTGAGCTGCGTGAAGTCATCAGGCAGGGGAGGTTCGACTCGAAGATAGTTCTGTAGTTTCTCGTCGTCCTTTGTTTTGAGGAATTGCGAAATGTCAGCGAGGTATCCGTCGAGAAAAGCCATGGTGACGAGCGCAATTGTTGTAATGGGTAGCCATTCAGTGCTGTGGGAAAATGTTATTATAAGAAGATGCGCTACTTATTCATTTCCTATTGTGTTGTGTTTCTCGAGAGTGACGAGGCGGACAATGGGAAGACAAGGCTGGAGAAATATTTTGCTAGACCCAAAACAGTTTAGTCTCTAATCCTTGGCCTCAACTTCACCTCACTCCTCGTGTCTTCATCATGAACCAACAGCAGCGAGTGCTGCAGAATCGCCCAATTCAGCCTTGTTTGTTCATGCTGTGCCATCATCGGGCACCATCACTTATTCGGCGGAACCTGCATATACCGCATACCAACTTTGAGCTTCCAACTGAAGTTGGTAGATGTGGGTCGCTCCAACAAGACCGGATGTTGGCATCTGAAAGCTTTTACTGAATCGTTCGCGTTCCTTCTCAGCAAGCTTTTTTTTTTCTCGTCATTTGAATTGCGCAATATCTCAAGACACTGGCTTTCTCTCATGATGCATCCCCTCATCGAAGTGGGTCTTGCTTATGTGGTTTTTGGCACTTGCGTTGTTCTCCTTTCGCCATTTCTGCTTTTGTTGCGCATAGGTAAGAAGCACCAATCGTCAAGGCCTGCGACGGCACCCAGGTCCGCTACCGCGCAAACCCCCTCGACATCGAAGAGCACTCACTTCACCAAGTGGCAATACACAAAAGCAGTCTCCACTTCTAGCCAAGCTGCCTTATGAAATACGCCAATTAATACTGAAAATGAGCATTGGTAACACTACTTTCCACATCCAATTGCAAGAGGGGCGGCTTCGTGGAGTCATGTGTACCTCCTTGACACCGCATCTGTGTAATGGATGCGGTATCGGCAGAGCATGTCGTGTGCAAGACACTCTATCTCCGGTCACAACCAAGACATACAATGCCTTGGCGGTCCTTCAGACATGTCATGTAATGTAAGCCGCCGATGCCTTCGCCTTGCTTTACGTGCTTACTTGCAAAAAAAAAAAAGATATTTCGAAACGATTGCCATTTTGTACTCGCAGAATACTTTCGTTGTCTGGCAATCAGACTGCATAGAGTTCATGCCAAGGTTATTCTTGCCACAACGTATCGACTCTATCAGATTGCTGCGCTTCACATGGACATATCTGGGAGACCCTCCGCTTCAAGCAGACCACAACATCAAGGACAGGCGAGTTCGATTTAGAAACACGTTATGGACAATGGTGTGGCGGAACATATCTCGAATGGCGGGGCTTCAGGACTTGCGAGTCACATTGAGGGTTTCCGGTATTCATTGGAGTAGCTTACCACCAGAGAACGCTGCTGCCACTATCGAACCTATCAAAAATATCACCGGACCCAAGATTTTCCAACTCATCGTTCCAGACGATATCGGAGCCGAGAAGGCTCCTTGGACTAAACTACCATGCGTTATCAAGACAGTCCCCTCTGCAACACAATACTCAAATCCGCAACTCTAGGCGCCAAATTTAAGATGGTGCTGGGAGAGGATACAGTTGAATGGTGCCGTCTTCGTTCACCTGTCCAGCTTTCTCATTTATCAGTGACGCGGAACCATACAAGGCCCATGTATCTAGTCCGCCGAAGGTGTGAGCATTGGCTGTTGAAGGGCTTTATTGATACTCTCTTACCAGCATTTTTTTCAGGTCCCCTTCCAGGGACGTTTGATGTTGATAGTGCTATACAATTTTTCCGGCCTTGTTGAATGTTTGAATCAGCTCTCCAAATTGATTTCAGAGGTGGTGCTGTGGTAGCCTACCACAGCCTGCTCTCCCTCCAATGTCGTCCGTCTATCGAGTTTGGTCGCGGGTCGCATGTGTCATCTTTGCATCGTCAAAGCGGCACTCCATGCCGATTTAGCAACGTACCTCATGTAGCAAAAGCTTATCAGATAGAGAGAAAACATCGATTGGGGTGTAAAATTTGGCCAACAATGGGACCAATTTCACCCTAGTTGACTGCCACAAAGACAGCGGCAGGTCATTTGTTGTTGGATAATTGACCGTCATTCCGTATCTCAGGAACCATGGGCATATTTGAAGCTGGAAGAAGTCTTCATCGGGGGTTGTCACGTATGCCAATGTGACGAGACTGCATTGCAGTGCAAGTTTAGCACTTGTGACATCTTGATTATCTGCAAATTCAAAAAGTGAGTCTCGATCTATCTCACCTCTTATGGTTTATGGAGACTTGCCTTCGTCGTAAAGATATCGTGGATCCCTCACACGCGTCTTGAGTCTTTTCTGGTCGCAATAAATTTTCTTCATATATGGATAAGAGCAATTTCTTCTCGCCGTTGCCACACTTACCAGATCATCTTTGCCTAACTCTGCTTGGTTGTCCGTCTGGTGGTTAAATCTCAGAACACCGCCAGCAGCGGAATACATCGCTGTTCTATGGTCAGATAACATATGGGAAAGAAGAGCTTGACTTACGGGCAATAAGTTGATCACCCTTTTGGGTCGAGCCTAGCAGCCACGTGGTCAATTCGTTTTGTTTATCTGTATTGGATGCCGAGTTGCCAGCTTTCAAGCCTGCAGTTGCCATCTGGGTTTTTGCTATGTCAGCTTGAACATATATTGAAAGTAAAAGCATATAAGCCTTTCGAATGCAAGTGACGAACATAATAGCATCAACAGCAAAAGAAACCTTACCACAAAGGCTCCAGTCATGGCTTTTTGAACGAAGGCTTGCATGTCCGCTAACGAAGCTAAGCAAGACATAACAAGTCAAGATCTAGTTCTCACCTGTGCGTGAGACCGGATCGATCAGATAAACACTTGCTCTCACAGAGCAGATCGTCGTCGCAGCGGCCAAGAGCAGGTGCATGGTCACAGTAGGCATCATTGTCTAGAAGCTGGAATTCAAGAGGGTGACTTTGAATGAAGTGGGCTCTGAAAGTTCGCGGGAATGCTGAGGGTTGATCGGTCTGTACGGGAAGTAAGGTTACTTTATACCCACCAAGTCTTCTCACCTTCAGTCTGTGATTGTCCAGAACTGAGGCAAACTTTTGCGGTGTGTTTGTTGAAGTTGGTTTTCCACCGTTGGACATCTCCAATAACGATCTATTTCAAGATACCAATGTTAGACCTTAGTTCCCATATCATTGAAGAACAGCTGCAATGCTAGTATGTTTTTTGGACCCGCCAATCGTTTGATACTATTCCGGTCTTTCCTTCGTGGAGAGTTTGATACAAAGTACGTCTCCTGCGTTTCTATTGTCAGCCCAACTTGTACCACACTTGCACGCACCAACCATCCTATTTCTAAAGTCCAACCCGCACTTGCCGCCATTCCTCAAGATATCAGAAGGATCCTTGAGAAGGAAGTGCGGCCAATTGAAAAGTGGAGTGGCTGTCTGCGCCTTCGAATTGCCGCCAGCAGGTATGATTTTGTCCCAACATAACATGTTATCAAAGTCGAATTCCTGACGCCATCAATTTGATCTCGAAAGCGGAAGTTCTTGCTGCCTCGGTCTATTTATGTGCCAACGTTGGTGATCTGAAACATCTTCAACAGCGCACCCGCATATCTGGCAATGTTGGTCATGGCGAATCTTTCAATCCTCCGATGAAATCAATAAACCTGAAACTCAATACACACCTCTTGGCGTAATTGTCCAACCACACCCACACTAGATAGAGACAACTTATGGTGTCTTGGAGGATCTGAGCTGTCAGGTGGGTATCGAGTGTAGCTCACCCAACAGAGTTCATAGTCACCATTATATCATCATATGTTGCTCTCTAGGCTATATTGGCTGGTCAGACAGTGGTTAGGAATGCCAAGCGTCCTTTATCTGCATAGATTTTATACATAGATCGTCATAGTTACTCTCATTGAGTTCAAAACTTCCACCTGTCAGCACAACCGTCCGCAGTCGAGTGTGAAAATGAATACAGTACCATGCATCATGTTGTTTCTCAGCGGTCTCCGCTGTGCCCGGTCTGTTGCGGTTGCTCCAGCACCAACCGAGCCTGCGAGACTTCCAATCCGTGAGGAGGACAACATCAAACCAATTGTGCCAACTAGCTCAGGTCAAATCCGCATCAATCCTGTGGAAAACGACCTGGGAGATCCAATCACTTACGTTGGGATCATATTCGGAGCCGATACACAATACATCACCTTGGATAATGCCACTGTTACTACTATAAGGCTTGACATCCTCTGTTGCAATCTACACTGACATTACCAGACACAAAGCTACTTGGACATCGATGTGGGTACCCAATGGCTTACGTACGAAATTGAGGTTGACTCTACTACAACCGCTGTAAGTCCTCAATATCTAACCTGTCTCCTTATCCTAGTTGACAGAAGAAAGTGGGTTGGTGAATATCTCACCATTGAAACTATCAATCCGACTTCCACATCGACAGTGCAAATAGTCGTTGCAACCGCCACGGCTGCTGCAAACGGACAATCGGTTGGGGACGTATCTATCATACTCTCAGAAGGTCTCGCAGCTGCTTTGCAAGCCTCAGTCCAAGGCGCAGTTCAAGCTTGCAAGATACCTGGAATGAAAATGTCTCGACGAGACCTCGCAGCCGATTGTACGTCAACCCTCAAATATCTGTGCGCTTTCCGCTAACATGCTACCAGTCACGGTCTGCTTGGCTACAGCAGGTGCCAATGCTGCCAAGAATGGAGGTCTATTCGAAGACTTTGTCAACTCAGAGGCATGGGAAAGCGTTGCTGTAACGATAGCAGAAAGTATGGAATCACTCATTAAAACAGCCATTGCTGGGTTATCCACAATCGAAATTACGAGAACGATTATATGGCTTGCAGCAGCAGCAGCAGCCACAGCTGGGATAATATACGAGGCTACTGAATTAGGAGAACAAATTGAGTCAAATCCTATTGGCAAAATTAATATACCGACAGCTGGATTGAGTGCGCAGGCCCCTGATGATGGATGCGACGGGACAGAAGAAAAGAATGAGGAGTCGGTATGTGTCGATATTTTGCCCTCATCACATACTAACCCTTTTACCCAGCCATTGTGTATAGATTTCGACTGTTTAAGCTCGAACAACGAAACATGCGATGTGGTAAGTTGTACTGGCGCCGAGACCTCCAATCGAGCTAACGATGACAGGACCTAACAGGAACTGTCCTTGCTTGATGCTCATGGTTGCAATACCACAAACAGCCAATGCTTCCATGCTGTACTATGCTCAGACCTTGATTGCAGACTTTATTCAGAGTGCAGCACAGGCAGAGTACGCAAGTGTGTCAGTGTCAGGTTGCAGTACCTTCACTAGCGTATACCCATCAAGTCAATCGGTCCTCGATAGTGGAGCGTATACTTTTTGTAGCTGTGGAGATGACATATACGGTCTCGCTCGCGGGGTATCAGGTACCTCTACAACGTCTTGGTGTAAGGGAATCGAAGCCACGCCAAGCGGGTTTACTCAGGTATCCACTACCACGCATGCCGCGAAAACAGCAACTCAGCAAAGCATTAACCCCAGCGCTGTTGCTTCAAGTATTCTGGTCATTCCTCCGCCTATCACCACTACTACATCTACATCTTCAACGAAAAATCCCGGGGAGCCATACAGCTTGACTTGTGCTGCTCCGTTTTGCTAAAGCCAAGTCGGGCGGGGTGTCATTTGATTTGACATTGAATATGCTTTGCATTTTTTATTACACTTTGTTGTTCTGCAAAGGTCTCTGTCGCCTTCACTTAAGAAGAACATAGTCAAAATCAATACAATCATCATTATTTCACATATACTCCATCAGAATTGCCTCCAAAAGACCCCATAATCTTTCACCCGTGCCTTTCTCTATCAATCCATTCATCACACCTTCATGTCCCTCGCCCCACCTTCCCCATGGAACCACATAGCCACCATTCTCTCCTCTCGTTTTATTTCCCAACAACCCCGCCTCGCCATTTCCAATATCGATCTCTCTAATCGCAGCCCAACACTCGGTCAATGCGCCCATTCTAGTCTCATATCTCAGCCTCCCAAAAATCGCGTAGAACCACCGGGGTAAATTACCCTGCAGACCTGTTTTCAACGCTCCAGGATGGAGACTCAAACTCAGGATCCTATTGCCATTGTCTTGAAATCGCCGAGCAAATTCATACGCGAGCATGACATTCATAGCTTTACTCTATCCATAACGCTCAACCTCTCTTTTGAGACCTTTCTTATCTGTCCCCTCAAGATTTACATTATCCCACGCAACTCCGTCCGGAGCTGGCGATGCTCTATGCCCGGAGGAAGAAACCCAGATGACTCTTGTTGAGAAAGCCTTTGCGTCTAGAAGCGAAGCGGTAGAGAGGAGGAGTGGAGTAAGGTAGTGCTGAAGTATGAATGGCGCGAGGACATTGATGCCGAGTTGGTGGTATCCTTGTTCTGTTTTCTGTTTCGGGTCTGCGGGTAGCATGACGTCCGCGTTGTGGATTATGACGTCCAGTCTTTTTTCTTTCTTCAGAAGCTCGTTAGCAGAAGATTTGATGCTGCGAAGATCGGAAGGATTGAGTTGGAGGTAGGATATTGATCCTCGTCCGGGCTTTATGACTTGTGACGAATGAGGAAGCGAGGACTTGATAGATTCGACGGCTTTTAGAGCTGAGGATTCGGAGCGAGATGTGATGTAGATCGTGCCGTTGAGGTGATAGAGAGTCTTTGCTGTTTCGTAACCGATCCCTGAGGTACCGCCCGTGACGAGAAAGACGCGGCCAAATTGGTCGCTCATGTTGGCCTCTGTGAATTGAGGCGAGGGAGGACACATGTCGGTCCATGTTGCAGCCATACTGAAGGCTTGGTGGAGACGCTCGAAGTCGAATTGAGGCGGAGACTGGAAAAGAAGAGAGACGGAACTAGGGAGATCAATTCAGCTCCCCTCAACTTCGAGAGTTAGGAACATCTCATCTTTACATATACGTAGAAAGAAATTCAAAATAGGGACTCGAGTAAATATAAAATGACTCTAAAAAGTCAGCACATTGCAGCTCAACTTTTACGATCACTTGCTTTAGACACTGGTAAGCGAGTGGAAAGGGGGCAGGTCAGGGTGAATTTGCGGCCCAAATCGGCTAGCTCGACCCCGATATCGCGAGACCCTTTATAGTGTTAAATAAGCATTTTTTGCTTCCAGAATTAGCACAAGTTAAAGTATGAGATCCGACAAGATTTAAGAGGCATACATCTTTTTTTCTCAGAAAAAAGACTTAAAGCCAGAGTAGGGCACGTAGCCCACCGTCCCAAGAAGGCAGCTAAGGATAAACAATGGTTCGCCCTTGTACTAAGCAACTATCATACTCCCGCCTCGGTATGATAGTTGTTAATGTTTTGTTAAATTTTACAATTTTTAAGGTTGGTTCTCGCTAAGCTGCCTTCGATTTTTTTGGTTTACCTAGGTACTTTTTTGTCCCCGTGCTAAGCGAAGAACACTAGCGTGGTCAGCAAGCTGCATGACGCCAAATTCGGATTTAAGAATTATCTCAGCCCCATCGGCCGCCATATAACTTCTCTGTCAGCAACCTGCATCTTATTCCTTCTCAATCTCCTCTCCTCACAAACAGCCAAAAGAAGTCTCAAACACCGAAAATGGAGACTGTAAAACCAACCGAGAGGCTTCAAATCGTGGTTCAACCAATGACACAACGAAGCGAAGCTCGAGATAAGGATGAGGATTGGACCGGGAAGAACAGTACTGCATTGAGAAGAAAATTGCAGAATCGTCTGAATAAGAGAGCTTCTCGTAAATCACCCGCTCTTCCATAAATATCGTCACGTGAGACTAACGGTCCCCAACAGGACGACGCAAAATGGAAGCCCTGCAAGCAAGCCAGGATCCAGGAGCAGACCCGATCCTCGAGCCCGCAGAGCAAGAATTCCAGCGCGTAGCATGCATACCACTCCCTACCACGATCCATTTCGAGATTGCCCGCCGTCCCTACGGACACCTGCCCAACATCTGCATCCAGAATTCTCTTCGACACCGCTTGACAGCCGCTCCTTCATTTGCGCAGTTCTTGGAATTCCCGTTGCCGGTTGATCAGAAATTGCTTACGCTGCTGCATTTCAATCTCGTCAGGGCGTTAACGGAGTTGGTGCTTATATTGAGGTTAGATCCTGATAAGATGAACGATGATATTGAGTCGCCGTGGATCGAGGGATCAGACTTGGCCGTTGAGAATTTGCCGGAGACGATGCGGCCGACAAGGCTTCAGAGGGAGATTCCGCATCATCCTGAGGCGGATATGTTTCCATTTCCTGAGTATCGTGACAATTTGATTCTTGCAGGGAAAGAGGTCGATGATGTGGAGTTGTGTATGGATATCTTGTATGGAGTCGACCCGGAGGAGATTAGAGGAAGTGCGAGTGGGAGGACGGGATTGATTGTTTGGGATGACCCGTGGTTGCAGACTAGTTGGGAAGTGGAGGAGGGATTCGCAAGGAAGTGGAAGAGGCTAGTGGGTAACTGTGGTTCATTGATTAACAGTACGAATTATTGGAGGAGGAGTCGAGGCGAGAAACCACTCTTGTTAGACGGATATGCTTAAGTAGAGGCTCGTGCCGAGATGAAGTGCACTATATGTTCTCTCTCCTCGTTCGTTTAAATTTTCCGAGGATTCAAAGTCTCGAGCCAAAGACTAGGATCCAAACATGCAAGCGTGCACATGGGCAGCATCAAAGAGGTTGCTCTGAAGTCCCCGCAGAGGATGTCAGCGTTACCTCGGACCTTCCGTCAGAACAGACATACCGGAACAATTACTCATCCTTGAGACTGGCCTTCCCACAAACATCATATCCAGATCTTCGGGATGTGCCTCACCAAAGCTTCTCTGTTGACTGGTCCCCGCCAACCTAAATCTTCTGAACAGGAACCATTTTGCAGGGAGGTTACTAGCACTGTGCCCTGTCTTTCCTTTTTGCCAATATGGCTGAGCTCTTGGATTAGTTGAACAGCTCAATCGAATCATCGTTTCGTATTTTGCTTTGTCGGAGATGTCGTGCCAGGAGTAGGGTGAGAGTTTCTTGATGTATGGCTTCAGGTTGGATGGGTTTACAATTAGTGCCTGGTACATTGCTTCTGTCTCGACCTTTTTTCATTAGTATAATACGTGGAAGGCGTGGACTAGGAGGCATACAGCCATTTCTGCGAATATGGCCTTGGGTATCTGCAGCTGCCGTATTACTGCGTCGTCACTTTGATTCATGCCGAGCATTTGTGATGTGCTATCTGCGTCGGTTCGAGTTCTGCTTGCCAGCTCTAACGTCCCACCTAGCTGTTCCCTGATGTCGTTGAATATTCGATAGGCTGGTACAACGTAGGCGGTCCTAGCTTCCGGACAACTTGCGATAATGTGACCATAAAGATCGCCACTCTCTGGATCAATAACCCAGCATCCAGTAACACCGCTGTCTAAGCTAGTCAGCCTTCATTTCATCAAGCAAAGAGTGGTGACATACCAAGTCTGCCGTCGAGTCGAACAACATAGACCTCTTCGGATGAAGCTCCTTGATGCGACTTGTAATAGATAGATGATGCCGATACGAAACCAGTTTGAGTACCGACACTTGTAACAATAAGCACGCTCACGGTATCCCTTATTGAAGGAACAACACGCTCAACATAAAGTTGACACTCTCCAGTGATCCAGTCTATTGATGTGACATTTGCAGGTTCGTAGTGAGGACGTTGTATCTCAATCAATGCCCAATCCAAGTCAGGATGTTGACCATTGAGTGATGATGCTAATTGGTTTCCGATGCCTACAATGCTCATACTCTCAACCAAATCTAGTGTAGTCAGCACCTTCGCTAATTCTCCCTTCGTCGTTGCTTACTCGAGTACGTTTTGTCCTGAGGCGGAACATTGATCATATTGCAGATTTGAGATCTATGCCCAAGCGACTGGGACTCTGGACCTAGACAAGGATATTAGTGGTATGCCCCCAAGAGAACCAAGCCCCACTAACCATCACTCATCATTATATCGCCAGTGTCGTCTTGTGAATGAGGCGTCTCTCCATCGAAGGTAAAATCCATCTTTGAGATTGTAGCCGGAAAGTAGGTTCCATCTTTGAAGGCATGTGCTACCGTGAGACCACAATAAACGTAATCATATTCACTAGTTCGCAGCCGCACAAACCCTCCAATCGTCGCCTTTTGCGAGATGGACGTCGGACATAGGTTGCCTGGCATGGACCTTTCCATGACATGAATGGATCGACCGCAAACATCATTCGTATTGGATGGGGAAAAGAACACAAATTCTCTGTCGGCGGCACTCAAGGTATCTCGAGATTGAATCCGTTGCAATGAAGTAGGAGAGTGAGAGCTGCTTCCTAGCAATACACCAGGGAATCGAGAAAGTACTCCGCTTCTTCGAACAATGTTGAGGCATCTGATGCGTGTGACTTTTCGCTCGGTGCTGATGACCAACGTTGGAGATGCGTCGTGTTCATTGCTTCCAATCATAAATACTCCAAATGTGATTGAGAACAGAATAGAAACATTATGTAGATAGTCGGAATGCTGATTCAACAGCTCTGCAATATCTCGTAAAATGGTTCGTGAAATGTGAAGAGCTGGACCTGCAACTTCCCAGCATTTCTGTGAGCCTAAGGAACAACACGGAATGCCAATCGAGGCTTCTGGATTCGGCCATCGAGGATGCGCCGACGTAGCTGAGCTTGATGCTCGAGTTTGCTGAGTGCTTCCTGTGGGAAGGTTGTCTTTGAGGTCTGGCCAAGGTGAGGTGCTTGTGTTCGGAGTCGTTGAGTTCATGATCGTCTGCCAGCACAACCCAGGAGAAAGTAGAGCCACCGAACATGGATCTTAGTAGTCATATCATAACGGCTCCATCAATGTGTACTGCAATAAGTCCCGTTGAAACAGACCGGCTTCGACCGCACAAAATTGTGCATAAATGTTATACTTGGTTGACAAGCAGCAATGTCATTATAAAACAACTGTATCTCATCACTCAATATCGAGTAATCACAGAACGTATTCCTCTCATCGCCGCGGCGTCGTCCACACCTGACCGCGTAAGCGTACCAAAGGAAAACGCCAAGAACATTTCCAAAAGAAAAGCACTGGACATCCATGTGTATGTGTAACCTTAAACAGACATCAACAAATCATAACGAACGGACTCATGCAAATACGGCAGGAGGTACTGTCAACACTGATAGAGCGAGTCAGATGCTGGGAAGAAGCTGTCGCTTCCGCTCCTAGACGCCACTGCCACGCGTCCGAGCCCTTCGACGACAACTTCGGGTAGCTTCAGATGACGCGGCAAGGCTGCAAGAAATAACAAACTGTTTAACCGGAAGAGAATTGATAGGAGAAGTAGGAGAAGTAGGAGAAGAGGGAGACACTTGTCGAATAAAATGTCATGGTCAAAGTGAAGGCTGGTACCCCGCCAGCCTGCTGCAAAAGGCTGATGTGCTGGAAACTATCATTGGTAATGCTCACGGGATCGGATATGGCTTAAGTATTCTAAGTCCCCAATAGGAGGATCATAATGAAGTTTGCCAGATTCGAGCTGATGTTGCGATGAAAAGTTAAGATTTTTTCTGAAATTTGAGGTCAAGAATTCGCTGTGTTAGGATGGTGTCGCTAAACTCGCGCCCTTGGCCATGCTTGATTCACATCGCCTGGGTGCAGAAGTCTTAGTAAGCCACACAAATATTGATATACCCACCTTTGTCCTTAAGATAAAGTCTAATTACAAACAGCATCGAAGACTACTGATATCTCGATTTTGTTTTATCCCTTTCTTGATCTGAACACAATCGGTATTCTTGTAATGACTATCTCTTCAGCATTTGACAAGACCCATCGCCCAAATCATTGAGAAGCCAATATGACGAAAGACAAGCGTACTTGATCATATAAATGCTCCGGTAAATGCGCCCCTCCGCACTATTTACAGCTCTTGTATTCCGATATGTACCGCACTAGATATTAAATCAACATCGTTTCAAACATTAACTAATAAAGCCACACAGAAATTTACACAAAGTTCAAAATTAATGCCTAATAACATGACCTCCACTCTGAAGTTTCCCTTTGATGGTAGTCAATATGTCCCAGGAAGCCCGGTGACGACTACATTCATCGAGTCTAGGAGACAGATTCTTTTCGTGATTCGGCCCTTCATACCAGCTTTCTACCTCCGCTAGAACAATCCACGCGTCTCGTATCCTTTAGCACGGAGTGCGTCGTCAATCCACTTCTGATCAGGCAGCCGTTTCAAGTACCCCTTTGACGTTCAGTCGGCTGCAGTACGCAACACAGAAGAACGAGACTTGAAGAAATCTCACAATGTCGAATGCGGTACTCCCCACTCGGAGAAGATCAAACAGTCGATCGTATTGGCAAAAGTGAACAAGCCGATACCAGGATGCTCTTTTCATGTATTGAAAAATTGTATCATTAGTCTCGTGATTTGAAGTCCTCATAGTGCCAAACCAACCCCAAGCATCAACGCAACCCAAAATGTCCAGCCCCACCCTTCCATTCTCGGACTCGCACTCTTCATAGACGCCGTGGCGCTCACACTTCCAACCGTGCTTGTAGCCTCGATCATATTAGAAATGACAACCACAGTACTCGTAACATTGCTCGCAGGCTTTGTGCTCAACACACTCCCTGTACTTGAAACACTCCCCAACACTGCTCCAACGGATCTGGCGGGGACGACAGAGGTGAAATTATCAGCTCGTGCAAAGACATTATTTTTATTTGAAGGAGATACAGGTGCGACAGCGTTTGTAACGGTTGGGAGGAGAGAGGTCGATGATATAGAGCGAGACGAGGTAGAAGAGGTTCGGCTCGTGCTGGTGACTTTCGAGGATAATGCAGGTAGAGGTGAGGATTTCTGGCTGCTCGAGATGCTGGGAATGACTTGAGCGGCTTGAATGCTGGACTTAGAGGCTGAAAGCCATGAGAGTTTTGAGGAAGATGAAGAGGAGCTGGAAATGAATTGGGCAGCTTGGGTCGATTTGGTATTAGACACTGATGACGATGGTGAGAGACTTGGGCTTTTGGAGCTGAAAACTGGTACAGTTGAGCTCGTATGTATGGTGCCTGTAGATGTGAGTTTTATGCTTGAGCTGGTAGACGTCGATTTCAGACTTGTGCTTGGGACATTGCTCGTAAATTTGGTAGAGCTGACTAGGGACATGTAAGTAACTTTGAGACCTGTGCTTAGAAGACTACTTATAGTCTTAACAGAGCCGCTTTGTGTAGAAACGGATGACGTTGAGAGGTGAACAACAGTAACGCTTGACGATGACAAAAGTTGTCGGGAGGTCGATGCCAACGTTGCAGCTGTGCCGCTTGATAAAACCAGTAGTGGCGTTGATGTATGAATGCTTGTCGTGCTGGACAACGAGGAGCGACTTGATATTAATATTGACGATTGCCGTGTCGAAAGGCCAGAATTCGCTAACGATGTTGAAGAAAGGCGTGTATTGGCACCAGAGTTCGTCACCGGTAAGACAGTAGATATAGATTTCGACAGCATTAATGACGATACAGACGCAAGCGTTAGCGTGGGAGCTGTACCAAGGCTGGAACGTGACGATGATGTTGAAAGCAGAAGCGGCATTAGACTAGAGCCTGACATTGGCAGGGCAATTGAGGCAGAGCTAGATTGCAAGATTCTTGGAAGCGAAGAAGATCCTAGAACAAGAGTTGCGCGCTGAAGCCAAAACTCAATATCGATGTAGAAGATAGAAGCAGGTTGATGCTAGAGCTTGTCCCCCGCACGATAACAGAGGTTAAATCAGAGGGCAGCACTGGCAATACGGACGAAGATGTCAGGGTGGGGGCCACACCAAGGGTGGAACTTAACAATAGAAGTGGTAAGACACTAGAACTTGTCACTGACAAGCTAAGAGACGTAGTGCTAGATAGCAGGAATTGCGGAGTAGACGACGAAGTCAGGGAGGAAGCTGCACCAAGGATGGAAATCGACACTAAGCTAGTGTGTGAAGGCAGGGGTTCGGAAGAGGACGAAGATAGCAATGTGGGAGCTGCTCCAACACCGTAGCTTGATGACGATGATAACATCGAGGCTGGAACAGCAGCGGTCGTGAAGCTTGAGAATGTTGAGATTGGTGTCGACGTTCCGCTAGGCACAGAGCTTAACAGCGACAAAACTGGACTCAACGTCGAGGTGGTAGCAACCTGGCTAGTTACCGAAATCGACGTTGATATCAATTCCACAGTCGTCATCGTCGCAGCTGCAACCAGACTACTACTCTTCGATATCTCTTCAGATGCAGAACTCGAAGCCGCCGTTGTCGAACTCGCCTTAGGAACCTTAGTATAAATCTTTAAAGAGTTTATCAACCAATACCTGTACGACCCATCATTAGCTCTCTTCCCCATCCCAATACAAAGAACAGAACACTCACGCGTCCTCAAAAGCCCCCGGATTCCCAGCCACATACGTCTGGCAATTCGGTGCCTTCAGACTACAAACTGGATCATACGCCCACACAACACCCGCCCAATCACCGCAAAACGTAGTATCAAACACAACCTGCATCTCATAAAAATGCGCATCAACATCACAATTTCCTTGCATATCGGCTTGCGGAAGTCCCCAACCTGCTGGGTCGGGACTGCCAGCGAGAATGTCGGCGGGGATAGATGAGCGGGGGAAGTAGTAGACGCGGATGTAGGAGGACGTCCATTCTGTGGCATATACACCGCCGGAGAGAGCATTGAATGGCGTCCCGTAGGAGGATGAAGAGAGGATAGTGGCGCAGCCGGAGCTTTGGTATTCGGCGCAGTTGGGGTTTATGAGGGCGCCGAGTTGTGGGTTGGAAGATATGGTGCAGTTGTCGTCTCTGGAGGTTGTCAGGGTGGTTAAGTGGGAAGGGGAGACCGGCTAACGTGTGAAGGGATACTTGGTTTACTGTGTTACTGTTGACACCTAACCTTATTAGTTCCGAGACTAGATCCTATACTCATGAGGAAGATACCTTCGATGATGTCAATTTCACCCCCATTGGGCCAATCGCGCCCCACCATCCAGACTTCCTGCTATCAGTGTCCATCTATCAGAAGAATGACTTGCAACATACAAGCAGGCCAAGAACCACAATCCGTTCCAGGCATATGGGCCAGATCAAGAATGACCAAGCCATGCGTCCAAGACTTGTTGCTCGTTATCCTCACACTATTCCTCCAGGACCGTTATTGGGATTCAACACGGTAGTGCTGTCAACGCCCATGTACACCGATCCATTTGCAGCGGTATTAATAAGTCCATCTTCGATAGCTGTACTTTGGTCCACATAACTGGTAACGGTCACATGCCTTTTCAGGTGTGAAGGAAGGTAGGACTGGCAACTTACTTTACGAATCCGTGAGAATAATCCGCAATCTAAAAATATTTCAATAGATAACCATTTCGCATATGAGAAAAAGAGCAGCAGGGCTTACATCGAAGAAAGTGAAGTCGTCGAAAAAAGTCGTTCCGGCGTACTTGGTATCAAGTTGATATGTACTCGTAGCGACACCACGACACAGGCACAGCCCCACCATGAACAACTTGCTCACTGTTCGCGACATGGTATTAAGAATGTGTGCTCGCAAAAACCAGAACAAGATGCAGTAACGATGCAAGCAGAAAGACTCGAGGAATGCGGTACAGTAAGGAAGATATTCTTGGGTCAGGCACATATCACAATCAGTTGGTTATTGCACCTAGTTCACCTTGATTCTTGTGGTTCAACTTACATACAGAGAGGATGGAATTTCCATCTTCAGCGGATGGTTTCATTGAACTCGTTGCACAATCCATATGAAGGATTCGCCCGGGGTTCTAGAAGGTCAAAATCCCGCACCACGGGTATGACTGACCAATCGGTTCTGATAGCGAGACAATGAATGACTTTCAATGTCTGAGTTGAGTTTTTCATGCTCGAAGAGTGGCCAACCCTTCCCAGCCTGTCGTTCCTCTCCATCCCCAAGCAATAGCATAATGCCTTGCAAGCATCTGCCATTCCTCAACTTCATCCAAACCTTCTAAAGCATCCACTCGCTCTTTCTCGGGTATGGAAATCCACTTCTCCCAGATTTGTTCCACGGTCTCAGCTTCCTGACCGCCCCCTTCACTTGTGAACCCAAGCTGAGCTAACCGAGCCTTTTGATCTGGAAGTGTCTTGTATGCTTCCAAAGAAGGCATAGTAATGTTCCTAGCAGCCAGATTTGACACCATCATTTGCCCAAAGGAATCATCTAGGCCAATAGGTTCGTAAAGAATAAGGCCGATGGAGGGGATTCTGCTTGTAAACCATTTTACCACCTCTCGTGAGGTTTCGACTTCAAGGTAACATAGACAGCATTCAGATACTATTAGAGTTGGCACATCGGTTCGCAGCCCTCGGACCGGTTTTGAAGTTTTGAGGAGGTGTCGAAGATCAAGAGGATGGAAACAATATGTTGTCTCCGTGATACCGTCTTTCGATCGTTCTAGGCCCCATTCCGACTCGTGTTCTCCAAAGCCTGGAACAGTTTCTAGTGCTTTGAAAAAAGCTTCGCCCTCGTCCTCCCATAACAGACCATTGTTTTTCATGATTCTTTCCTTGGTTATAGAAACGGAAACAAAATCGAACTCGTGATATATAATGTGACGATGTTTATTCTGGGCACGAAGCTTGAAGTATCTCGTGTCTGTTCCTGCACCTAGAGAGATGATCTGTTTTGTTTGCGGAACTGTTGGGGTAGAGTCTGGGTGGGATAGAAAGGCGTTGATTAAGATGTCGAGAGCAGTCGTGCGGGTATATGTGCCTACGAGGCAGTAATCAGTGGGTGGGATCATGACCAGAGTAGCAAGATCAACTTCAACGAACCACGGTTAATGATGGGCAGTCTACGTGTCCCCGGACCATTGACAAACAAGGAGGCAAATGGATCATGGAGGTAGCCAAGGTCGACAGCGCTGAGTCGGGATACTGCTGCGTCAGTATCCGTTGACTGAACATCTCGATCCTTTTGGAGTTGTGCTTGGAGCTCAGGATTTCCGCTGTGAGGACCGCCCCGTCCACGCCCACGCGCTCTTCCGCCACGAGACCGCGGTCCGCCTCGTAGGGTAAGAAGATTAGGGATCTGCTGCGCCGACATGTCTTGGAATTCGAGGTGGATGCGTGTGTTTGGCACCGCTGAACACCCTCTTTGGAGGGAGGCAGCGAGGATATCTGTTGATGATTCGGGGCCGGAGCGATCCTCTGCAAAAGTTACTTCGTTACGTGTATCATTAGCATACACGTCTTGACTTGAGAAGATGATTGAGCTGATCTCAAAACGCCACAGAATAGCAGAAACCGAGGTATGCAATGAAGCATTGCATTTGTTTTGCATCGATCGCATTAAGCTTAGGCTGCTAGCCTCCTTCCTTATCCATTATCGATAAGCCCCACGTTTTCAATGCCACTTCTTCAGCCACTCTTTACAACATTCTTTGCAGCTTCATCATCAACCATCTCCGCACAGAAAATGTGCATTCAGGTCGTCCTCCGATTACATTGTTTCATACATTTTCCCTTCGTGTCACCTCTTAAGCGATTCTCATTCTTTGCATTGCATGCCAACGTTCGGACTTTGGCGCATTCTTCCGCCGTTCTATATGGAGCTAGAATGCCAGCTTCTTACGGGAACTCTCAATAGCCAACCAGTCTGCTTTGAACTCTAACTTCCCTGGGCTTTACTCGAGTTTGGCCGATACTTTGGTCGGTAGTTTGGTCGGGACTTCTAAGAAGCTCTCCAAGCTTACTTGCCAACTTTCCAGCAGCTTGATATATCATCAGACTGTCTGGCTGAAGAAGTCCAGAGTTGGAATTAGAGATACATACAATTCTCACTGTTTCTTACAGCCAACATCTCAAAAGTCGCTCGAACTCTCGCAGTCACTGCAGTAGCCACGGATCCATAAGACATTTTGATGCTGCGGGCAAGATATTCGATGACAACGATCTTCTTCGAAGTCATAGTATCAGACTTCATTACAAAAGCCTGCCTTCTGTGGCAGTGTCACTTTGTGTCGACTTGGACCTGCACAATCTGATCCACCGAAGATACACAATTCTTCGACGTTCAGCTTACTCGGTGCCTGCATCTGCTGCATAATGTCTGCTCATCAACATGATCGCTTGACAGCTGCAAGACATCAAAACCCTATACAACTCAGCCTTCTGACTCGGACCCCTGTTTCACGGATTGAAGAGACTGGAGATCGGACGGCTGGTTAGAACAGCTTCAACAATTGGATTGTCTCGCACCATCATGAGTTGCACCAAGCCGTCAGCATCATTTCGAAAGTTTTTATCCACGGGTTGAGGTTAGATCGCCGGATCCAATCGACTTGAGCACTTTCCCTTCCCTTCTCTGAATGGAGGCGTTCGTTTAGGATTGATGAAATGATCCCAATCTCTAATCTTATCCGCCACCTCAAGATAAATCAAGCTTCCGGAATGAGGAGAATCTTGGAAATCTCGAGAGCACAGCATCGCCCTCCTACAGCCATATGTCAACAATACTTTGCCTACGGTCCCTTCGAAACATCAGACGGTAATTCCGAGGTCAAATTAATAGCAACAGGACGATAATCGTGGTCACGATCGGTCCTTCTGGATAATGGGGAGAACGGACGATGCAGCGCAAGCCGTCCCGCCTGTCACAGGTAGATTCGCCTTGACACCTCCTATTGGATCCGACTCTCGTTCCTTGTCCTCGTCGCCTTGAAAATCTGCGGTCGCAGCATCACGTCGCTGTCAGTCACATGAGACAAATCTCGCTGAGACCTCGAACCTGCCCTGCTAGCAGAGAAACGAGAGAAACGGGGATTGACAACCGTCTTGCATGCAGCAGCAACAGGAGCAGGGGAAACAAACTGTAATTGCTCCCCCTGAATGTAATTGCTGCACCGTCGGCGGTCTCGATTGGGTGGATGTCACCCTGGGGTAATTAACTACTGCCTGTTATGCATAAGCGTCAGGCACAGAAAGAAGGTTAGACGCCGCGCGCAGGATTTGGCGACGCTTCGGCCCCCCTTATTGGATCCAGTCCATGCAGAAAAACGCCTCCGAGTGATTGGCGACATGACCGTGAGATTGCCTCCAATTTCCCATCTCTGCCTTTTCGCGGCCACCGTTCGTGCGGAGATCCATGGTTGGCCGTGCAATTTGTGCAATTGGGGTTAGAACGAGCCTAAGCATGCTTTGTTGGTTCGTTTCTACCCTCGGAGAATATGCAGATTGCAGCTCTGGGGCCGGCAACATAGCCAAGTCCAGACAAGGTTCTGAGCACTTAGCACTTTGCACTTTGCGGGCTTCGAGGCCGATCCTCTCTCCATCTGCCACATCGTGAGCTCGTCCGTCGTCGTGCTTCATCCTTCCTGCATCTTTTTGCTTTTCTACCTCACTCGCTCTTGGCTGCTTCACACTGCCAACACGTTCGTTACGGGAAACTCAACCCCACGTTGCTCACCGCAAGTCACTCTTTTCACACCTTGGGATTATGTATAGGATAGGGACGAGGCATATTGAATCAACCAAACCGCATTAAGTCAAAACCAGACTCGAGACCGCACGTGCGAACACTTCGATTCTCATCCACGTTCCGCATTACGAAGACCTTCAAGAAGACTTTTGATCAGCTGGATCTGGCTTGCAGATCCCTTTTATGATACCACGATGAAGCTTTTGGAAATCCAGGCCGCGATTGGAACGGCGATTCTTCTTCTTTCTGCGCCTTGCGATGCGAAACTTAGTCGACATTTGTCGCATTTGGGATCATTGGAGAGGCGACACAATCATCACAAGAAAGCACACACTTCACCAAGGGTTGAAGGCATTGAAGGACCACACACAAATGACTTGAAGAAGCGCTCGACATGTCCTTTCCCTTCGAATGCTGGTCTCGTCGCTGTTACACCTGGGTCATCCAATGGTGGGTGGGCGATGAGCCCAGACCAACCATGTGGGCTCAACTCTTATTGCCCGTATGCTTGTCCACCAGGCCAAGTCATGGCGCAATGGAGTCCGGCTGCGACGTCGTACACATATCCCGAGTCAATGGTGCGTAAGAAATTCTGTCGCAAAGGAAAGATGCTGACTTTGTAGGCCGGTGGACTTTATTGTGACGAGAATGGAAACGTTAACAAGCCATTCCCGAGCAAGGAATATTGTGTCTCCGCTAGTGGTCCCGTGCAAGCAGTCAACAACTGTGGAAGCACTGTCTCTTACTGCCAAACAGTGCTTCCAGGAAACGAAGCAATGTTAATTCCCACAGCAGTAGACAGCTCAGCAGATCTGGCTGTCCCAGGACCAAGCTACTGGTGTAGCACTGCAGCTCAGTAAGTCATATGATCACCCGTCAGTAAACATAGCTTATGGGGGTTTCAGTTATTACATCAATCCTCCAGGAGTCGATACTGGCGATGCTTGTGTTTGGGGTGACGGATCAAAACCAATCGGCAATTGGGCCCCTTACGTAGCAGGTGCTAACACAGACAACAACGGAAACACATTCGTAAAGATTGGCCTTAATCCCATCTGGACTGGCTGTGATCTTTCCCAGACGACCCCGACTTTCGGTGTTAAGATTGAATGCGTTGGCGGAGGCTGTAATGGCTTGCCATGCTCGATCGATCCTTCTAACGGCGTGGGTGTCGTGACGAGCCCAGATTCAGCTACAGGCGCTGGTGGTGCAGACTTCTGTGTCGTTACAGTTCCCTCTGGCTCGACCGCCAATATTATTACATTCAATGTTGGTGGATCCAGCGGTTCCTCAAACTCCGGATCCTCGAGCGCAGCAGCCAGTCCTGTCGCATCAAGTAAAGCTGCTCCAACCCCTAGTCCGACTCCAACACCGACACCTACACCCACGCTAACGCCCTCGCCGTCTTCCACCTCCTCAACGACAAGCAGCTCCAAAGCGGCCAGCTCAACCGTCGTCTATTCCTCGAGCTCTACTTGGTCTAGCTCGGCTTTTTCATACAGTTCTTCAAGCGCCGCCAGCAGCTCGACATCAGCAAGCGCAACTGCAGACAATTCGCCACACGTCTTCTTCCAGGGAAACAGCACTGGCACCACAAATGGCTCAAGTCTCGTGACCGGCACAGGAGCTCTGCCCACTAATCCAACCAGCCCAGCTGGATCGACCAGCACCAAACAATCTGGAGCTTCCGAGACATTCACTCCCGAGAGCCTCTTCGGCCTCATTATCATGTTCGCCGTTGCTGGTATCCTCCTTTGAGCCACCACCACATCTGTCTATATTCACTATGTCTATACCATTCTACCTTTCAACGGCTTAGTCCGTTTTACGACCCTTCCGCTTATCTACTACTTATATTCTAATACGTCTGGATTTACGTAATGTCTATCACTATTTCTCTCGACGATGTATACCTCCCATTTTGGGCGCTGGTTTCTCGAGATCTTCTACTCTTCGATGAATATCGTTAGCCTACATATCATATATCCTGCTGCGCAATTGGATTGATCGACCATCCATTTCTGGGAACGATACTTGTCTTTATACCCTTTTTTGACTTATCTACCTTTTACATTTGGTACTTATCTACTTTTTGAAGTGGAACACCCTTCATATAACCACAACACAATACTTGGTAAGGAAAAGATTCTGGAGCGGCGGCACAAAATTCTACTAGTTCGCGATTTTTGGGCGGTTTGGATGGGGTTTGTTTAGCGGGAAGGGGGTTATGACTGATGTGCGAATGAACATTCTTGTTCTGATTCTTGGGAGGAGAAGTGTTTGGTTTGATGGTTTGAGGAGGTGGACAGTGTGTGTGTATTTAGCTTTCGTGAGTGAGGAATTTATTTGTTGTGGTTTCATGCACCTAGGAGCTATCGTTGTGATCACTGCCCTATTCTTTTCCACAAGTTGTGGCGTGGAGATTGAGGTCATGAGCGTGCATGTTCAAACAGATCGCGGTCACTCGATGTTACGTTAATTTCGTTTAGGAAAAAGTACGAAATGTCGTCGTTCACTCATTAGAAGGCCAGTCCGAGAGTGACAACTATTTCGAGACTTAAGTGATGAATTGATAAATTTATCTATATGAGCATACCTAGCTGAAACCGCAGAACTCCATGGCCGAGGAGAAGCGGCGGGCATGGTCTACAACATATGCCGACGACAGACAGGAAAGTTGACAAGCGATGGAATCCCAAAAACGTTCTCAAGAAAGTACAATTGAAGAAATTCTGGCTCTTCCACGAAGCAATTCGTATTTTCAATTCTAGGGAATTGCTCAGCCCATCAAAAACCGCTTTGAAATTTTCTCCTCAATGGGCGAGTCTACTCGTCGGCTGATCCAGAGCTCGGCCGTCTTGTTTGAAAACAAGTCGGTACCACCAACATGGAATACTAGCAACCTGGGATGCCGCTGAAATTTTGCCTGGTAGGAAGTACCTTTTTTTAACAATTTATTGGCGCAAAAATTCTGCCGTCCTAGGTTGGTGGTATTCCATGTTGGTGGTACCGACTCGCTATCGTGAGTCGGCCACAAGCTTAAAGCTTTGAATAGCCGACGAGTACAATTCATGCTGCTGAATTTGGTGACCTTGTTCTTCCAGGCGAAAATGTCCGCAGTCTGTTCAATCTGTGTCTTGGAGAACATGTGGATGCCTAAACCGGACATCCACGTTTGAGGGTATAGCGTCAAGTATCTAGTAGCCAATACATTCAGATCCAGCGGCCCATTTTGAAAGAAGGTGGGTCGTCATAGTATTCCAAGTTTTCGGCGAGTTGTTTACGGATCAACACTACCTCTTTCACTTCAGCCACTGTCGAGGAGGGCGATATCTTTCCGTGTTTCTGTGCAAGTGCCAATCGTTTTTCTCCCCAAGCTACCGCTTCTTCCTCACACTTCACAAATGGATGAGTTGACTCTTCGCAAATGGGAGGCTCTCCCAAAACTGATTGAGGGAATGCCGCTTCTTCGCGGAGTAGAAGTTTGGCAACGAATCGAACACCAACTTCCAAAGGGACGCGAATGACATCGATGGTGCCCATATCCTCGGTTCTTGCAAGAGGCAATGTTTTGCTCTTTCAAGAGTCAAAGCTGATTGGCGCGCTGAGATTGTCTTCCTTGCCAGTTCGAATCATGAGAACGCTTTGGTGCTGTGCCACATTTTCGTAGTGACGGAAGCCATCTGCTTGCTTTACGTAGCCCGACTGCACAAACTTGTATTCGTCGAAGACCACTATCATTGCCTCGCAGAGTGGGTGCAGGCTGAAAAATCTCGAGTCTCTCCCTCTCCACCACCTTGATTCTTTCTTTTCGAACGCCTCTCGAACCTGAGAACAAATCGACACGTGTGCTCGCAGTATCTCTGGAACTGTCTCCACATATTGTGATCTGGCAACTTTGTTGGTGATGTTTACAGGGACCGCGAAGAAGTCGTTGAGCTGGAAGTTTGGCTGCCTGCCAAGCGCATCGACCCAGGTATTCCAAATACTTCCCAGGATCACAAGCCCATCAACATCGGAACGGTTTATTTTTGCCGATTCCATCCAATAGAAAACCGTGGCTTTATTGCAGAAATAAGTCTCGGTCGCATGAAGCAACTTGCTGATGCCCAGCAAGTCATCGCCCTCTTCCTGGCGTCTGCTGTAAACTTGAATCATTTCAGATCCCATGCGTTCTGAATCGGGAGGTGTCCAGTCGTGCTGAAGCTGCTGGTGGAATCGGTCGCGCTCCGATACAAGCCAATCCACTTTGAGGATTTCTATCACTTCTGCGATGACTTCCGGTGCAAGTTCTCCCTCGGATACCAGCACGGGTTCGCCTGAAGGTAGGCCGAATTCATAGTCATCAGGAGATAACTGCAGTCTTCCATAGGGATGCATCTTTTCTCTTTTCCACCAAATATTGGTCGTTCACTGGTGCTTACAAGCCCTGTGGGTCCGAAATGAGTCCTGCGATCTTGCTCTCTCGATTGTAGTTGCGCGCCAAAGACAAGGTAACTCTTAGTCTTAGTTGCCCGATTTGTGCTAAGTCTTGCGGTGCTATGTAGGTAGGAGAAGAAGAGGAATGGAGCTGACTTGGTTGTCCCTGATTGAAAAGATGGACTTTAGACTGCGTTTGTATTCGACCGTATAAGTTGGGAGGCAGCCGGGTGAGAATATTTTTTATGTGGTGAATGTGTTATCCCGAGCTGGGATTAATATTTATAAAAAGGCTCGGAATCGTTCTAGTGGGCAATAACGTAAAGCTTCCACTTTCCCGTTAGTGTTGTGATTCGGACTGTCGGACTTTTGTTTCTATAGTTTATTTTGAAAATGTTACTAACGATTAACGAATTGAAATTTTGGTATAAGTGTGACATCTTACTTATTTCCAACTTTTTCAATTTATATTTGCAAGATATTTTGATTAACTATTATTCTCACGTGCCATCCCCGAACTGTGTTTCACAACATACTTTTCAGGCTGCTGGATATGAATGTACTGGCTACTTGGCGCTCTACCTTTGATCGTTGATGTTCGGCTTGGCGATAAAACCCGGAGGTTCTCCTAGTGTTCTGTTGTGGCTTGTCGACTTTCGTGTTTGTCGTCGGCAAACCTTTTCCGCCATATTCTCTCGGTTCTGCAGCCAGCTATACTCGTGTGTAACCAGAGTCCCAAAACAGTTCCCTACTTGAAATGTTTGGGCCTTAGGTGTCAAGGCACTACTTCAGTTGCATCTCTACACCGTTTGTATCTCTGAAGCCTAAATCTTAACAACTTGCACTCACGATTTTCAAGATGGTTTTCATCGCTCGTGCAGGGAAACCTGTCTTCACCACAACGTTTGCAACCAATCCATGGGTGTTCACCACCCTTCAATCGACCAAAGTTGTGGACTCTTGTGGTCCGAAGAAGAGAAAGTTCTCAGAAGCAAACGGCTCTGATTCCCCATCACCACCACTGCGAGCAATGTACACAACTGAAGCATCACCATTCGATGCGACAGAGGTCGTTCGGACTCTCAAAGCACTTTCCGAAGAAGGAATTCCTGTCGATGGCATTTATCTCGCATATTCCTCGGCCAAGCCTGAAGATGTGAATCTCCTTTGGGAAAAGCTTGAAGCGGAGAATTTGGCCCTGTTTGCCACTTTTACAGTCCGGTAAGATTACCGTCTTGGCCAAATCCCTTCTGTGAAACCATTACTAAAACTACCATCACCAATAGTGTCCAATATCTTCCAATATCAGGAGAATTCACGATCCACCGAAACAACCCCGTCACCCATCCACGTACTGTTGGGGCACATCTTTCCATGATTGGGAAGAAGCTTCGTCCTTTTCGTTCTGGGCCTTACGCTATCTTTGTCGACCATATTTGTGGCGCAGGCAGTTCGGATATTGAGTTGAAATTCGATTTGGACAAGATAAATTGGGAATCCATGGGATCTTTCGCTGCCAGCTCTTGGGGAAATGGTCAGAAAGGGATCAAGGGAAGGTTCTGCTCGGATAGCCAATGGGTTTTCAACGTTCAGGGTCACGGGTCCCGCCACTTGTTTGCCAGTTTTCCGAAATTGAAAACCGATCACGCATCAAAAGTCTGGCGGATAACCTTATTCTCGGCACCGAAGGCAGCGTCAGACGCTTCATTTTCTTCAAGATGGATGAGAGTGGACCTGTACAGTGGACTCCGGGAGAGCCTTCCAAGGATTAGTCCATTGAACTCTCTGTCTGGGGTCTCCATCAAGTTGACGAGGATAGCTGGGTACCGAAAGAAATCTTACCACCAACTGTAAGTCTTGATTGTCAGTACTGATACCGGTCACTCATCCTAGCAGTTGATCAGGCATAAAGATGGCTGATGCGCTTTCGATGCTGCCGACGCTGACAGAGTAGCATATCAAATCCCACTCAATGAGTTCTCCTCTCTACGCATTTGCAAGCACTATGTCAAAGACCCAGAAGCTCGCAAAAACATCCCAGCGCTCACAGTGATTATGCAAGATGTTCACAATCTTTTCGAGCAAGTATTCCGCGTAGCGAGCGACGTCCACAAACCTGCTACCTCACGGCTAAAAGGCAAAGGCTGTCATGCTTCAATGCTTTGCCTCGAGCAAGGCAAGGGACTAAGAGAAAGCAAGAAGCATTCTGATAGCGAGCAAAACGGGACGGAAACCAGAAAAGGTAGGAGTAAAAATAAGAAGGCGAAGAAGGAAACCTGAAGAGTGTCTCTGAAGCCCATAATTCTCAGGCATATGAGGCAAACACGTTCATCGCCCAAGTTGAAGCCTTTCAACTTTGAACTTCAGAGTTCTCTAGCCTAGGTATCGCAGTGGCATTCAACTGGTCTCATCTCCAGCCATCGGCTGCACAGGCTGAGCAACGCAAAAGCAGGATCTAAATATAGATATATCTATATACAAGAAAATCAAAATGCAAGTCAAGTTTGTTTCAACTCACAGCACTTACTGGCAGTGTATCGTTCTCTTCTCGTTGTGACTTCCATCCATTTCAGAAGTCCTAGGAGCAGTCTAACATTGCGATATTGTCCCACCAAATTTAGCGAGGAGATCTAAGATCACTCACTCCAATCTCTGAATCGGTACATCAAAGTATATTAACGTCTTTATCAAATCACAAATCAAATTTCCAAATATCATCCGATGATGGAATACAATGCTCGGGATGTGGAGTTTTGGTGGGGCTCGCTAAGGTTAGGGGCTCGTTCCACAGGCACAGGGTCTATTTCAAGCTCTGAAGCCTCTGAAATCTAGCGAACCTCACCAAAACCATTCCATATCTCCTCTCTGCCGTACATTGACTCGCAACTCTGAACATTACCTGATTCAAAAATCTAGCCAATGCGCCACAAAAGGACGCCATTCTCTTTGACAAAACATTGCTCATAGGGTGGGTAGACTTCTCAACTGTCAACTAAATCTACATCGAAGTCCACTAGCAAAATCAAGGCTACCTAGCTCTGATGGTGGGGTAATCAGGTGATAGTGCGTGAACCCTGTACGACAAAACCTCTCTTGAGCTTCATATCGAAACACAACAAAATGGAATGCGTCGTGTGCAAGAAGTCTGCGACACTGCAATGCGGTGGTTGCAAGAACTGTCTGAGGTATTCGAACAATCCTCCAGTTGCGCGGTATTGCGGAATCGAATGCCAAACAGTGGATTGGACCAAGCACAAGTCTGTTTGTCGCTAATTGAAGGACCGACTACTTCTATATCGTGTCTCTTCTTTGGCACAGCAGCTGTGGTATCTGGCAAGAGAGCGGTCGTGGTATTACTATGATATCCAGAGTGTGGATCGCAAACCTGTCGAGCCCGAGTACTTCATGATGTTGGAGGGAAGTAGAACCATCGAGACCACTCTAAACATGTATGGCCGCGTAAGTTGTCCTTTGCTCGTTGGTCATGACAAATCTGCCAAGTAGCACAATGCTGACTTCTTGCGTTTCAGAATCTCATCGAAGATGGTACCTTCAATCAAGATTCTCCGGTTGCGATCCCATTCACCGCAGCCCTCTTGCAATCGAAGGAAGAAGAGGAGGCAGCCTTGAGCTTTGTTGGAGGAATTCAGGCTGCTGCGTGGATGGTGGAATTCATACAGGGCATGCTTAGCAGTGAGTGGCAATTCATTGCAGATCAAAAAGCTAGCTGACATATGACAGGTGTTGTAAAAAGAAACACTGCAGTGCAGCATCGGACCAAAGGAGAGAAGCGCCGTACGAGGTTCAGTCATGGACGCCCAGAAGACGCCTTTATAACTAATATTCCTATGGCGTTTGATAGGAGGAAGCCAGTCCATACTGTGTTGAAAGTCGTGCTGAGATCTGGCGAAGTTTTTGCAATCGACCTAGCTGGTGCACAGCATGGACACCATGAACCTGTTGTTCCATGGGAGAAGTACAAGGAAGAGCGAATATTGAATATTCGTTCCATTGATCCAGTATGTTATCTTTCCTTCTGTCACCGGTTTGCATGGAGTAATTCGAGCACTGACCATTTACAGGCCGCAGCTCCCAAAGGTCTGCTTCAGGTGCAAGATTACTCGATTGCAAAGATTGCCTCCGCCCATAATCGACATCATTCGAGCCATGTAGGCAAAATGATAACCGACGACTTGATGGAACAGATGAATTTGACTCTGCTGAAGTGGCAGAAGGACAATGTTGGACTCAAGACTGTATGGACTTTGCCCCCGGATGATTATGCAGTCAAACAACAGGCGATTGTTGATCAGATGCACTGGGATTTAACTTACACTACTGATGCCGACTCACAAGCAACTAGACGCGGATTAGAGCTGAGGCTAAATTCGGGGAATTGAGTATGTGAGCTCATGGCTCAACTGCCGTCGGGTCTCGACCTTGAAAAAAGATGAATTTGGCAATTTATATCTGGAGAATGACTCTGAAGCATTCGATCTCTCGCAAGTGACTCGCTATATATGAGGACTTAGAGACTCCAACGCAAATGTCCCAACACACAAGCTGGACGAAATACCCTTCGATTTCCAGGTCGAAATGTGTAGCCTTTTTATTCAACAATGAAGTAAAATGCTAACCAGCTAAACTCACTTCTTTCCTTGTCTGCTTGCCAAATTGGGCATACTTTTCCGCCGAACCTCAACACGCAATATATCGTCCGTATAGCTGTCTATTGCACCATCCAGCCATGTCTCCAATACTGTTACATCCAAACCAACATCTCAAGCAACCCAGCCATGCCACTCATACACGTTGATTTATACGAAAAGTAAGTTGGCCCTCCTCCCAAAAGCTAGCACGAAACTAACAGGAACAGCATTTGCTTTTGCGCAACTTCTATGCAAGCCTTTAGTCTGACTCAAGATGTTGGAAGCTCTGGTGTGTCATGCGCGGCTCAATGTCTAGGCACCTCTGGTGTTGCGTCTAGAGGGGGTTTGGCAATTGACATTTCGAGTCTTGTGCTCTTGTTGCCATTACCAGGAGCGGGTCCTTGAAGCGAAGATCAGCCGTGGCACTTTCTTCTCTTCCTAGTACCTTCTTCTTTGCAGTGCCCGAAAAAAAAAATGTAGAAATGGTTGTTCTTTGCAGAGTCAAGTTAGTCTCAAGGGCCCGAGTTCCTAGCTTGGTGTCCTAATTTGACCTCTAGAGAGGCTCAAATCAATCAAAAGTCTTCCTGTCGGCATCTCACGGTCGCTGCATTGAACATTAGTTCCCGCCTTTGTTTGTGATATCTAGGAAAGGTTCTGTGCCGTCGGGGTCTAAATCCAGTCGAAAATGGCTTAGTCGTCGGCGTTGCAGCCGGAATTACGCTTTATCAAGGGTAGTGGAGACAGGTATAACTCCACTTTCGCCACTTGCAGTGTGGCTTGTTGGGACAGAGGAGAGCTTTTTACCGATATAGTTTGCGTACTACGTCTTGTTTTATATCGCAAAAGTGGGGTTGAACTGAACTCACCCCTACCTCACTTTCAAGTTCTGAAGGGCCAGACCAATGGATGATATTGAGTTCAATTTTGGGAAGCATATTTATAATTTACATAGGATGTGAACGCAGTCCAATCGAATGTTCTGAGCAATACCCTCCATCGACCCCGACCCCTAAATTCAACTTTGTCAGTAGCCCTCCTAGTTCGTGCGTCCTTGCAATCTGTTCGCAATATCCGACACATAGCTAGCAGTAGCTCCCTCCGGATTCGACAAATTCCTCTTGTCAATCCTCCCCGAGTTATACAGCCTCAACGCCTCATAAATGGTAACCGCATTATCCGCATCACCTTCCTGCTCCAAGTTGCCCTTGAAATGTTTCGTACCTGCCATCACCATCGCAGTGATATCGGACTTTTACACTTCGTTAGCCTCTCTCCACATTATGTATCTGAACCTCTGCGTGAAACTTACCTGCGGCAAGTTATGCTGTCCAGGAAATGCCGGGCTCTCTTCTGCTTGCATCAAACCTCCAGTGGGCTTCTGTCCGTTGTCGATGGTGGTCCCGACACCTACGTTGCCGGTGCTCTCTTGCATGATGATACAGAAGATGACACGTTCTTCGACGCCGATTTCTTTGGCGGCCTGCAAGACGGCAGTGTGGATGTGGCTGACATCTGACTCCGTGTCGCCTGTTTGGAGCATCTCGGCTTTGTTCGCGTTGAAGATCTCGTCGAAGGTTTTCCAGGTGGAGGAAGGGGGGAAGGCGGACGCGGGGCCGGAGTATGGTGTGAATCCCATTTTGAGTTGTTGTTTGGTGGTTTTGGAGTTGGGAAGTGTTGATAAGAAGCTTTTCTTAGTGAAGAAGATTGATGTTGCTGTGTTTGTGGTGTAGGAAGAGCGGATCCATTCTCTGAGTATATATACAAAGAAGAGGAAGGGGCGATAGAGCGGTAAATTGTCATCTCAAAAACTGACTGCAGTCATCTTGGCTATCTCCCTGGCATGCATACTGAGATTGAAGCTCGCATTACGCACTGAAATGGATCAGAAGATGGCACATCTGACTCTGAGCGGCCGTCGTGCGTAGCGAGGAAAGGGGTCCTTTTGCCCCTGATCACCGAGATCCGCCACTAAGCGGACATATTGAAACACTCTCATAGGCTAACTAGGCATCGTACCCAACAAGAGAAGTTGGGTGTGGTGAGTAAGATGCATGGTTGTCGACGATATTGTAAGCTTAGGGCTGAAAAATTGCATTTCTGAGTAAGCGAGAGAATGCAGGTCTCTTGACCGGAACGACACAAGATTGCGGGGAAGAGCGGCCGACTTTGGGAATTTTGCGAGATTCTTAGTATATGCTGTAGCTTGAGTTCAAGCTGAGCCTTCAGCCAACAGAATCTTGAGCAATTTTGCGAGCCTGCTGATCCCCTCTTCTATCTCATCCTGTTCATGCCATGCCCAACAAAGTCGCGCTCCATTCCCAAACCCCTGCTTTGATCGCTCAACACTCGTCTCGTCGCCTTTCACCACGAACATTTCTCCGTAGGCGAACGTCAACTGGTACTCCTCCTTGGCTCGTTTTGCGATAACCCCTGCACTGGGTAATCGAGGTGGGAACGAGATGTAGGTGAAGAAGCCTCCAACAGGAACGATAGTGTTCTCATCTGCGGGGATGGTGTACGGAGCCCCAGTCGTAATTCTAACACCCAAAGGCTCGAGTTGAGTTTTGAGAGCTGCCATGAGCACTCGGTATCTGGATTGGTAGGTGGGTATTAAAACTTCGTCGATGTGTTTTTGCATGGCGCCAGTACTCAGAAGGTGGTCAAGAAACGTTGAGGTAAGATGTGATGGAGCACCGCCTGAAGTAGTAGCACCACTGTCAATCACTGTCAGCTGGGACATCTTGGTTAATCAGAAGCCATACTTTTGTGAGAGTCTCAGAATGATCTTTGGTGATGCCTCTGCCCAACCAACGCGGACACCAGGAGCAACGATTTTTGAGAACGATCCATTACTAATACTGTTTCCCCAAGAGTCGTCTGAGCTCGTAGCACGATCTAGATCAACCAATCGAGGCGGATTGGGTGCCAATTTGATGGAATGAGCTTTGCGATCTTCAGCAGGCCATCGCAAGAAGTCGTAGACATCATCTGAGATGAGTAGGATATCGTACTCTCGTGCCAAGGCTATAAGCTGTTCTCGAACTGGTGTCGACATGGTCTTTGCACTTGGATTTGAGAATGTAGGGGTCAGATATAGTATATGTCTGAAAATCTTGCCATATTGACTCGATGGCTTTATTTCATGAAATACACCATTCTGGCTCGCCTCGTACTCAAATTTGGCGAGCTCTTTGCGCAGAAACTCGATGTCGAGCCCCTGTTCATTCTCTGGAACTCCTCGTAGCCTGTCTGCAAAGCCAGCGTCTTGGAATATCGTGCATGCCAAAAAATAGGTTGGTTCGACCATCCATATTCTCCTTGTGATGTGCGGATCTGAAAAGACCTGTAATATGCTTGCCAAATTCTGTGATGCTCCGCCTGTGATGAGTATTCGCTCGATAGGAATAGAGCCTGACGGTGGCTCGTAGAATGAAGTCAACCATTTTGCAACTGATTCTCGAAACGGGGCGTATCCCAGATCCGGACCATACATGAGCGCAACCTTTGCGACATCCGGGTCAGAAAGAATAGCTGCGGCTGCTGCAAGCTGTTCAGCAGGATAGAGCCGAGGTGATGGCCAGCCGAGTTGTAGATTGATATGAGACGACATGTTGAAAAAGCAATTGTTATCTGCGGGGGATCTCAGAGTGACGCAAGTGCAATTCGAGTTGATTCAAACGAAAGACACATTCGAGACCTCCGAGACAAAATATATCGATCATGCGTTCAACATGGAAATAAGTCAACCCGATTCAGCAGCAGTTGCACCAGGCCTCTAGTTTGCAGGGCGAGTGTGCCGAGCCGCCTTCTTGATCCCGTCCGATGCGGTGCATACCTAGGTACTATACTCGGTGGACCATATCCGCACTTGATGGAATGGACTTTGTACGCCGACGTGGCCGAAAAGAGGATAATGAAATGTTGAAAAGATGGAGTTGTCCCTGCGACGAGAGGACTCTGGAGGCGGCGGGTGCCCTAGCGTGTCACTTGGCGCAATTGGTGGCTAACGAAGACGGGCTATGATAAGAAACATCTCGGCTTGAACTCCGAACTCAACTCCACTAATGATACGGGCATTGTGTGTCAACCATCGGCAATTGTCAAATCGTGCAGACCATTTACCTGCCAGATCTGAGACTCCTATCGTCAGCCATGGCGTGCGGGCGTCCAATAATGGGGGAAGGCACGAATTGCCTCAACCCCTCTCTCCTTGTTGTGTCGAGGATCATAGTTCATAATCCGAGGTGAAGATATCGCCACCGTTTTGGACAGGAGACGGACATCCATTGCCGTACCATTCTCATCGAGTATATCACATCAAGCTCCTTTGGTTTCTTCGCTCCGTCGAGTAGCCCAGTTCATTCCTTCAACGAGCAGCGCAAGTCCTCCAAGGCATCCTGCATCCAGCCAAAATGCCTGTCGCAATTACCCCTCCACCGTCGCCTATGAAGTCGGGCATTGAGATTGCTATAGACCGAGGAGGGACGTTTACAGATTGCATTGCGACGAACATTCCCGGGAGGGAAGACATTGTGGTGAAGCTGCTCAGCGTTGACCCCACCAATTATGATGATGCTCCAACGGTAAGTGGCAATCTACAAGGTATAGTCCACTGCTGAATGTCTCGCAGGAAGGGATCAGGAGAATTTTGGAGCAAGTTACAGGCAAGAAGCTTGTCAGGGGAGAGCCAATCGACACCGCCATGATTGGTAAAGTCTCACCTCTATTTCGATGTCACATGTTAACCCGTATTTAGCTTCTATCAAAATGGGAACAACCGTTGCCACCAATGCACTTTTAGAGAGGTCTGCAGATTCGTGTGCTCTCATTGTCTCAAAGGGTCACGCAGATCTCCTGAGGATAGGAGATCAAACGAGACCAAAATTGTTTGATTTTAATATCCGACGAGCAGCTCCCTTATTCTCTGAAGTTCTAGAAGTCGATGAGCGAGTCACTCCTGAGGAGTATACTGAGGATCCGAATCCTAAATCAGCAGCTGAGCTGGACTCGCTTGTTGACGATGTTCAAGTGGTCAAAGGCGTTGGTGGAGAATTAATCAGAATTCTGAAGCCTCTCGGTAAGTAAATTGCCTGTCGTCAAGGGCAATGTTGATATTCCTCAGACGCAGAAAAGGCGCGAGCGGATTTGCAAGAATTGTACGATATCGGAGTCAGATCACTAGCAGTAGTGCTCCTCCACTCGTACACATTTCCGGAACATGAACTTTTGATTGGTAAAATTGCCAATGAAATTGGCTTCACTCAGATCTCGCTTTCATCCCAACTTTTGCCCATGATCAAAGCTGTATCTCGTGGTCATTCGGCGGCCGCGGATGCGTATCTGTCTCCCGTGGTCCGAAATTATATCGACGGATTCAGAGCGGGCTTCATTGGAAAGCTAGAAGATAGCGAGCAAGGAGCACGTTGCGAGTTCATGCAGTCTGATGGAGGTCTTGTCGGCTGGCAAAGATTCAACGGACTAAGAGCAATCTTGTCAGGTCCTGCAGGCGGTGTCGTTGGTTTTAGCCGCACTTGTTACGATGAAGAGGACAAGACTCCTTGCATTGGTTTCGATATGGGAGGTGAGAGGACGTTCCTGGTCTTTGAGAATTCTAGCTAATTGGCGAAAGGAACATCGACTGATGTCAGTCGTTATGGTGGACTTTTGACGCATACCCTCGAGAATGTGATTGCAGGTATCACAATACAGACTCCGCAACTAGATATCACTACTGTGGCAGCAGGTGGTGGAAGTATTTTGACTTATCGCAATGGTCTCTTCAATGCCGGACCTCAATCAGCTGGAGCATATCCAGGACCAGCGTGTTACAGAAAGGGTGGCCCGTTGACAGTCACAGATGCTAATCTAGTCCTTGGCCGCTTATCACCTGAGCACTTCCCCAAGATCTTCGGTCCCAATGAGAACGAGCCTTTAGATCTCGACGCTTCGCGAGCGGCATTTGAAAATCTCACTGAAACCATCAATGAGGATTTGAAGTCCTCAAGTGGAAGGTCACTCTCTGTGGAAGAAGTCTGCCTAGGATTTTTGAATGTGGCCAACGAATCGATGTGTCGCCCAATTCGACAAATCACCGAATCGAAAGGCTACAATACTGGTGACCATAACCTCGCGAGTTTCGGAGGTGCTGGAGGCCAGCATGCTTGCGTAAGTTTTCCTGGCTCATTAAAACTGCTTCTCTGACGATATATAGGCTATTGCAGACCGACTCAACATCAAGAGAGTGTTGGTCCACAAGCATGCCAGTATTTTGAGCGCTTACGGTATGGCATTGGCCGACACCGTGCAAGAAAAACATGAGCCTTGTTCATGCGATTACTACTCGTCGGTGGACGAAGTTGAGTTTAGGTTGGCAAACTTGCAGGTATGTACAGAGCATTTTGATTCTCACACAAATAACTTATAGTTCCGTAGGACCAAGTCACCAAAGAGCTCAAATTAGAGGGCTTCAATCCCGACCAGATGATTTACGAACGATATGTCAATTTGAGATATGCTGGCTCCGACACGATCATCATGATTCTGCAGCCTGATGATGGGGATTATGCAGCTGCCTTCGTCAAAGAGCATCAACGTGAATTTTCTTTCACTCTTCCAAACAGGAGAGTCTTGGTAGAGAATTTGCGAGTCCGAGGTCGTGCTAATGCAGGGACTCAACTAGCAAAAAAGAAGTCCATCAGCAACGAATTAGCCTCCATCCCCCAATCAACTGTTTCCGCTTACAAACAGAAGACTCTCCTAGTATACTTCGAAAGTGGCTGGATAGATGCTCCTCTTTTCGTATTGAAAGACCGTATCCCTGGCGACACGATTCCTGGACCGGCAATGATCTATGACGAAACTCAGATGATTGTGGTCCAACCTGGAGCCATTGCCAGGATTCTACAATCACACGTCGTGATTGATCTCGCATCTGACAAAGTCTCAGCAGTACCCGGTGAGACCACAGATGATGATCCATTGACCGAGGATCCAATTCAACTGTCAATCATGTCAAATCGCTTTATGGGCATTGCTGAGCAGATGGGTCTTACTCTCCAAAAAACAAGTGTCTCAGTCAACATCAAAGAGCGACTTGATTTCTCGTGTGCCCTGTTTGGTGTAAGTACACTTACCCGCTTCGTGGTGTTTTCACTAACAGTCATAGCCGGACGGCGGTCTGGTTGCAAATGCACCTCACGTTCCCGTTCATTTGGGTAGTATGGAGCACGCTGTTCGGTTCCAGCATAACCTTCATTCCAAGAATTTGCGGCCAGGAGATGTTCTAGTGTCTAACACGTGAGTTGTCTTTTCTCTCGTGACCACATTCAAATACTGAACCAAATAGACCCCTCGCTGGAGGTACTCACTTACCAGACATTACTGTCATCACTCCAATCTTCGACCAGGAAGGAAAGAACATCAGCTTCTACACGGCTTCCAGAGGCCATCACGCAGAAATTGGCGGCATCCTTCCAGGTTCTATGCCTGCGAGCAGCACTAGGCTCTACGAAGAAGGTGCACAGATTACTTCTATGTTTCTCGTCCGAGATGGCGTTTTCTTTGAAGAAGATATCACGAAAGTTCTTGTCGAAGAAACAGGCTCTCATCCAGGATGCAGCGGAACAAGAAGTTTAAATGACAACCTCAACGACTTGAAAGCACAAATCGCAGCGAACGCAAAGGGGGCTAATCTTGTACAAACTCTGATCGAGGAAAGTGGACTTAAGACCGTAAGTGATTCTCCTTCCATCAAAAGTAGCACAAACTAATATCCATCAGGTCCACTTCTACATGAACGCAATCAAGAAAAATGCAGCAACAGCAGTCCGAGCCTACCTCCAAAAAACCTACACAAAGTTCAACGGCCAGCCCCTAACAGCCATCGACCACATGGACGACGGCACCCCGCTCGCTCTTAAAATAACAATCGACCCCACCAGCTCGGCCGTCTTCGATTTCACCGGCACTGGTCTGGAAGGTTTACACTGTTTCAACGCCCCATCCGCGATCTCGAAATCGGCCACCATGTACGTCTTGCGCTGCCTGATCAACGAGGATATCCCCTTAAACGAAGGCTGTCTCCTACCCATCAAATTCATTATCCCCGAAGGCACGATCTTGAATCCCAGCGGTCAGGCAGCCGTCTGTGCAGGCAATCCAATCACGAGTCAGAGAGTGACGGATGTCCTAATCAAAGCATTCCAAGCTTGTGCTGCCTCGCAAGGTGACTGCAACGTCTTCTCCTTCGGTTTCGGAGGTAAGGACCTCGAGACTGGTAATGAAGTCAAAGGGTTTGGGTTCGGAGAAACTATCTGTGGGGGATCAGGAGCTGGTGAGAACTGGCATGGGACCTCGGGTGTTCATATTCATATGACGAATACCCGAATCACCGACCCTGAGGTGCTGGAGAAGAGGTATCCGTGTATCTTGAACAGATTTGTGATCAGACCGGGTAGTGGTGGGCAAGGTTCATTCAATGGTGGGAATGGGATCGTGAGAGAGTATGAATTTAGAAGGGCGTTGAGTGCTAGTATTGTCAGTGAGAGGAGGGTTTATCAACCATTTGGGATGGCAGGTGGTGCGCCGGGAGAGAGTGGAAAGAATTCCTTGGTTGAGCAGCTTGGAGATGGGAAGGAGAGATGGGTCAACGTTGGAGGAAGGAAGGACTTTAAGGTTGGAAAGGGGGACAAGGTGATTATTGAGACGCCTGGTGGTGGTGGATGGGGTGTGCCTGGAGACGAGAAGGTGCAAGTTGTGAGGACGGAGCCGGAAGAGAGCGTGACGGGGTATGTGAACTCGTTCCTGATGAGACAGGAGCAGAGTAATTGACGGCTTTTATTTTGGTTTGGGATAGGACAGCTTGGCTCGGGTTGGAATGGGGTTGTCGGCTCTTTGGTTTCATAGATTTCTGTTCCGACATCAAATATACCTACCCTTCATCTGTATTTCAAAACACACGTTGTTTAAGCTGTGGCGCGGTCTTCAGTGGATTATTCTGAACCCCAAGTTGTAGCGCTTTCAATGAGTGGGTGGATATTGGCACTGCTGGGTGCCCCGTAATAGGCTTCGCTTCCCGGCACTCTTGTTGGGGTCAGGCCGAAGTTTGTTTACCACAGCTTAGGGAGCGCACTCAGCGCACTCAGCGCCATTCGCGCCATTCGCGCATTCCGTCAGATGGGCTGTACTTCAGATGCCTCAGCCCAAACAAAGCCTGTTTATGGCGGCTGAGGAATAGAAAGACGCTTTTATATCTTCTATCTCAAGGATGCCGTTCGTCTTCACAAGAAGGCAATAAGGGCTTTCGAAAGTAGTTTAAAGCCATGGAACTACCAACAAAAAAAAAAAAAAATGCAAAACAATTGGTCATAATGAATTGAAAGATACTTCATCATTTCTCGAATTGCGCCAATTCAACCCGTCTCACACTAGTTCCTACTGTCTTGGACTGCCAATTGGCCCCATAGTTTCAGCCCTATGTCATAGACTTTTAGAGGGTCACATGATGCTGGGTCCTTGGTAGCGAAAAGGGACCAGAGGCTTAGCGAGCCCCTTTTCGGCAAGGCGGGAGAACCTGTCGAGCTTCTAGCATGCTTCGATAGCGATAGCTTCAAATTTGGGGGTTCTGGTATGCTTCTGATGTGGTCTTATGACGATGGATTGTGAACGCTTCAGGAGCCTTCGGTCATAGAAAATGGGAATGAAAGTTCGCTCATGCCGTAAATATCTCTGTATGAAAAAGGGTTTCTTCGATTGTAAACAACAAATCTCCTATCTAAGCACCTTTCAGGTATCTAACATGAGTTCATTATCATATTCCTCCAGAGACACTTCCACATTCTCCCAAACCGCATCCTCAACCTCCGCCTCATCTACCTCCAATTCTGCCTCGGAAGTCAGCACTACTCTCTTCCCATCAGAATTCGGCTTCTACCGCTTCAGCTCCTCCTCAACAGTCGCGCTCACAACCAAAGATCCCTCTCCCTTCGCCAGTATCCAAAGCAACAGCGGTTTTCGCAGCAAACCCGATCTCACCTTCTACCAAGGCCGCAACAAATGGTACCGCCAACTCGCGTCAGCGCAATTCGTAGGCCCGGAAGGAAAACCGCACATCACGCTCGGCTCGACAAGATATGGAGCTGCGCCTACAGAGAAAGTAGAATGCGAGGGGTTTTTCCGGGTTTCGCATCATTTCTCTTTATATTTAAATTCTGTGCGGTATAGAGAACATTTTCAGTGGAGCGAGTGTAGTCATGCGGAGTTGAAAGGGTTTGGGATAGGGCATTCGAGCGGGATGAAACTCGTCAGAATGAAAACTGGAGAGGTTGTAGTGGTGTATGCCAAGGTTTCTTGTGCGGTGAAGAAGATTGGGAAGATGAGGTTTCTGGAGGTTGAGCTGGGAAATGAGTTCCAGGTCATGGCTGTGATGAGTTTGATAGCGATATTCTAAGTGAAGAAAGAATAAGATTTCTATATAAAAAATTATATATTTTAATTAAATAATATAAAAATTATAATTTTTAAATATTAAGAGCTAAATATTAAAGATTTCCGTGCATTCCCAAGGTTCGTGCATGGCCGGTGGAATTCGGTTAAATGATAAAACATAGCATAAGTCGTCTATTGGCACCCCTTGGCGTTTACTGTACTACACAGTTCTTTTGAGACACCACACCACATCCCGCGTCACATCAGCAGCAGTGAGTGATACAAGCGTCCCCTCGCTCTTTTCAGCCGAGAAATTCCCAAGACTTTTCTCCAAAAGATCTCAGATAGATTTCCGGAAGTCTCTCTTGAAATCTCATCCCCGAATCAATCTCAATCTGTAAATACAGACGCCATGCGTTATTGGAAGGGGTGGGAGGGTTCAAAGAGGATTCCGTTTGGCTGCTGCTTCAAATCAATTCAATGATTGACCTTAACCAGAATCGGTTTCATGCAGCCGAAACGGTTCAAGCTGAATGAAGTTTGTCAGAGTTTGCGTAGCTCAATGCGCTTTTCACGGAGGGCTCAGGAGATGACTAGACCCTTGTGAGAACGAACTGAACCGGTATTAATACTCTCTCTCTCTCTCGCTATTAGGCGTGGTATTCCACTAGATTATCGGTATGTCTAACACGGATGCCGCCCCTTGCATGACCGCCGCAACTGATTCTTTCGAGAGCGACGAGACACCTGAGACCTACGCAGAAGCTATCAGTGCTCATGCGAGAAAAATCCAAAAAAATTCTTTCGTATGCGGAGCCAATTATCGCGACTTCTCAAAGTTTGTTAACCTTTCGCCTTCAGAGCGGAATATCCAGCTACTGGACCAGCTGCAACCAGACCTGACCCGAGCGCACCGGTCCGTGGTGTGCTTACGCTTCGATTCCGATGGCACAAGACAACCAAACACATACGCTGGCACAGAAGGGCCTCAATCGTTCCTTGATAGAACTCCATTGAAGACAGGTTGTGCAGAATTTCTCTTCATCAGAGGTTACCCATCTGCGGAGTGGATAAGAGTCATTGGCTCTCAGCTTCGAATCGATCCCGAGGTCTTTCGACGACACGTTGGTTGTCTAGAAGCAAGGCCCTTTTTCGACCTGCCCACAGTGCCCTCGAGCACCAAACCATAATGCAACTGAAGATCACAACTATATATACCAGAGAGCTCGCCCTTTCTCAATCACAAGTACAGGCTGGCCGTCAGCACAGTTCCGGGGACATTAGGCGAAATTACAATGCACTTGTGAAGCATGGCGTCGCTGGACAATCAATCGTTCGTCGGTATTCAATTCACAACGAGAATACATATACTATCGATCAACTCATCACCTTTTGTGTAGTGAAGAAGAACGGAGGTTATACAGGTATGAATAACTGCCCGCTCTATTTTATATCATTCTTCAACTAACTCATCAAGCGGTTATCTGTCTTGACACAGGCAGAGATCTCCGGCAGGGTCCTGAAGCACCCTGGAATAAAGCAGAAGCCGAGCCAGACTCTTGCTTACCCACTATACAACACCCTGCAAAGGTGGCTTTAAGAACTAACGATCAGACCACGTCATTTGCAAGTGAGGAAGATGCAGACAGACTCCTCCAGAGCACAAGCATACCCACTGCGAAACATTTGCCCCTTCAATATGGCATGTTGGCAGACGAAGACCAATCTTTGATGCGCTCTAGTCCGATATATGCTTTGAATGAGTTATTTCTCTTCGCTGCCTCAAGCAACAGCCAATTTCTCAATTTTGTGAAAGGTCAAGTCGAAGATGCCCTACTCAATGCTCAGAGTCACGAGGGGCAGGAAGAATTGTCACTTATAAACTTACGATTCACAAAGGACCTGTTGGAGGAGAATATTGGCCACTATTCGGAGGTCATCGCTTTTCTTCAGAGCAAATTGGCTGCGAAATGGAAAGGTTCTGACGCCGACCTTGCACAAGATGTACAGGATTCTATTTTGCGGGACTTTGAATCTCTTCTTAGACGCGCAAAAGAACTCGCTGCAAGGTGTTTGGATGGAACAGCTATAATTATGAATGGCGCCATGCTGAGGGAATCAAGAAAAGCTATTGAACAGGCTGAGAAGGTGGAAAGGTTGACTATTCTTGCACTTATTTTCGTGCCACTTTCATTCATCACTTCAGCCTTTGGTATGAATTTCAAAGAACTAGGACAGGGGGAAGTCGGTATGCAAGTCTTCGCCGAAGTGGCTGTCCCGGTGTTATGTGTATCATTAATCATCTGCTTCTGGGGCCGTATTCATAGAGCCATCACATCCCTTTGGGACTAGAAAAAACTACATTTCTCTCACTATCTAGACCAATACCTGACGATCCTGTCAAAATCCTGCTCGGTAAGCTTATCATTCTCATTGTGATTCGGTACAAGCTCTTTGTACATTGTCATTGCCTGCTTAAGAAGAGCCTCGGTCATTCCAGGATCAACAACACTACCAGGTAAAGTGTTGTAGAAGAGGTACTGCTTGAAAGTGGCCCTAGCAACTTCTGGTTTATTATGATGATCTCTTTGGAAGACTTTGATAGCCTGCGCAAAATATACACTGAATCCACGATTAGCACAGCCCTTGAGTGATGGCAAGTAAGCGCACCGGGCAGGGTCAAATTCAGACGCTCTCGCGTGGTGCTCTGCCAGCTTCAAGCAGATATGACCTGTGTGGAAGTAGTTGTTGCCAACTGTAGCCCGAAAATTCGAAAGGGCGTTCTCATATGCTTCAAAGCTTTGCTTCCACATTTTTTGCTTCCGGACAACCCCAAGAGCATGCAACGCATATCCAACTCTTTCCAAAATTAGCAGTTTCCGTCAAAAGAAGCGAAAATATCCTTACTTGGGTGATTGGACATCGTTGACTCCGAATTTAAGCTTTCGAAATTCGATAACCTTATCCAAATTTGAGACTGCATCATTGTAACGTTCTGGACCGAGCCCTATGTAAGCCCAAGCTTGGTATATGAGCGCAAACTGCGACAACGCATCGCCTGATATTATGTCTGGCGACTCAGAATCGATGTTGATGCATTGCTGAAATTCGTTGACGGCCTCTTCATTTCTATCCAACAGCAGATATGCTTTGCCAAGGCCTGTATGCGCGGTACCCACGTCTTCATGTTTGTTGAGGCTACCATCATCAAGGATCCTACAAAGCTCAAGATGACGAGCGGAATAATCACGAACCAGTTCCGGCGCTGTGCTTGTCTCCTCCCCGTATCGCGCATAGCTGAACAAGGTATCTGCCAGAAGATCAAGCATCTGAGATTGATTAGATTCGCAGATGGACAGTGCTATTTCGAATAGCGGCTTGGCAGCTTTATACTCTGCCCGTTGCACCAGATACCTGTCTCAGTCAGCATTGTGAATTCTCTGAGTGGTCATCACATATACCAAGCACTTTGCTGCAGAAGGTCGACAAACTTGCGTTTCACTTCTACTTGTGTTTCAGATTGAAGCCCTGAGAATCGATCTTTGAGGCTAAGCACGTGTGGAATTACCATGTCAGCTTTCTCGATTTGCAGCTGCTCTCGATTGAATCTATCTCCACCCATGGGAAAGGCTTGAGATAACAGCTGGACAGCAAGTTGAAAGCTTTGCAGAAATGTCTCTTTGGACATGTAGGTTGCTATCACAGCACGTACCTCTCTGTGAATGGTGATGAGGTTTTTGTCTTTATTCCGTGTAATAAGAGACGTGCTGAGAAGGTCGGTTCGCGCGTCAATGTAAAGGCAAGAAGAAGCAGGGTACTCGAACCGATTTCCAGGTGTAAGACGTTGATCAAGAATAGATTCTGATATTTGATCGGGATCCAGCAGACAAATGAGACTGATAAGACACAGAGCAGATGGTGATTTGAACTTTTCGAACTTCCAGACTGAAGCAAGAGTTAGATGGTACTGATCCCGCTGTGGGAGCTGATCAGCTTTGCTTATCTCCGCTAGAAGAGATGTATTCTCATAAGTAGACAGAAACTCCTCGAGTTTCATTTCTCGGCGTCGAATGAGAGCGGCAATCTCTCTCACCGCCAAGGGAACACAGAAAAGTTTCTCCACGATGGCAATTGAGGCCGAGCGTGACTCTTTCGTGTCAGCGAGGTTCGTCAATTTCAGAAGTAATTTGGCACAATCTTGTGTTGTCATAGGAGCAAGATCGATGCCGATGTTGGAGGTCAAATCTCTCCTAGCTAGTGGATCTCGTGACGTTATCACAATTGAACCATTCGTAGCTCCGATGGGCCAATAGTCCTGCAACAACTCGATGCGATCCGCATTGTCGAAAATGAGGAGCCACGTAGCGGTAGAAAACGTGGACGGAAGTTCAATCGAATTACTTTCCGGCTGCTGCTTCCTAGGGTCGGAAAGCCATTCCAATACGAGACTTCTGCTGACTACTCGGTCACCTGTGTCTGCTGCTCCAACTAGCCCTAAAGCTTGTGCAATATCGTCGAAGCTTTTAGATAGTTTCGTGGTGTCGTCGGCTTGAACCCAAAATATTGCATCAAAAAACTCCTCCCGAGTGAATGCGTAATTAATTGCAATCTGGGACTTTCCTAGTCCACCCCAACCACACAAAGCGAATGATCTCAACTCTGAACGTCGACCCAAATGCTTGGGTGGTAGGAGCACCACATCGAGCTCTTGCGAGATATCTTCTCGGCCGACAAAATGCGGATTAGGTTGTTGTGGGTTTCTGAGGTAACACGGAAGTCGAGGTAGTCGGTCCTGTGGGAGAAACTCTTCAACGCGGGGGATGATCTCATAACTGGAAACGTCAGAGGAACCATGAATAGCAGCCGGTAATGATTGAGACAATTCCCTCGCTGTTATAGTCCATTAGCAGAGTTCCTAACATTGAGATATTACTCACCAGAATCGCTTGTGTCTGGGTTTGAGTCTGTGCTTGCCCAGGCTGATTTTCCCTGTCTTCTATTGAGAGATGTTCCAGCTAATCATAAATGCTGTGAGTATTGGGAATCGGTCTATTTGTTCAAACAATACGGGCTCATCTTGAACTTTTGCTTGAACAAGTCGAGGCACTCCGCACTGTTGATAACGTTTTGCAGTGGAGGGGACACTTACATGTGGGGGAGGCCTGCAGCTGCGGTCGTGGAGGATTCTCGATTGCATGGAGTACTAAAGCCGATAATTGATTGAATAATTCACTGTCGGACGAGAATTTGCAGATGCCTGGATGATCTGAATGGACCCCAAGTGGATGCTCATTCTTGACAGATGTTTCAGAAATTACTTCGCCAACGAGCTATCCGACTGCTTTCAGTCAGTGTCAAAAATAAACCTAAAGCTTTCTCACCATGATACGCCGCGAAGGAGTATACCAGTTCATCCTAACCTTGGTTCTGACAGTCTCGTAGACAGACAAGACTTTAATGGTAATGCCAGCCTGTTCGAATTTATCGGAAAGATTTGCCACTGTCGCAACATCATTTTCGGCGTCTTCCAGTCGGGATTTGTTGAGATTTGTACACGCTCGTAACATGTCTGTCAGCTTGGGCCATAGATCACGTCGAGGATATGTAGGGTGAGGAACGCCGAGGAAGACGACTCCTGATTGAGCACGTTGAAGCATTTGGTATGCCGGATTATAGGACTGCTCATATAGGCCCACGAGTGCCTCGAATTACGACTTTAGCATTTTGACCTTTATCAATGGATTAATCATACATACCCGTTTCAAGGTGATGCCCCCAAGGCCAGAAGAGATTAACACCATCGAGCAGAGGTTTGCCTATGAATCAAATTAGCAGAGATGGCTGAAGTAAAAGCTCATCAAGAAGTAACGGACTGGCCCGTCAAATTCATCTTTGAGAGCTGTTAAGAGAGTATCTCCTTGCTGAATGAGGGCCTGCCAGATAGATATGTCGGGAGAACCAGGGTTACATGAGAATTCATAGACGTCTGATCTGGGTGCTTTGACGCGTAGGAAAGAGAGAAGCGATGCTGTTTGTGCGACTCGATACTCTACGTCATAATAAGAGACTATTACGATACTGGTAAGTGTTAGTGAACTGTGAATTCATGATAACGTGCACTGTATATCCCAATTACCGCAAATTGCTCTCGCCCCGTATCTCAACGCCACGTATCGGCACTTTCTTGAGAAGGCTGGGGGAGGTTCTAGGACCTCCTGCCGCCGTTGATGCCATGATGACTGTTGAAATCCAATCTCTCTTGGTCTTGCCCCAGTCGCGACGTAGAAGTTGAGGGATAGAGGCCCACCCGCACGGCCACGATTGTCGCGTCTCAGCTCTATGTTCTTCTCATTTCTCTAGCCTGGAGAAAGAATTAGAGTGGTGGATGACTGGCGAGTTGTATGTGAGAGAGTTGTTAAGTCTCCCGACCTTAGATTGAGAACATATGCGGGATTTTTAGCGCTGCAGTAGCTCAGCCCACTAATTATAACCTAGAACGCAATCGCAGAGCATTTGTCCGACGTAAACACAGCATTACGAAGTGGAAAGTATAAACGTGGTATTTTGACAAATTCGGTAGCATATTCTTTTGGACTTTCCTTGGCTAGTAGACTCATTTCGAAATCTGGGCATGCGGTGTGGGAGACCGACCGCGGAGTTTGATGGTGGAGATGATAAGTATCCCCCAAGCTGCGGCTTGTGTTGCGTTCCCATCAAATTAAGCGAGAACATCAAAAACTCCAAGAGTCACTCATTTCAGCATCTTCTTATTTGAATTTTCTTTTACCAATTTACATTAAAATTTAATATACTTGAAATTTAGACTTACATATACCTTTCTATAAAACGATTTGAAATTTGCATAATTGTTGTGCTCTCAATATCTATTGCAAGTCAGACAATATCCGCAAAAAAAAAGCACCACTGGCCGCAGCTTGGGGGATACGCGCGTATCTTGCGACATAGAAGCACTCCAAAAATCGCAAATCGCTCCAACTTTCCTTTAAGACGGCTTACTTTTCAGAGAAATGTGCGGGTTGTAATCTACATGTCTATGGAAAGTGTTAGTGTCTCAGGATCAATGATCTCCTCTGCTCCGGGTCAACGGTTCAAGGCCACGATGTGATATTGTCTTACATGAGGTGAACTGGGAACTTGCCTCCTTAGCACTTACGCTAGGACATGATCGTTATGGCACCTCTACTACGTAGGAAGTTCTTTCACACATGAAATTTTGGCAGAAGCATAATCTACCACGGGATTGTAGTTGGTTCATTCGAGCAATTTCATCCCAGATGAGCGAGCTGTTTGCCCAAAAGCTCTGTTTCTTGGAAGAAACTTAATGCTGCTAGCGACAACGCATCTGTCCCAGTCTTCAAAGTTAAATAAACAACAGGGGCGTTGAATGGTGAGTGTTCAATTGGAACTGTCTCCAAACTGTTTCCCATTCTTTCCGACCTCTCCCATTCTACTGGATCAACCCTGCCCAGAAACCAGAAAACATACGGTACCCCCTTCGATGACGCTAGAAGAGAGAAGTCCTCACATGGATGCTTTGGCACCCGGTCCAGCACCATGTCCGCCCCAAAGAATTGTGTGAACGCAGGTAAGAGAGTCTGAACAAGTTCTTTGCTGTTATTGGTCGTGGGTGCCCGAAGTTTGGTGGTGATTTCAGGTGGTATCTTGATTCCCGCAGACTTGCTTTCGAATTCTACAAGGTCTTGGATAGCTACGACCAAGTCCTGCCGAACCGAGGGATTGTACGCTTTGACATCCAGTATGATATCCACAAATGCAACAAAGTCTTCTCCAGGTTGGCCGGCGTGGATTTCCTGAACTCCAACGGACGCGTAGTCATCTCCAGCTATTCGAGCAGCAAGACTCTCGAGTTGTACTAAAATTCTCGCCGACACCACAACGGGATCTATTGTCAGCTGAGGATTGGCTGGAAACCCAACGCTCGCAAAAAGCCTAATACTCATGGTCTCCGCGGACACCAGCACAGGACCCGCTTTGATACTAACCATGCCGGTCTTGATCGCAAGCGAATGTTGCGCGAATACAACATCCGGAACGGGAATTAGATCGTAGAGACCATCGTCCACCATCGCTTGTGCCCCACCTGTATGTTCCTCATTTGGTTGGAATATTGCAATCAGCGTCCCAGACCAAGAAGACTTGGCATTGCTCAACAACTTGCAGGCAGCGAGCAGGCATGCCATGTGCATGTCGTGCCCGCAGGCATGCATTACAGGTTGTGCTCTTCCCCAAATATCCTCCATGGACTCCTTGCTCGCATATGGTAGCCCAGTCTGCTCTCGGATGGGCAACGCGTCCAGCTCCGATCGCAGCATAATTATGCTGCCGGGTCCATTCTCAAGAATGCCAACAACGCCATGGCCACCAACTTTGTTATGCGTCTTCAGCCCAATTTTTTCCAATTCTCCCTCGATATATGTGGCCGTCTGGAGTTCTTTGCAAGATAGCTCAGGGTGCTGGTGAATGTATCGGTATGCATCCTCGAAATCGCTGAGATTTGGACGGAATTGTTCGATTATTGAACCGGGATTCGTGCCCAGAGCTGTGTGAAAGTACCGTCAGTATGAGTGTGAACTGTGATGAAGGAGTACACGATGTAATTACTGTCAAGAAAGGATTTCTGCTCCCTTAAGATACGATCTGCTGCGAGTATTGCAACGCAATAGAATGCTATCCAAAATCTGATGAACATATCTGGGCTTCTGAGCCGGATTCTGGGGAAAGAGGAAAACCCCCCAAAATGCGCGATCTGAGGCTCAATCCTCTGTGTCAGCTGCTTTGGGGTTAGTTGATTGGCATGGAGGTGTGGCATGCTCATTTGTTGTTACCTTTGTCCTTGGGTAAATAATTACACACCTGAGGGTTTTAGACTGAGTCTCAAACTAGGGTTTGGTCGAATTGAATAGCTGCATTCCGGATCTTTGTATGAGGAATATGCTAGAAGCATCAACCTTCAGGGATGTAATTATTTACACAAGGACAAAGGTATTACTCGCTTTACCCGAATAACCCTATCTGTGCACCTCTTCATCATGCCTTTCATTCGTTTGGCGTCATGGGGCTGTCCGCAGGTTGTACCGCTGATGTTCCGCGATAAGCGTACTTCATGGTGCACGTATGACGAACGAAAGTAATACATGGCTCATTGGCTAGACCACTGATCACATTGCATTCATTCTCAGCAGAACGCCTAATATTGTACTTCCAAATGCTTCAGGTGTACTCATGCTCCAAGTCGTAGCACATTGACCAAGGGACCGGCGCCCGTTTTCAAACCAAGTCCAATCGACCCCGCCTTGAATTCCGCCTCATTATGCACTTGCCCAAGTGTGCAATGAGATGATCCTGCCTTATCTCTTCCATTCACCTAGGTGTATCGTCAGCTGTTTCAGAGGCGTCTTTCATCTAAAAATCCTCTAAATTATAAATCTCCAGCATCAAGCCCAGACAATCTCATCACAGTCTCCGAAATCTCTATATCGATAATTCACAACTCGTTATAACCAAAGTACTCGCTAAGTTACAATGCCAACTTCCATCCAAAGCTTCGCTGCCTCTTGCAATGAAGGACAGCGCTCCACCAGCGAGGCTCCACGTGTGAAGTCACAGCCATGGAAAACATTTTTTCCCGATCGCAAATGGGTTCCTCCCTCTACATTTCAACAACAGGCGAGCCAAGGCTCAAACGCAGATATCAGGCTTTTGCAGGAGTTGGATGCCATCAGCCGATAAGTCACTGGAAGGTATAGCGTGCTAAAGCTTCTTTAAAGACTTACAGCTAACGTTGAGTAGATGGTCTCTACTATCTCAACGAACGCACGTCGCTGTGTCATGATTCAGTTTATTCTTCGTGAAGGTAACAAGGGAGGTTATTCGGGCAGTCAGGAGTTGGGAAACTGTACGTTGCTATGGAATATACGAATGAAAAATTCATGAAATTGAGAGTATGAAACATATGTGCTCGTGCAATTGAAAGTGACCTGTCGCCGAGAGACGTTTACTCCTTCTCGACTACATTCGAGACGTGAAAACAATCAGTCGAGCCTCCACACTCTCTCGGGGGCATTCGTATGGGTCTTCAGTAAATTGCGAAGCCGCTCCGTGAGGGGGATATGCTATTATAAGATCATCAGCTGTGGATATGTTGTGGGGAGAGCATGGAGACTCACCTGCCTTCACCTCTTCTTCATCGCAATCCCAAGTTACAAACATGGCCACATCCTTTGGCGATTGCTCGGACAGATAATACCAACGGTGATAAGCCTGATACTTGACAAAGTAAGCTCGTTCGACTTTGTCGGGAAGAACTTTTTCGACCTCGATCAGATCTTCCTTATGAACAGAACGACGGTCTGTAAGCACCAGTGGAGCGTTCTTAACAGTCCCCAATGGGCGCCAAACACTGGCACAGTACTTAGCAGAGTAACCAATACTGCGATGATTGCCGTACTTGATGATTCTTGCCTTTACCTTGCCACTTCTGACCAATTCAAGCTCTTCGGGAAGCAGGTGCATCTCGAGTCGTTCCAGACCGCCATCGTGAGAGAAATCTTCCAAATTCGTCGTGAGAAAAATTTTTTTGTTTGTGCGACAGCTTTCAACTTACCACAATGAACGAGAAAGCCAGGCCGGACGGCTTGAAAACGGATATCTTCCACCTCAAAAGGATCAGACTTGATGTCATTTGGCCCTCCACTGCGCCTGAACTTTATCGTAGTGAGCTTACCATATTTCTCTCAAAGGTCGAAGAAAAAACGTACCCTCCAATCGAAACAAATCACTCGGTCGGCAGAAGTTTGCTCCTTCACCAACGACATTGTCTCTTCCAGGTATGCTGTGACAATAGGACTTTTTTCCAGATTACTCCCAGCGGTCTCAAAGTGTTCGGAAGCCAAAGAGCAAATGGACTCATGGGTGATGTATGTGAACCCAGCATTCTCGAGAGTGAAATTTTTTGGGTTTTGGCGAACATCCTCAATGAGAATATTATCAACTTCCGTGTAAGTACAGTTTGTGATTCGACCAGAGTCAAATTTCGGGTGGCCATATAATTCATATGGAATTTCTGTTTCAAACCTCGGAGAGTCCTCGAGGAATCTTAGTTTCGTCAACATCTGGGAAATCTTGGCACTCTCCTGCCCGGGGACAAAGCAAATGCGGATGATATCAGGTGGAAGTCAAGATAGGATTTGGGGATCATATTATACCTACAAGGCAGTGCGGCTCGGTTACAGTAGACTGTTACTGCAGTACAATTTTGCAGTCTAAAGCATGCGATTCCATGTGCTATCGCTGACGAATGAGAAGAACACTTGAATCTTTTGTGGCTGTTTGCGGAAAAACTACCAATAAGAAACTCAGACGCCAAGATAACTTATCGCGTCGCAGCCTCTCTGGCTTTTGTCACAGTGGCCCCAAGTTTATTGTAAATCTTCGACTCCAAGCGCGGGCCGCGCTCCCATATCGCGCAGTTGCCTAAAGTCCAAACCAGAATTGAGTGACAGGAAAGTAAATTTTATTCATTGCCACGTCATTGATTCCTAAAGTGCGCTCGTAGCAATCATTTTGACGCCCTTCTCTGTTGCTGGTTGATGCATTGTGACTACGTTGTGACTACGGTTGATGCATTGTGAATACGGTTGATGCACTGTGACTACGGATGACCTTTTATGCCGAATTTTGCAGCACGTGCGCCGGTTGACTTCTAGTTCTCCATTCTCATAATCTTACCTACGCCATATATCGAAAATATTAACATCGAGAAGACGTGCATTGACAATTATGCCTCGGGCTCCTCGAGACTCAGGCCTTCAACTCGTGGTCACTGTGTACATCCTGTCTTACATGTTCCGGCTCGTAAATGAGCTCCAGAATGTGCCACGAATTCGTCTTCTCGAACGAGCCGTGTGCGAGGTGTACTATCGCAAACATTTGACCGGGACCAGTTTGACTGATGGTATTCCTGAGCTGCGATGTAAGAATCCGACAATTCAGAATGAAGTGGTTTTAATTATGGGCTGGAAAATATCTCTTGACGCCCTGCCAGGTAGGTTAAGAAACACTAGCGTTTTGGAGAAATGTTTACATAATATACTAGGTATCCTGACGGGCACATATTTTGGAGTTTTGGCAGACAAATATGGGCGACGCCCAGTTTTGATGTTGAGTTGTCTAGGAGAACTGTTGTCGCTTCTTTCTGTGATGTTCATTTGTTTGTTTGATGCTTTGTCCTCCGATGGAATGTCACTTACCTGTCACAGGTTATAGGAGTGATATCTTTCCTGTCAGGCTAACCTTACTATCTACATTCTTTTTGATGTTAGGGGGTGGTGGTCGAATTTTCAGCTCTATCATCCAAACACTGCTTGCAGAAATTGGAGAGGAGTCACTACGGCAAGCACTTCTTGTTTACTACCAGTACAAGACTGACTCAAAGAAGAACGCGGAGATTTTACCAACTTGCTGCTATAGAAATGCTTGGGAATCTATCCGCTCCGCCAATCGAGGCGTGGACTATACCAGTCAGTGTCTGGCTACCATTTTGTATCACATTAGCTCTCTATCTGCTTGTGCTTGTCACAATATGGTTTTTAGTGCCCCCAAAAGTCAAGCAACGGATTCCAATCAAAAATCAGCCCAGCCCCGATTCAAGTGTGACACAAAACCTTCTCGGACGACCCTGCGACGGAACACTTCCAGAGTCCGAAGAGAATCATGCCTTTGCGATTCCTTCCGCAAGCACCATGTGGGAAGAGGTTTGGGAGCTCTTGAAGAACAAGACCATAGCCATGTTGCTCTTCGTCACGTTTGCCAAGAGAATAGGATTTCTCAGCGAAGCATTCTTTCCGCAGTATGCCTCAGAGTTTTTTCACATGCTCTACAGTCAGACACCATGGTTCTCATGGGCCAACTATGCTGGCTCAATGCTATCACAAGGGGTTTTGCTCCCCCAACTCACGAGCTGGTTGCTACGCCAATCGCTAGAACAAATCTCAATTGATGTGGGGTTGATTGAGATGAACTTGGGGTTACTATCCATAGGATATGCCGCTGTATGGCTTGCGTTCAGTCCAGTCTTATTTGGCATCGGTAGGTAACCAAACTTTGTGGAAATGGAAGTTTACTCAAACTCGCAGGCTGCTTCTTGTCCGGTGTTGGAGAGGGTGCCGAACCAGGAATCCAAAGCTTGGCTTCATCTTTTGTGAAACCAGCTCAGTATGCCCGACTATATACGACTTTGACTCTTGCAGAAATGGCTGGAAGGATTATTGGAGGGTCTTTGATGGCGTTCCTTCTCAAAAACGGTAGAACAAGTCAAGGTGAACCAAGAGGTCTGGTTTACCTTCTTTCGTCTGTGGGTTTCCTTCCGCTTCAACTAGAAGTGCGCTAACGTCTTAAAGACCTTGTTTTTGCTATCATTGATTATAATATGCTTGTCAAACCTCAGCAAGACTAAAGACCAAGCGATTCGTCACGCGGAGGGCAATGGCGAGGGAAACGAAAGGTCTAATGAATCATTATTAAATTAATTATTGATTGGAATTCTACTGTATTTATTTTTATGCGCTGTTTAACGCCCTGGCCCTTCGGGAGGGCTAAAAAGCTACGGAGGCCCCTTTTCTCAGCTCGTCCTGCCGGAGGCGCCCTACCGGGGGTCCTGGCGGGGCCTAGCTATATAATATTAATCCAAACTTTAAATCTGCTTTAAAAATGTCCTCATTCCAAGTTTCTGTCACGACTCTCTCCTTACCCTGGTAAGGTCACGTGGGTTGGTATGGTGAATGAAGTAAGATAAGGCAATGTTATTGTAGTTAGGAAAACTTAATCAAGTTGAGCACGGAGTTTTTCCCCAGTGAGTGACAACTCGCCGCTATATAGGACCTCCGTTTCCTGGATCATAGTGGATCGCTCGATCCCTCATGATCCCCTATGATCCCCTATGATCCACCACGTGACCCAGGGCCCACCACAGGTCGAGACTCCCCGCTTGCCGAGCCTATGGTCCACTAGTCCCGTGATCGTAACAGTTTCAGCTTTATCGGAGCAGTGGTTGATATTCTATAAAGTGCTGAAGTGGAGGGGTTGAGCGGAGAAGCACTTCGCTTAGCCCCGCAGAGCCTCAAACCTTATTTTAAGCCGCACTTGAGCCTCATGTCGACTTGAGCTTAAAAATAAGCGCTCACCTACGCTATTTCACGGCGCCCTCGTGGCTTCGAATGCTTAAATAACTTTAAAAAAAGCTTAAATTATTCGAATTAATTAAAATTATTTATTTTAAATTAAAATAATTTAAATAAAATAATAAAATCGTAAAATATTAAAATAAATAAAATATTAACGATATAATAAAAATATAAAATATAAA